AGTTATACTAGATTTTGTATTATTACCAGATATCCTTAAAGTATCATTTGAATAGGTGCAAGATTGATTACTGATGTTCTCAATCCTTTTTCTAATATACCATTCTAAACTTAGCGACAACCTTCTTCTGTGAGAGTAATACCCAAATTTGACATTAATGTAATATTAGAACACATATCATTAAAGTTGAACCAATCATAATATTATTTATATGTTTCGAAGCCTGTCAATGGAAACTAAATAATTTCAATGATTATTTATTACCGATTTATAAGATTCAAACACCTCTCTCTCTGCATCATAAATAAGAGTATGATATAATTGTTGCATCCAAACATTGTCAATTTTAATAGGTTACTCTTAGATTATATCCTCCACTCCATAAACTACTCTGTACATCATAATGTAATATCTTTAATGAGATAATTTAAGATGTTCAAATAAAAATTTAACGTTATTTAAATAGGTCGCTTCAAGTACTAATTAAGTTACAAAGAAGCCAGTAAATAAAATAAAGAACAACATGAATTTGATAAGAGCTGAAGAGTCATTCTTTTCATTAGATCTTTCTAGTTTTTCTATACGAGTTCTTTCATCTTCGGTCAATTCTATTTCTTAAATATTATATTTGTGCTTCTTTTTCTTTTTGTGTCTCATATGCCTTTTTTATTTATTGTCCTCTTCCTATTACTTTCTTTTTTCTTCTTCTAACTTTTCCAATCTCAACCTTTCCTTCTCTTCATCTTCCAATCTCTATAACTCCTTTTACCTTTCAATTTGCTCTTTCTATTTTTCATCAATGTGTTCTTCATTGTTCATTTCAATATAATTTTTATCTTGTAATTGTTATTACTTTTTGCTCTCATCCTGGTTTTTATTATTAATTCTATTCTCAAGTTCCTTTTTCTCATTGAAATCTTCGATGTAGTCCTTTAAGAACTTTTCACATTTATCTGATAACTCCTTGATCTCTATTGGCGGAATCTAATAGCATAAATAAATATATTACTAATCCAAACATACTCAATACCTTATTATTTGCTTTATCCACTTTTAATAAAATAGGTATTACGATAGCATGAGTAATAATCAGAATTATGATACTTACAATCATCAACGCTAAGAATGTACTAAATTTATTGGAAATTAGATCTTAAAAAAAATTGTAAAATTAATCTGTTCTCTCTTGTAATCCTAATCTTATATTTCTTAATCCATTGTAATTAATGAAAAAGGAAGATTATTGAGCTGGAGTTATGTAATCATCTATCTTAAAACTCTGTAAGTCTGTTCCAATCAAAATTATAACATGACTAAGCACCTCCCTTATTGAATCGATCAATGTCAATTCAATATCTTGATATTTATTACCAATCAAAAGGGATGTAAAATTGTAATGGTATTAAGTTGGCACTTCTACATTAGATTTCTCTAAATCATTCTTTACTTTCAGAGTATCAAACTGCATTTATTATACAATTTTCAATCTGCTTAATAACTAATTATTAATTTATTACACTTACATCTTCTCTCAATGTTGATGCTGTAAATCCGTCCCTATTATTATACTCCCCTTTCCCCAGCATTTCCAATATTCTAGAATGAAAAGTAATAGTGGACATTTGATTAGTTCTCCAGTAAACATCTGACAAAATCATAGGATAGACATATTTAAATGAACTATTTTATATTCCCTTTAATGCTAAATCAACAATTGAAACTGTTAACTCAATATTAATGTTAAAGATAACATAGTAATTTAAATTGTTCTATATACTTTCTAGGCACCTTCTTCTCACTCATCAAAGCAACTTAAAATGCATGTTTAATCTACTCGCATATCATCATTCAAACATAGATTGAAACTGAATTAACTGATGATCTGTCCTCATTTAAATAATCATCATTGACTTATTAATCAACTTTCGTTTTCTTGTAGCAGAAGACAGAATACTTGGTTTATTTTGATTTCAATTTGATTTCACTCTAATAATAGTTGCCACTCTTTGAGGCTTCTTAAAATGCAGTAGCTTCTGTAAACTGTTAAAATAGCCTACTTGCTAAGCTACAGTGTATTTGCTTGTTTGCTCAACTGCTACAAACTAATTTTGCTAGCAGCTTTGCAATAAGGCATTCTTTTTTTACTGAAGCATTTCAGCTATTCTGATGTTCCTTTCTAATTCAATTAATTATTATTATTATTTATTTCCCCCTCTTCCATTAAAGATAATCTATCAACTGAATCCTCCATAAAAAATTATTTTTATAATTTTGTTGTATCCAATTACAGAGGAAATGCTGTTTGAATGTTATCTTGTGACACCTTTAATTTCTCAACCAAATGATTAAAATCAAGAATCAAGATTTCCATTGTAAAATCATTGGAATGAGCATTATTGCCATAAGAGAAATTGACTGGTATGCCAAATGAATCTTAGCAATTCTGGCTCAAACCATAAATCAAGAAAGTTGTTGGATTAAATAAGATATAATGATTTGAGTCAAAGTTCTCTAATACCTTAAAGAAACTCACCATTCTTAACCCTTTTTTCAATTATGGTAGAATTTTGAACATCAATAAACATGGAATAATGGATCCGTTTTTATGTTGACAATATACTGTTCTCTCCTTTCCAACAATTTTACTTTCATTTGTTTCCAAATACTTCGACATAAATTTATCATGATTATCTGCATAACATTTAGGCATCACCCGAGTAATGAATTAGTTAATTAATTCATATTTGTGATATCCTAACTTCTCAATTTCTTTGTTACAACTCTGGATCAATCCCAAAGATTTAGTCTCAGCTGAACATGTCATAATACAAGTATTACTGTTCTCACCATATTTTTCGGTTTATGTTTCATTTGAATATGCTTATTACGCATTTTCTATTTGAGTTGCTTTTTCCAAGATTCTTATACCCAAACTATCTGCATTAATTACTTCATTTTAAAATTGACCAAAGATTCTCAAAGTATTAATATGATTAGGGTTAATTTCCATCAATTTGTCATATAGATCCTTTACATCTTCAACTGATTAAGTGATTTGACCCCCTAAATTAAATAGCTTTTAAATGTCTGGATTATTTTCTTATAACTCACACCAAAATTCATAATGTCTTTTAACAGATTCTTCTAAGAGATTTTAGAATTATCCATAATATTTTTAAAACTTAACAACTTGAAGAACATCAATAATAATTTCAGCTTTCTAATCTTCTTCTTACATCATCTCCTCAAGTGTATGTAAATCTCTATATGCTTAAAATTCTTCCCTCAAAGAGGTTTCTAATTATTTAATATGTTAAAGAGAATAATAACTTTTGAATTTGTTGTTTAGTTTGCTATTCTAAATATATGATTGAAGCAGATGCAATTTACAACTTTTTGGGAATTTAGCAATTGATAGATCGATCATTTAAATAATAAACTTGTACCATACTAATTCATCTTAGTCTTTTGTTTTAGATTCACTTAAATATTAACATTAACAATTTTAATTTTGGCATGTTTCCATGTGCTGTACTAAAATTCCTTCTAATAATAAATAATTCTAGAGATTATCTCTTCTATCTATGATGTAGATGAGTTAATTATACAATTATTCATGTTAATTAGGATCACTTAATTTTTTAATGCCTTTAACTTAAAAGTAATTATTCTTTTTATGACCAATCTAAATAGCACAGTAATACACAAAAGGGATCGCTGCTAAGATAAAGTAAAATCCCACTGTATCAGAAGATCCATTATCTAAAAATTTGTGAAGTGTGTATGCAAAAGCCAGACTAAATTGAATGACGTCACAAGCAATCAAAAAGTTATAAATATCAAGTTGAAAATGTTAAGGCTCATAAATTCTAAGCATAAGTAATACAAAATATAATATTAGGACAAATATTATATAAGTATAAGGATTTTCAGCCTTATAATCAATTGTGATAAACAATAGTATTGCAAATTTGAATAAGAGCTTTATATAATCAAATCTACTCTAAGGTTATGCAAATGGTACATCAGAAAAAGGTCTTAGATGTTAATTATTTTTATTACTTCAAATCAATATAAAATGTTGAAAAGTAGTACTGAATCACAACGTATAAAAATAATCCTAATGCAGCCATCACTGTGTGAAGTATATAAACCCCTGAATAGCATTCAACACCTAAACTATATTGGGAATCTGGGTAACAAATCAGAAACACTAAGAAAATGTTGATGAAGCAAACATGCAAAAATGTATTTAGAATTAATGCATAAAAACTAATTGCTTTGAAAGAATAAGAGGTGACTGTTGTTATTTTTTTCTACTTTATAATTGGTTAGATACCTTCTGTTTGACAAAATTCACACTAAGTCCTATTAAAAAAAGCAAGGTGATTTATAAACCAAAAGCTGTGTAAAGTAAGATGATGGATTAATTTTAATCCATAGCATCTAAAATGTAAGTCAATTAAGAATATTGAATCACTTATCTAAAATATTGAACAAATACAATGTCAAGTTCAAACTATAAAATAGGGTGCATTACAAAATAGATCTACTTAGAGTCAATAATAAATACATTTTGCATCATTTCAACAAACACAAATAATTTGTAGACTAGTCCAGAACAGATGAATTAAGACATTGTCTCCTTCATAATTGCATAACAATAGGTCTTGATATTGGCTTCGACTTATTCTAAGACATTCATCAATCAAATAATTATTATTCAAATACTTTTCTTATATACAAAATCAATGGTTTCTTTTGGCTCTAATTAATTAGAATTGGTTCTAGTTCTTTATCCTTTTTATGTGCAACATTGTCATGTATCCTTTAAAATAGTACTGAACAATCTATGATTTACTTATTTCTCTATTTAATATATTCATTTAGGTTCTTATCCAAAGTAAAGTTGTTAATTCTCTCCCTTTATTTCCATTATAATCTAATACTTTTCCTCTTCATTTCCAAATATTTATGAGTTATTGTTCCTAAATCCCTTAATTTCATCTTTGATTGTTGTATCTAACTATCTCTTAACAATATGCTTTCGTATTTTATTACTTAACTCTACTCACTAATCACTTACTTAACATTTTCCTCAAATTATGATATGTCCATTTTTTTGATTATTTTATTTTTCTCTCTTTTCAAAAATGGAAATTGTAATCTATTCAATACAACATCATTCATAGTTTCTTATTTTTCTCCTTTCTCTTATAATAGTCTTTCTGATAATTATAATTATTATATGATGGAGATTCTTAATTAAGAATTATGAGGTTCTAAATGTCCGTTCACATATTTAAAATGAAATACTCTAGCTTTCTTTTATTGTTACATATAAAACAAGGAAAATCCCATTGACTCATAGATCTAAGCCTCTTCTTCTTATCCATCACTCAACCAACTGTATACTAATCCGTCTTCTAAAATTTATAAGGATAATTCATATAGTTATCCTTATTAACAAATTTTAGAAATAAATAGCATTATCCTTGCTCTTTCTTTATATAGAGACAACATCTTGCTTATTATGAACAACTATTTAGATAAGAAACTACTTTTATTAAAATCTTTCATTTCTAAAAAGTATGATCCAATAACTAAAGTAAATCGAATCAAAGTAATTGGACTTTACAATAATTGTTCTCCTATATCGTTATAAATATCAACCAAATGGCTATAATGTTTCATTTGCATCGAAGCAAATAGTTCGACATAGTGATTCAAAATGATATTAATAAAATAATCAGTTGTTCTTTTTCTTAACCTACTAACCCATTATTCATATTTCTTTTATTCGTTTTCATCTATTAGAAAAAGAGTGCCTCTTCTTTATAACTTCCTATTTTTTGGTGAAGAGTTTCTTGATAAAATTATAGATCTCTTCATTGCTTAACCACCATCAAATTATCCAGGACTTTAAAAAACCGTAATGTTATGGGAAAGATTAATCTAGGCAGTTTTAAAACCACTAAAATCTAATTCAATAGAATTATCCAAAAATAATTATTAACCTTCAGGTAGATGTAGAGATTTTATGCGATTATTAAGAATGAGAGGTTATAACTCCACTACTTCTGAAACCTTTCGTTCTTTAAAGAAAGCTGGTGAAACTATTTGATTTATTCTTTTCCTATAATTTATTAAATTTTATTGCATACTTTTGAAATTAATTATATAATTTTTAATTACCAATTATCAACCCTTAGATATATTAATGGAAGCAGAATATCATTTTACAATATACAAATCAGTTTTTATGACACTATTCATTAGAATTCAACTAAAATTTAGTTGTTTTAATATAATACAATATATATATATAATTAAAATGATACTGATGAAAATAAATCTATTGTTTGCTAATATAGTATTATCCAGAGAATTAAATAATTTTGATTTATAGTTGTCAAAGGTGAAAGACTTAAATTAATTAGATAGATATCATCACACTAATATTTTCTGTAATTCATATAAATCTTAATATTTTCATGACTTAAGGATACTATAAATCTGAGGTGAAGCTAAAATGGCATAAGTGATGAAAATATGTATTGATATAAAGATATTTAATATATGTATCATATTGAAATCAACTTATTATACTGTACAAAATCATAATTTAATTTTTTTAATAATTCCTACTTAATGCTAGCTTAGATTATAATAATAAAAGGTTGCTAAGTTGACTTTAAGGATTATAAAATTTAGAGACATCCATTACAGATCAATTCATAAAGAAAAAGACTAGGTGATTATACAATAAACAGTATTTAATATTATTTGATTCTGATATAGATTATGAATTTAAGACATAGATATATATGAAGTATAGGTTCTGTACCTAGTTTCTTATGGGTTTACGATTTAGAAAACATAGGTTATTTAATAATTTTCTAGTTTAATTATTTATTAAATATAAAATAAGTAATTCATTTTGGCTTCACTTTCTATTTTTTATTTCCTAAGTAAAGCAAAGTCAAGGATATAAAGATAAACACTCCAATATCTATGATTACTAGAATACTAAAAATATGTTATATTTAATTTTCTGTGAAATCTAAAATAAAAATCCTTTCTATTTCTCTTACATTGAATACTATAATGAAATGGAGAAAGGCAGGCATAAAGAAAAACAGCTCAATGCTCTTCATAATAAAGTTTTGCACTTAAAAAAATCCATTACTCTATTTCCTAAATTATAGAAATGACAATTCTGGTGGAATAAATATTTAATAAGTCTTTTAAAATAATAACCACTTTTATAACCGATTGATTTCTTTGGTTTACTTTAAAAATTGATCTTCATCAACTTAATTCCTTCTAATGAGTGAACTAGTTTCTCTTTCCAATTATCTAATCTTAACTTAAATGTCTTCAAACCACTTTAAATAGGTTTCATAAACCATTTTTACAGATTTATCTTTTGTCTATTCACCTGTATTTAATAACTTATAAATTGATAACCCAAACATTATTCTTGATAACACAAAACCTCCTATTGACCACCAGCAAGACCATTGTCGATCCAAACTGTATACTATAGTCTATATTAATGTTACTCCTAGGCACATCCCTCGAAATACAATGCTCAAGAATATATAGAAGTTAAATGCCAATCTATAGAGTCTTTTGGAGTTCAACAATTTAATTAGGATAGCTGAGGTATCCAAACTGCATCTTTATCTTTCCTGCTTTCTTTTGGGTCTAGTTCGCTACAGAATAAATCCCAAACGATTTTGGAATTGCCTACTATATTGTTACTTAATTAATAGTGGTTATTCCATAATTGGTGATTGATCAGATTCTATTGATTTATCACTTCCTCTAAATATGGAAGAACTATCTTAAACTGCGCTTTTTTGTAATTAATTGTTAATTTGTATCGTACATTGATTTCTATTCAAATGATCTGAGTCATCGTCTATCAGAGATTTAAAAATATCACTCCCATCATCGTCAAAGTCTTTGAAACTAGAATAAGACTCCTTTAATTCCATTTTAATAATATTTATTATGATATTATTAACTTATTCTATAAAAATTTACATTCAATCTTTTTTTTATCAAATGGATACGATAGATACATTGAAAATAGCCTTCCTTGAATTCATAAACAAACTAAATCCACTATTGCCTGATTAGTTACATTCTATCGTTTTAGCATTCAAAGAATAATTATACTCAAAAACACCTTCTGACTTGTATGATTTTGTTTAGCAAATCCCTGAACTAAAGAAAAGTGATTCCTCATGCAACACATCACCAGAACCACTTCTAAATAAAGTAGCATCTCATGGTTACAATCCGCTTTCGGTGTGTTCATAAAAAGATTCTGATGACAAAAGTTAAAGTTCATGTTCAGCTGAAAAATATTAATAATTGAAAATAGGTACTATTAGATCTAATGTAGAAATCAATAAAAATTTCTTTCTTAAGCCTACTACAAAGTTCAATGCAAATACTTAAAATAAAATTTCAAGAAATGTAGATATAGAAGCTAAGGTACAAAGAGAAAATATTAAATGTAAAACTATAAATAATTTATATCATAGTGGTTGACACTTTAAGGGAAATGCCAAAATTAAATAGAGTTTGTTTTGCTGAAAGAACAGGCTTATTAAGCTAAATTTCAGAAGCCGTGAATTAATTCAAAAAGGATTGCATTACAATAAATACAGTTTATGAGAAAAGCTCCGAAATCAGCACTCCTCAAACTCCTAATGATATGAGGGTTGGTCAATAATAATACTTCTATGTAAAAAATAATTTAATTAAATTTAGTATTAGCAATTTCCACAATAACCAGTATGTTAATTCAAAGGATATAGTGTACATTCCAAAACAGGTTTCATGTAACCAATTCAATTTGATATGCAGTTCTAATTGATGCAACAGCAGTTTTAAAATTAATTAATTTATAAGAAATTATACTTTTGATTAAATAATATATATTTCTCACATCTCCCTCTACTTCTTTGTCTATCTTGCAAAAATACTAAAGGCAAAACTATAAAGGATCAATTCCAATAATTTCATTGGCAGACTGTTTAACAATACTATCTATTCTTCGATCATTTGATTTGTGTTAAGAATAGATTAATTATAGTTAAGAATCTACCAAGAATCTAAGATCAAATTAAAGATTGATGATATTATCATGGCTCCGACAATTTTATGTCTATCTAATTTAAGTTAATTAAAAAATAAAGAAGCAATTCCTATTATTTGACATCCAAAACTACCAATGAATACTGAAAATAAGGAAGGTCCAATGTCGAACTCTTTAGTGAGTAAGATCATTGAGTTCATATTCAGTTATTTATACCCTTTGAACACTTGATGGTCTATTTTAATAGGGTTGATTGCATTATATAGGATCTTAGAAATAAGTACGTTCTATCCAACATCTATATATTGCATTAACATAAATTATAAGATGAATTATATGAAATTCTTGGAGTAATTGAGTTAGAATATCACAGCAACATCTGACAATATAAACAGTATTGATAGATACAATGCCTTCACTCTTCCCTTATTAAAATATCTTGGATCAATAACAAAAAATAGGATGATAACAATTATCAAACTTTACAAGAGAGATTTCCTTAATTCAAAATTATTTTAGTCTAATAAGAAAAATACAGATGCAACAAACTATGAAATCATCACCAACGTAAACAAAAATGATATCTTCCATTTAGCAAAATTCTATCCTGAGTTTATATAATTCTAATATTTGATCGCTAATAGGAGCAAAAATTGAATCTCAATAGATAAGAGTATATCTGGAATATATCCCATATAGTTAAGCTAAATAAACATAAGCAAAGCTAATATCTTCAGGATTAATTTTAGATTAGATTCTCTCCTCAAAACTACTAACACTAATAATCCTATGGTCATAATTTAGGCATTAAAGAATCCGGTTAAAACAATAATTACACTCTCCTGTAATCCCAAAAGATTTCTCATTAAGTAAATGCTAAACAACATTAATAGTATTCCAAAAAAAAAGGTGTCTTTTCTTGGTAATCCTATTTATATATTTCTCTGAACTTCAACAACAACTTGATCAGCAGCTAACTATTTTAATTCTTCAATGAAAGTGGGTGATATTTTGAATCCTTAGGTCTAGAGATATTTAAGCACTTGATTTTTAACTCTTTCTTAATCATTTTAGATTTCTGATTTATCTGTTTGTCTAGGATAAAATTAGGGGATAATTTTCCCAAGATTTTAACTGGTTGATGAATAGCCTAAGAGGGAAGTTATAGTGGCTGATATGTCTGAGGGTTCATAAAAGTCATAGGTTTGATTTTCTTGTAAGAGTCCATCGATAGAAAATGCAAAAATAAAGCCTTAACATTCTGTTGATTCTTCAGAACATTGATAATGTTTTCCTCTTTTACTTTGATCATGATCACCAATCACTATCAATAGTTAGTTTTCTTTGAGACTATTAACCACTCCTTCTAAGATAGCATTAAACATCCTAAACAATTGTATTCCTTGATCATAATCTTGATGTTATAAGGCATGTCCTAGTGCATCGAATCCCATCATATGAACTACATAAAATTAGTAATCTGGTTGATCTTATAAGAAAGACTATTTAAAGAATTAGTAAGATGAAAGATCCGCTATTTAAATGTTGTCTAAATTAAAAAATTAAGGATTTTCAACGAATGTAAACTCTCCTGAGGTCATTCTTAACCAATCGTGCTTCTTACTTGAATAGAGTGCTGATTTGAATTGTTTTCTCAGGATTGAATCTTCGTAAGGTGCTGGATTAGACTTGAAAGTCACATCTAGATTATTTTGCATTTATTTGATTCCATTGATTATACTCAAAATAGTAAAGTCTGTCGAAGGTGGAACAGCCTTGGTTTTCTTAAGGAATGAATGGAGTGGGTAGTTTTGACTCAAATCCTTCAATATAGTAATGGTTTGGAATATTTCATGTTCACTACTCTCATTGATTATGTATCGATATCCTGTTGCATCCAAAAAGAATAGAACAATTTAATCGTACATTGGTTTTCTGAATGCAACAATGTCATTAATGTCTCTTATTGGAGTTCTGAACCAAAATGTAGAGAAGAGAATTAAGAAGCATCCTATCACACTTAAAATAAATTACGAATACATATTGATTAAATTCTGCATTCAATTTGTTATATATAAAAATCATCTCACAATCTTGATCTCATTCTCATCATGTGTTTCATAACGTTCTCAAGCAAATTCTCTTGAGACCAGATCTTGAAGTTTACCTTCAATTCTCTCTCTCCAGCCTTGCTCAATTCCTATTCATAATCAAATGCACAATCATACACTCATCAATGCTTCTCTCATCAACAACTTTCCATTCATCACACTATTCCTATCCATCTACTCTATTGATTAGCACATCTTTTAAGCATGGCTATACATCTCCTCCTTTGTCTTGAACATCTTTTAAGCGAATCCGCATTCTATTGCATCTTTAGCCAACAACCTCTCTCCATTAACCATCAAACTATATGATTTGCTATGTCCGAAGAGTCTGGGGAAAGTATAGGATGAAAACATCTCATGACCCTTTAATTATCGACATATTGGGTACCTAACCAAGTTGTATCATTGGAGCTACAAAATAGCAATCTTCTGTCACAAACACTTAATCGAATAGAGCCAACATTGGAAATAAAAACCCAAATACACCATTATGACAACAGGCTATCAAAGTCTTAGGAAAATGCAAAATGGAATTATTTAATTCTCGGATTAATTCCACTAATTCTGTGGCGAATTGAATTCTTTACTAAAACAATATTATATATCGAATACCTCTTCAGTTGATAAAGTGAATAATGAAAAATTCTTCATGTCATTACCTGAACTAAACATTTTTCCATTTCCCTTTACTAAAACTATATCAACCTTAATTATATAATATTATTGTACGGTATCATCTTCTGCTGCTTTTTTTAGAATTTCTATCAATTGCAAATACATTCCCAAAGTGAAGCTATTTGCCTAATTTGGTCTGTTTATGGTCACCATGAGGGTTTTTGAATTTTACTCTAAAATGAATCCATCTGGTACTGTTGTTTATTCAACTACAGGTGCTAAAATTTAACTCATTTTATTTAATCAGAACTAAATCCTTTCATTTTTCTTAAATTTCATATTTAAACTCATAATTCGTCATTTTGTTGACATAGTAATTTTATTTTCCGCTGTTTTAAGGATTAATTAAATAACTTATAAAAATGTAAATTTTTATTACAGATGGTCAATTTATGTCTATTATATGCTTTTAATTCTATAGGCATCACTCTAAATTATTTTTATTATAATTTAACTTTTCAAGTTAAAGATGATCTATATTATTTAATTAATATATATTTTAATCAAAAATATTCATAATGAGCAACTTGATTATGTCTTGATCATGTAAAGTTGAACTATTTGAAAATTCTGTGTATTTATATTAAATTTAGAATATCAATATTGTTTGAAAAATATATTATGGTTTTTTGGTAATTTATTAATTAAATAACTTTCAATTAAATAAGTAATGGTGTAATACAAATAATCTATATAATAGAGTCACTAGTTTGTTAAAAATGTAGATTGCATCGTCTTCTTAACAAATAATCAATTAGCAGAGTGATTAAAAACATAAAGTAAATATGATTTATAGATTCTAAATTTATTATTATTAAATATCAATTCATACAATCATCTCTAATGAAAATAAGTATCTTATTAATGATCAATTAATTATATAGTAATATTATAATAAATTCAGTTCTCTGGAGAGCTATTCTCTGTTTAACTTAATTCACATTACTACAAATTATCTGTAAATAACACTCCAGTCTAATTTCTTCTAATCCATGGAGCTTCAGGTCTACATTCAATTGATTAAGCCTAAATGGATTTTAAAATTATATACATCTAAAGATGTGATGATTTTGAAATCAAACTAAGGAGAGATGTCTTTTGGTTATGCCATTGGAAGTGAAAAGTATGGATAAATAGTATATTATGTTGAGATAAAAGGTTATAATTTTATTGTATCTGCCAACATAATTTCTATTCCTAATGGATTTTCTGACAAAGTAAATTCAGTTTAATCTATCAAAAGATTCCGAATGGTTAGTAATACGTGCTTCTGTTCCGATAGTTTGATTAGTTATTCTAATTGAGTATGAGAATATTTAAATTTCTTCAACATCATCCAACAAAACATAATATTATAATTTGTTATGTAAATGAGAGTTTCTGATTTAGTCAATTAAATACACCTTTCAAATTCTTGGATTGCCTCTTGATATTTCTATAAATACAAATAGCAAATGCCCTTATAAAGATGTAGATATTATTTATTAAACAAAAAGGAGGATTAGGGATCAATCTTTTTTTGTAGTGTTAAAATGGCTGAATCATATTCGTATTTAATAATTTGCTAATAAGCCAATATCATATTTTGATCAAATTATTTGTCTCTGATAAACTCTTAAAGTTCTTCTCCATCAAATTATTCTAGCTAAAAGAGACAAACTGCCATCTGCTATCTATGTTAAATCGTTAGGTTTATTTCTTATTTATATGTTTTATATGCCTCTTCATACATTTTACTATTGTATAACAGATTACCAGCACTCAAAAAGTCATCTACAAACTAGATGTAACAGTTCATGTCATCAAAAGCCTATTGAATTTCTCCCAAATATGAATAGCATTTTGATCTCTATAAATAGGCTTTTTGATATTAATCATCAATTCCTAGACATACTGAGAAGTCCTGGACTGCATTTAAGACATCTCCATTCTAAGCCAGAAGTAATCCCTTCAAATAATAATGATCGGCTAAATTTTCATCTGCCTTTTCTATGGTTGTTAGTATTTCTTTGTATGCATCTTCAACATTGTCCATCAACATATAGGTTAATGATTTTAGATACATCAATTAAGAATTATTCTGATTGTATTGTTGGGCTCTACTTAAACATTACAATGAGTCATTGATATAGTCAGAATTCTCTGATTTGAATCCTTCTTTAATTAATAAGATTGCCTTATACATATTGGGATCAACCTAATTGTAACTTAAGGCCTAATCAAATTTGGAATAAGCAATATCAAATGAATTGAAGTTGATAATCCCTTCACATATGACTTAATTGTAAGGTAACGATTTATTCTGTCTAAAGTCCTTCAGAGCCTACTCGAAATTGTTAAGCATCATATTCAAATATCCTACATAGGAAGGACAGATCTCCTAAATAATAGGTGGGATATCCAATTGTTGCAAATTTTTGAATGCCTCATCTGCTTAAGCGTAGTTCTTTTTCAATAAATAGACCACTGCTTCAGAGAATTGGATGTAGGGTTGTAATTATTATTTATCAACATCCAAATATTCAACTCTCAGGAGTGTATGATATAAGGAATAAAAATCCTTAGATTCTATTTTGAATTTGCTAATTTCTATAATGGCCTTAGAGACTGCAATTCTAGAATTATTGTTTTAAATGGCTTGTTCATAATATAACTAACTTTCTAACTTTTAGCCAAGCCTTTAAAATATTTGTCCCTTCAATTTGTTTGCTTCAGATGATTATTCATCTTGACTTAAATACTAATTAATAGAAGATAATACCTAATCAATCATCTATAAAGCTTATTGATAATTTGACATTTCATAAAGACATGTTGACATTTTGAGAATGTTCAATTTAGATTTATCACTTGTGTCAAATTATAAAGCTATTTAATAATTTTTAATTGCTTAATCGAAATTATTCTGAAGTCTCTAACAATCTCCAAGATAATGATATCCGGTTTATCTTTTTGAATTAATTTTTATGGCTGACCTCAATGTTGACTCACAATCTTAGAATCTCCTCAACTTAAGTTCCAATTTGCCTTTGAATATCAAGGCATCATAGCACTGAGGATAAAACTACAAGCATTCATCTAACTATTATGACAATAGAATTAATACAGTTTTAATTGACCAATCTAATTGCATCAGTTTTTTGTAACCAAGAGCAAGCAAGATAAAAACATTCTTATTGTAATTTGGCTATTGTTCTTTAACAAATTTGAGTTCTTTAATGCATTTTTCATATTGATTTTGGGAGAAATAACAAACTCCCAACATATATCTACTTGGTATATGCAGAGAATCTATTAATGTGCATTCGTTATAGTATTTAATAGCTTCAATCAAATTCTTATCTCTGAATGCATTTTAACCCTACGGTTGGGAATGGATATGTACATATTAGAAATGAATTGTGATGTTGCCCATAAAGTCCCCTGCTTTGGATCCTCTAAGAACACTGCCTGAATTTTTGAACCTAATGTTGGAATTCCTTCTCTTCTAAAATTCATAATCAAAGCTTGTGTTGCGAGATGTCCTTATATTGATTGTATCATTGAAAATGCTGTACTTCTTGTAGTTCTTCGGACTTAATCTAGGTTAAAGACTCATTGTAATATAAATAATTTATAACTAACAATATTCATTATTTAGTTAGATAAAAAGTAAAAGTCTTCTTTCTGGAGTCACTTCTTTCCTTCACATCCTAAAATAATGGAATAGCAATACAGTTTGATTGTTGTAGACTTCAGTTTAATAATTTCCGAAAGCTTCCTAGACGTTGGACAATCTTTTGTGAATGCTCTATTAAATATATAATCATCTCAATTATATTTTACCTTGATTTGAAGCATACATTTTCTAATCGATGGATGGTTTGCTTTCACTTTCATATTCACTCTATTATTCATCTGGTTTGATAATTTGCAATTGTTAAAACACTTGAGGATTCTGCTCTCTCAACAAATTATATTGGATTGACGATAAAGTATTCATGAACTAACTATCAATAATTATTTATTGTTGTTCCTATCTATTCTTGTATTTGACTAATTCTTATTGCAATAATTTCAACTGTATCAATTAATCAATGCTGAAAGATTCCAAAAGATTACTAGAAATGTTCAATAATTGTGATAATTTCTAATCAGTTTTAAGTTAAGATCTCTTTCTTGAAGGAGACGAATTGCTCTTCTCCTATTTCTCTGATTCCTCCATCTCCAAAACCCTATTGAAATTGTTTTCTAGAATAGTTTATTGTAAGGTTGAATTTTATTTATTGTAATTCTGATCCTGCAATTTCTGATAGAGAATCTAAATCAGTTTAGAGACTCTCTCAATATCTTAATGTTGAGGATTCTTCAGAAGTTGCTTCCTTATATTAAAGCATTCCTACAGTCTACTGTAGGCATTTTGATATTCATTATATTAGATATGCAATCTCCCTAGAGTTTCTAAACAGACTGCTGCTTAGAGGGAATTCTAACCAATTATCTATCTCCTTAATTTTAAAGCTTTTTCTAAAAAGTCGATGGCTTGATCTTTCTTATTTTACTGTTTGTAGATTACACCCATGTTATACCAACAATCACTCACACTCTCCACATTAGGATTGATATTCGACCGAATATTCAAGGCTCTTTTAAAACAGGCTAGGGCTTATGTGTAATGTTTGTGTTACAAGTAGAATGTCCCAACCAAAAAATAAGCATTGCCCGTTGAATTGCTCTAGAATTATAATTATTTTTTACATCTTCACCATGACATTTCTCAATCATTAAAGTATATTCAACATAGGCCAACTCGCATTATCTTTGATCTCCAGTTTCATAGAACAATTATGCCATTACTTTTAATATATTGGAGACCTTCACTTAATCATTCTTTTGTGATGTTTGTGTCAATAATTTCACTTACTCAAATATAGAGATAAGTGTTTTTCTGGCTGTTTCTAATTCAAGCAATTTGATTTAAGCTACAATCTATGCTCATTATACATACCTCTAACCAATAGCATTTGATCTGCAATTTTCTCATAAGTGTCTTCTTTACCACCAATCAACTCTAATTTTTAAGCAAATTCAATTGTTTTCTTTATTTATTAGATTGCATCCTGATAATCCCTTTAGGAGAGCAATCTTATGGAAATCTATCTGTAACGATCATGATCCTCTATTAATATGTCTCTTTCATTCATAATCAATTTCTTATCTGATTTAGGTTGAACAGTTTGTTAGATCTCAAATTTCAATGGCTTTGATGCAGGACTCTTGCTTATAGTATCATCTATTTATTTATTATCTTAGTTTTTCATTGATTGACAAGACTATTGATGAACACTCCAATGTTGTCGTTGATGTTCAACAGAACAATAAAAGACTGATTTACATTATGAACAGCCAAAAGTTGTTTTGAGTGAACACACTGCACAAGTATTTGATTTATTTTACATATAAAAAATAATTTAAAGAATTTGTTATTCACACCTGACAGTCAAACTTACAACAGTAGAAATATAGGATTGTATCTAAGAAATAATTTCTTCATCTTATCACAACCATTTAAAATTCATATGAATTGCATGTATATAAGGAATCCTTTATTACTTAATCTGAATCTTCTTTTACTTTCTCATTCTGAACTTTGTTAAAATGGTTTTTCGCTGAGGAATAATTAAATCAGATGGAATTGTCAAGCTAAGATTTAAGAGATATATCAATAGCATTGATAAACGTTATCTTCTTCACTTATTATTTGATATCATTCAAGATTTTGATTAGTACACTTTATTAATATAAAATCAATATAAAATGGGAGGGTGTCTATTTAGAAAGAACAGCAATAACAAATAGAAAGAAAATGTCCAGGTTTATTATCAACTGTCTCAGGGTTCTGAAACATCTAATTTAATGGATGAAATGGAAGACGTAAGAGAAGTGGAGAATATCAAAAATTGGGAGATATTGCAAATCACTTAGATTGATAATAAATGCATTATACTTAAGAAGCCAAGCGTGTGTTCTTTTAATTATAAGGTAATTGAAATTGGAGGGGATGGAAATGCAATGTATTTAGAAATTCACAAATAATTATAGTATTCTTTAATTTAATTAAGGCAATCTTCTAATTATTTTGTTGGAGCAGTGACAATCGATAGCATCTGTTATCTGGTGTTACGAATATTGCAAGGTTTAGCAGCTTAAGTTTCAGTCCAGGAAATGTAATGTATTTAAATATTATTTTCCAGGTTTGGACATCGAAGAAAATATAGAAAATACCATTAAAAGTAGATACGACGAGAAATTCATTTGTGTTGGAGCTATCTACTTAAATGAATTGGTCATCTTAGTGTTTAGACAATTCCTACTCAAAATTCAATGTCCTGTTATATAATAATATTAGACTTTTGATTAAAATACAACATGCATTCTTACATATGATAGTGTGTTGTATCAATTGAAAAAATAAATATGAATTTAACTATAAATTATTAACATCTCTAATACATGGATTGCTATCAAATCCTTCTGTTTGCTCATAAAAAGAATTAATTACAGTTACAACTGTTACATTCAAAATAAATTGTTTATTAATGTCGATATTTTTTATTGAACAAGATAATGAGATATCAATATAACATAATAAAAATTGATAATCATTATTCTATACTAGCTTACAAACTTGTTATAAAGAACCCTAAGTTACTCGAAAGAACATTTTGGGTTAATAAATTCTATAAAATAAATATATGAACATGAATATCGTAGATTTAAGATTTGATGATAACATATCTTAAGACTGGTAACATGTCATCAGTGGCTATTAATAGACTTTTGCCTCTGCCTTTTGACATGCATAATGTAATCACTTAAGACATTTTCAATATAACTTTGACTTTACTAGCAGGTCCTTATTTCTGTTATACTTTTTATAGTATTCTGATTGGTTGTAAATATGGCTGATGTTCATCTAGAAATTAAAATTCTCTTGAGATTCCCATTTCACGTGTTGATTGATTCTAATTTTCAATCATCATCTTCTTTGTGATATAACATTTATCTTACAATTCCTCAGATATTTTGTTAAATATTTTATCATACAATTCCCTATCTTAAAGTAGACAATTTGTAATGAAATTAATTAAAGTGTCTTTGTTGATTAATCCAGAATATCGAGGTAATTCTTACTTGAAGTTCAATATTTTATAATATGAGACAACACTTTGATAAAGAAAATCTATAAATGCCTTGAAGGAATCCAAATAAGTTTCATCTGTCTAATAGGATTATTTGAAAAACCTAATGAGATGGCTGATCTCATTTGTTTTGATTTGATACTTAATTATGTCTGTGAAATGAGCAAAATAGTCCATACTCCTTATACTTACCTCACTCACCTGACATGCCTTTTCGTGATATATGTAGGATTGAGTATCCGATAAGAGACTACCAGAAAAAGAGATATCATTCTATTCAAGTTGCTGCTCTGATAGTCCGCTTCTTCTGATGAATTTTTTCATGTTCTTCTAACTAATAGTTGCATGTTCTGATTCTGAATTTTCAATTTTGTTATTCAAAAATAAGGCATTCATTAAATAGATGTCTCTAAGCTGAATCTCTCTAACCGCTTCAATATTTCTAATTTAAAATTATATCTGCTGTGACCAAGGGAATAAGGAATAATTCTTACATAACTCACTTATTTCATGTTTCCATTCCCAAACCTCTTCACTTTCTGATAAACATACATTCCCCATTTTATTGTATTTATTTAATGAATAAAATTCTATATTCAGTCTGAAATTCAAAATTAATATTAAAGTAGTTGATTATCGATTTGTGTGAGGATCATTTTAAGTCGTCCTATCTCTTACAGTCAAAAGATCACTTAAATTACTATCTATAGCTATCTCTAATATTGAGTAATTCAATCCATACTAAGTAGTTCAATATCAACCACACTTTAATATACAAGAAATCTTTATTTGAAAGAAATCCAATATTCACAGAAGATTTAAATTTTAACAATTTCAAATTCAAAATGCTACACAATTCTGTAATAATGTTTCTGAAATCTCAAGAGAATTATATTATATAATATATCAATTAAAAATCCTTATAAATGTCCCAAACTTTAGATGCTTTCTCTAGAAGCATAGTGTTAACAACCATACCTTTAGAAGATTTGAAGTTCGTTTATTCAGTACCATAAATAGTTGATCCTGATCCAATCACCTGCATCGTCGAGCCTAGTATAATTTGGTTTAGATATTTTAATAGCCCATGAGGAGGGGGGAATATATGTAGGAGGTTATGAGGGAGCAAAGGATGTTGACATGCTTAAGAGATTAAAGATTAGGGCTGTATTAACGGCAAGTCAGGAGACAGCAGTTCAATATAGTGATTTGGTGGTTTAATTTCATCATGTAGTAGAAGCACATGATAAGGATGATTATAATATATTGCAATTTGCAGATTAGACATTCGACTTTATTGAGCGTCATAGGAAACACACCAATATCCTGGTTCATTGTTTTCTGGGAATCAGCAGATCTCCCACTATAGTGGTAGCTTATTTGATGAGGAAATACAATTTGAATATGGAGAAGGCGTTGTGGAAATTGAAATCCAAGAGAAGACAGGTGAATCCAAATACAGGATTCTTGAAATAGCTACTAAACTATGAGAAATTACTTTAATAATCACAACAATAATAATAACAGCAATAATAATAATAATAACAACAACAACAATATTAATAATCATAAGCTAAACCGAAAAGCATTTTTAAGATGGTTAGACAACAGGCTATTCCTCAGACTTAGATGCTTCCTCAGAGTCGCATATTGCCAATGGACAGCAGATTAATAATGCAGAAATAGCCATCATAGTTTATGCAGCCTACTTATTATAAATGATAAATATATTTATATTAATATGGATAATCAAATTACAAATCCAAGAAGAATTACAATTGATAAGATGACTGCTGAACTATCTTCAGTTGTATTTGATTGGTTCTATTGTGTAGAATTGTTGGTTTGAACTGCATTGCAAATAGTGCATTTATTTGTAGTCGGATTCCAGGTGTATTAATATAAGGTAGCCAGTGGACAATCATTCTAATACAAACTAGTGGGATCAGTAGAAACACACTTTCCTTGAGCACTGAATTAACAGACAGTATAAGTTTTAAGTGACCAATCATAGAACCCAGTACAAGTGGTACCAGTTTGTATCTCACAAGTTTTAGGAGCACAGATATGTTCTGTTGAGTTGGCAACAGTAATAGTTTACCAATAGCATCTATCAGACAATTTCTTGCATGCCTTTTCATAGACAGTCGCAATGGTACAAGTAGTAACTTCGACACATTTACCTTTGTTATTAGTGGTAGTAACAATCCAAGCACAAACACTAGTTGGACTACCATAATCACAAGCTGTTTGAGTTTTGTATGAAGTGCAATCCTTAAGTGAAACACAAGTTGATCCATCTTGAATGCAAGTGGATGAATAGAGTGAACATAAAGTGACTGGGTAATCTTCGCATTTCATGGCTGAACAAGCACTATTATCCCAAATGCATTTTCCATCTGTTCCTGTGGCAACTGTACATGAATCATTTGTAGTATAACCACTACATGTACCTTACACAACGCAATTCTTTCCATTATAAGTACATGTACTCAATTAACCATTGCAATCTCTATGACTAGATCCAACAATATCAGAACAACCTTAAGCAACGCATTTATCAGTTGACCATTTGCATTTACCTGTTGCTGTAATGGCTCCGGCTGAATTTACTGACTGTCCTGCTTTATCAATGAAGCAAGAAGATTAAACAGTATATTTTGCACAGTTATCCAATTTAATACAACCATTGACACCATCACTTGTACACTAACCAAGAGAATAATTATAGCAATCATTGTGATTTAGATATAGAGCATTTGTACAATCAGTGAAGTCAATACATTAGTATGGAGCTGATGCTTTCACAGTCATTGGTGTCCATATACATTTTCCAATTGAATTATTGGTTGTACCAATAAAACAAGCAATTTTAGGTGTTTTAGAACATTTAGTTATGGCAACACAATTAATTCCATTAGTAGTACATTAAGGATGGATAGAGTTGCATTCCACATGGGTAGAATAAATGAGATCAGAACATTTTGTGTATTTAAGACATTTGTCTTCACTCCATCTACATGGTCCATCAGTTCCCTTTATGCATGCTTATTGAATCAAAGTATTCGAACATGTTTTCATCATTGTACATTGAAATCCATCTGTAGTGCAGTCAGCCTAGGCTGTATTACATGTCTGATGATCATAACCCATTAAGTCTGTGCATGATCTCAATTAACAAGTTCCATTTTGCCATGAACACTTCTATCCATCATATTAGGAAATGCATGCAGCTTCTACTTGTGCATCCTTACACTTACCTTTTGTAACACAACCTCCTCCCTTTTTGGTTGTGCAATTGCCTTAAGGATAATAATCACTACATCCTTTTTCTGATTGGATAGTTGCATCTGCAGTATCACAACTTTTATCATAGCAAATTCCATTCACCCAAGCGCATTCTTTCTGACTTGCATTGACCTTGCAGGCTTCTTCCACATAGGCATCTTGGCATCTCTTGATTTCAATGCAACCATTTCCATTCGTAGTACAAGTGGAAAGAAAAGCCTGGCAATCTGAGTGAGTCTTGTAGGTGGTCGGAGCTAAATCACAACCAATATTTTGACATTAGTTAACTAGTATACAACTTCCATTGAGACCTTTTACACAAGAAGCCGAATATTTATATTGATCACATGGGATATAATTTATACATCCTTGCCCATTAGTTGTACAATTTCCATACTCTTGACATTGTTCATGAGTTGAATAGGATTTGGGTGCATGTTGGCATTCTCGATTATAACAGGATCCATTCAACCAAATACATTTGGATTTATCCCTTTATGCAGTGCAAGATGCTTCTATAGTATAGGATGAGCAGCTCTCATAAACATCAACGCATGATCCTGTTCCTGAGATCAGAATCCATTGACAACCAGAACCGCTTGATGTTTATACACAATGCTTGATGACTGTGTATGCAGAACATTTATCAAGCAGTGTTTAACAACCAGTTCCACTTGCTTTGACAGTGCAAGTAGACAGGAAATCTAAACACATAGCATGATTTATTAGAGTAGTCGGAGCATTAGTACAGGCTCTATCTTCACACTTCAATTTAACTGTATTCCATTGGCATAATTTACTATCACTTATTTTAATGCATTATTTATCTACTAATATATCAGTGCATTTGGATGCTCTAATAACACAGCCAGTTCCATCTGCTTAGACAGTACATGTAGAAAGATAGGTTCTGCATTATTCATCATTGATGTAAGTGTCTGGAGCATTGGAACATGTTCTATTTACACAGCCTGTATTCCATCCACACTTAGTACCATTGGATAACACTTAACATTAATTCTATGTTTAGACTAAATCGCATGTGGTCTACTCAGTGATGCATCCTTAATTGGTTAGTCCAAGAGTGCAAGTCTTGAGCCAACTTCTACAGCCTTCTTCTGTTATAATGGTGGTGGGAGCATCAGTGCATACTCTATCTTGACAGGCTGTAGATGAGGCACTCCAACTGCACTTATTTTCACTTGCCTCTTTGCTTGCTGCATTGATAGTTACTTTGGGACAATGATCTTGATCCAGAGATGCACAGGAGGTTGGTTGTGTAATACAACCATTGGCCTTAGCAACAGTACAATCAGATCTATAGGTTTTACATAGAGCATCACTTGTGTATAAACTTGTACTTGCATCAGTACAGAGTGCTACTCTGCAACTGGCAGGATTGGCATTGGCATTCCAGAAGCAAGTAACAGATTTGACAGATAGTTTATAGCATTATAATTTCATCATTAAAGAACAATCACTAGGTTCATCGACACATCCAGATTCATCAGATTTAACTGTACAATTTGGTAGCCAAGTTCTGCAATCAGCATCAGTCTGATACTTAGTTGGAGCATCAGCACAAATTCTAGCATGACATTATTAAGTTTCATCTACTATGGTACTATCAAATGAACAATATGTTCCATTGATTAATTTGACATTGCTGCATTGTTTTTGATTTAGACCACTGCAAGATGCAGGTTTGTCAATGCATCCCAAATCTGGATCACCTAGAGTGCAGGTTGATAAGTATTTCTCGCAATTAGTTGAGGTGTCTTTTAGAGGACTGAATTTGCAAGCTCTATCTTTGCAAACTGGGATTTGAGTATCAGAGTCAGGAGTAGGATTTGTATCCCAACTACATAAACGATTTCCACTTAAAACAATTCCTTCACATTATTAGGACTCTTTAATGTCTGAACAAGCACTTAAGAGATCAACACAACCATTTCCACTTTCAGCAAGAGTACATTAATTACTTAGATTCTAGCACTTGGCATGGGTCATTAATGAGGAGGTTTCATCAGTACATTTGAAGTCTCTACAGAAGTAGTTATCAGTTGAAACATCAAAATAACATCTGGTTCCAGTGACTAAGATTGTTTCTCCACATTACACTTAACTCTTAACATCAGTACAGGATGTAAATTTGGCAACACATCCAGTCTAATCTTCATTCAATGTACATGTATTTAAATATGAACTGCATGATACATGAGTGTACAGTTATCCTGAAGCCAAAATGGGTGCATTTGAACAAGTTCTACTTTCACATCCATTCCAACCACATAACACAATATTGCTTGGATTGGATACTAAACTCTAGCATACTTCTTTTGTCTTGTATCCTTTGCATGTGGCTGGTTCATCTGCACAGCCATTGCCAGTAGAATTGAGAGTGCAAGTGGCTAAGTAATTTCTACATTCAGCTTCTGTCTTTAGGGTTGAATCAGCATCTGAACATTAACGATCTCTGCATAGTTCTTGATCCTTATCCCAACTGCAGGTTGATTTCATATCTACCAGTATTACTCCAAAACAATGTTCTCTATTGACCATCAATGAACAACCCAATGGTTTAGCCATACATAGACTGGGATTGTCAGCAACTGTACAAGATGGATCAAAGGCACTACAAGTAGCATTTGTTTAAGCTCCTGGAGTAATATCTGAACAATTCAAGTTTCTACATACTTTATTGTTCTCATCATCATCATTCCAACTGCATTTTGTCACATTATCAGTTAATTTAGTACATTATTATTCCTTCAATTTATCACATGAGGAGGGTCTCTCAATGCATCCTTTGAGTTCTTCATTGACTGTGCATTCATTGAGAAAAGATCGACATTCCGCATCTGTTTTATATGTAGTTGGAGCATTAGCACAACTTCTTAATTAACATTGCAATCCAAAATAGCATTATTTGTTTTGATAATCTAATGAACAACGATCCTTTGTATCAATATTTTTGCATTCTTGTAAAATGCAGCCTTTGTAATTAGATTTGACCATACAAGTAGGAGAGAATCTCTTGCAATCCTATTCGTTTGTTAAGTCTTCAGAAGCATTAGTGCAAACTCTCTCTATGCAAGCATCATTCTAGAATATACATAACTTGCCATCCAATTAGGATACACATTGGTCTTCTTTTGTGTATAGAGAACACGTGGCCTTTTTGGTCTCACAACCAGTTAAGTCAATTTGAACAGTACAAGAAGGTAAAAATGACGAGCACATATCATGATTAATATTTGTTGATGGAGCATTGGTACAAGATTTCAATAGACATTTAGTTTCATACCAAAAACAATCGTCTCCAGCTAAGGTCTTTGCACATTGATTGGATGTGGTGTATTTTGTACAATCAGTCAATTTAGTCTAACAACCTACTCCTCCTGTTTTAAGAGTGCAAGTACTCAACCACTACTAACACCTATCGTGAGTGGTATAATCATCGGGGGCATTATCACAATTTTTGTCTTCACATTTAGAATTGTTTTTATTCCAATAGCAATTTTAACCAGCACTATTGATTACACAATTATTTTGAATCTTTGCTGCTGAACATGTAACTGGTCTGTCTTGGCATCCATTTAATGCATCATTTACTGTACATGTAGATAGATAGGTAGTGCATAATTCATGAGTAATATTGGTTATAGGGGCATTTACACATGTTTTCTCTTTGCATTGATTTGTATCCCAAATGCAATTCTTTTTTTGATCTAAACTTGTGACACATGCTCCTTCCAATTTTTGATTTTCGCATTTCTCCCCACTTGCTTCACATCCACCTCCTTCTTTCATGGTACAACTACTAATCTGAGCTCTACATAATAAATCGGAGTTCAAAGTAATTGGCAACAGATCACAAGTTGTTGGCAATTGACATACACTTTTTTCAGTACTCCAATAACAAAACTTCCCGTTTTCATCCTTTACGCAACTCACCTGATTTGTGTAACTACTGCACTTATCTAATTCTATACACTGTTCTCCATCAGTTGTACAATTGATTGAGATATTTTAGCAAGTCTCATTGGTTGTGTATTAGTAGGCACTGCATCCCGAAAAAGAAACACACTTCTCTGAGACATTGGCACAACCAGGTGTACTCTTACAGACATCTATCCCTATCGAATCGCAATAATTGGTAGTGTTTATTGTTAAAACAGAGCATTTTTTGTTGTTCCAATAGCATTTACGTTCTCTGCATTCTTTCTCAGTTAGAAGTTATGTGCATGAACAAGCAGCATTCGAAACACTCAGAGAGTTCGAGGCTGCAGATGTATTTTAAAGTAGAGTTAACCAATAAATCAAGATCAGAGCTTGTCCGAGTCTCTTCATTGTTATTTTAAATTATGAAATATGCAAATGATTGAATTGTGTGATACATTAATATACACTATATATATATATAGATATTATAATGAACTCATTAAAAGATATCTATCCACTCATTGAGTAAGAAGAAGTACTTTACAGCATGAGGAAACAGAAACTCATCCTGGAAGCCAACAAATTGCTCAACTCAAATGAAAGCGATACTCTTGATGATTCAATCAAAAGTAGCATTTCCAAAGTATCAAACTTAAGGTAAGATGCCATTGTTATGGACAATCAAGTGCATCAAATTCAATAAAATGCTCATGTCACTATCAAGAGTTTTGAGGCTTTGAAGTAAGAATATCAAGTATGGCAAGAAATCAAAAGAAAAACGTAGAGTTGCTACTAAACACATTGAATTGCTTTCTAGAATTGAGTCGAATCAAGAATCAATTACCGATTGCCATTGAATAATAAGACATTGCCTCATGCATTAAATTCGGTCAAGTCTACTATGAGATCCTTCCCAATCTATTGAAAGAATTTTGCCAATCCGATTATCAATTTGTGGAAAATCTAATTATAAACCAATTGATACCATTCCAAAAATAACAATTTGAATTAGCAGTCAAAAATAATGAACTCGAAAAAATTAATCTGTGTTCAGGCTTGGCTAGAGTGTTGCATTTAGAGTAATCGCTTGACAAAGTTAAGAACATTTATGGCGAAGAATTACTCAAGGATCTAAGAACTTTAGAATAGAATGAATAATAGCATCTGCCTCTATCCTTCTAAGATATTGCCAACAATAAGTATCACTACCCATTCCTGAATTATTTTGTTGGCATTTTAGAATTGATCAAACCAGAAAAATTCTCCAAGAATGTTTAACAATACTATGGGGTTGAAGGAGTCTTGGAATTGATTGATTATCTAGTTTCTAAGATCTCACATCCCTATTTGGTTGGTGTCTTAAAACAATTGAACTCCTTTTTTGAAATCGAGAAAATGGTTAAAAATGCCAAATCTGTCTAAAGTTATGATAATCAATTATTGCAATCTATTTCCAAAAAGATTAATTTGGATCAAAAACAATTAGAGAAGGTTTCCTATTATTGTGATGAGATTTCAGCAATCTCCAGTGAATACAATGGATTTTTGTAACATCTCAAACAGACAGCAGAATTAGATAAGGATATTACAAATTTGGCTATCGGTGACACTATTACAGAATATTTGAGTAAGTATTTAGAATTCTCTTAAATCGAATTACAACAGCAAATAGTGTTCTTTGTTTAGAAATCAGAACCTCTAAAAGATTTGTGGAATTTCGATAAGGGCAAATTTACCAAGTTGTTAGAGTGTCAGAATGTACTATTAAGCAATGGATATCACGAATGGCTAGAAGAGATATTCTATTTGATCAAATAATAGATCCAAAGAGCGATTTCCACTGAAAATCAAATCATTGCAAGTGCACTAATCAATTTCATTGGATTCCAAGTCATCTCTGATGATTTACATCAAATCACTCTTCAACTATTCCATCGATATTTGAAGAAAGAATACTTTTCTCCCTAAGCCATAGGAATTGCACAAGATCAAACAGTCAATAATTCATTCATTATTTTGTTGTTCAACATTCTAAGTAATATACCTATGTATCTGAAAACACTCAAGTCACAGATCTATAGTGAATTACCTAAAGGCCCATAATCATAAATGATTGTGGGGGCAGTAGAAGAGATGATTGAAGTTAACACCAAAAAGTTTTAGAAATTAATCGAGGAGAAATTGAAGGTGTTGGCAGAGAATCTGAAGAGCACAGTAAAGGAAGTATTCGAGGAGATTAAATAATTGCATTTTGATTAGAAGGATGTGGTCATGTTGGAACAAGAGAGGGAGTATCAGAAATACTTCTCCAATTAAATAAAGAATGCTTTTAAGGGGTTGAATCAATGGAAGACTTAATTTACATAGGAAAATTACGAATAAATGTCCTTGCATCTCTGTTATTCGATAGCCAAATAACTAGAGCTGATCATTATGAATAAGAAATTCCATCAAACAGGAGCTGTCATTCTTGAGAAGGAAGTCAGAACAAGTATCAATTATCTGATTATGTATTGTTTATCCAATATTCATTAGGATGACCAATCCCAACAATAAACAGGCCTTTGCTAGATTATAATTGATTTGCAGCACTTTACTGTTGGAATCGTATAAGGAGATGGAAGAGTTTCTGAGCAGCAGTGCCATATCTGAATTGTCATCGAATGAAATTAAGAAGATTAGACAATTAAGGATAGACTTGTAGTGATATATGATAATAATTTATTGGTTAAAAATTATATTTAAAAAGTAATTTTGTAATCGTCTATTATTTGAATGATTATTTGTTAAACTTTATTTATAAAATTTAACCATTCTTTAAAATACTATGAAGTCAAAACTAGACTCCTCACATCTATCAAAGAGCTCTGGTGCTAATGATTCAAGAATATTGAAATAAACTTACAATCCTTTATTTAAAATATACCATATCGATACAAAGCATATTTTATGTAAATCCTGCAAAATGCTTGTATTAGAGAAGGAAGCATACAAGCATTTATATGACGATCAGCATGTTCATATCTTATAGAAAGAGTTCTTGAGGAATAAAATAAAATCGGAATCTAATCATAGACGCCGCGAAGTCAAATCAGATATCAAATAGAAGTCATTTTCTTAGTAAAGTATGAAGAAACAATCTGAGAAGGGTAGTTTAAATAAAAGTAGAGATAGTACAATTGGACAATTTATTAAATCACATTAATAATTTGTAAGTAAATTAGTGGAGGATTTAAATTTAATTGGTCACAGTAATCTATCCCTAGTAGTTGCTTTATTGAGTGAAACGTAATGCAAGATCAACATGATATATGAATTGAATTTTTCAAAAATAAGTGAGTAAGGAACTTGTTTTGTTATTCAATAAAACAAATAGAGCTAGCCATCTTATTCAATTAACAAATAGAGGATGCCAGAATTTTTGTAGTAGTTCCTACAAAAGAATTTGGGATCGAATAAAAGCATAATGGATTGGAAATCAAGGAATAAATGCACTTATTTAAGATACCAGATACAGCAGTGTTGCAAGAAATTAGCCAAATTAACAAAAAATAAGGATTACCAGAAGTTTTTGATTGGGATAAGATTGAGTCACTTAAAGGGTTTGGGATTGTAATAATAAAATGATTTGAATAAACAATTGTAGGCAGAGGAAACTGGGAAGGTATAAATTATGTAATAGAATGAATAGGAATAGGAATCATAGGAGGAAAATCCACAACTTTTGGGGGATTAAAAAAAATCAAATATTAGAATAGTATTTAAGAAACTGAAATAGGAAAATTGATATATAATTATAATCAAATTTGATGAGTTTCTCATTTAATTAAATATGTAATCAGGATAATTGTTGAATCTGTAGAGATTAGAACGGTCTTATTTGCAGACACTGTCTTAGAATGGTTGGGAGTCTCCACTTGTGGTTAATGCAGCTGTTGAGTTTGCCAATACATTGATCAAAGATGGAAGACTGCTTTTGAAATAGGGAAATAGTACTTAGGCAGAAATGTTTTTTAATAGAGCAAAAGAGGTATTGGTACGATTAGACTCTGTAGATCACCACGCCAATCTCAATAACAAGCGGGATATTTTACACAAATACTTTTGTGAAGTCAAGAGGCCATGCAATCCTTTAGATCTCTTAATTATTTGAATAATAGGGACAATATTAAAAGGCTTGGATGAATCTAAGAGAAGTCTTGCCTTTCATGGAGAAGTTCTCATATACGAAACGAGTCAATATAAGTGAAGATGATAAGTAAGTATTAAAGTTGTATTCATAATTACTTTATCATGGCAGTGAAGTTTGTAGAATGATGCATCGCAAAGATGACATGTTAGATTAATGTAATAAATTGGTTGACATTTTGTAAAGATTGGGAATTACATTTGATTCTTTGCGAACTTTGACAAAAGAGGAGTTTCATTAAGAATATAAAAAATGGTTTGTGATGTTGGCTAGAGCATTCTATTATATAGGGAAATCTCAATTCAAGGTAGGATTTGAAAGAGAGTCACTGAGAAATCTATACAAGGCTTGGTAAATATAGGAATTGATATTTGGACCTGATGCTCCAGCCACTATGAAAGCTAGAGACAAATATGAAAAACTAAGTTAAAAGATGGAATTCGAAATGATTATGGGATAAGAGAAGGTAGACTTCCAGCAATTCAAAGCTGATCTCTAAAAGGATGTTGGTTAAGAGTTGCTACGCAAAGTAGTAACGCTAAAACCAAACAAAAATTTTGATGTATTACATACCTAACATATTAATAGCATCATATGTAGACACAAGTGAAATCCTATCAATAAATAGTGAGATAGTTGTCGTCACATTCCACCAAATATCAATTGCCTGAGTATGTAAAGAAAGTCAGATAAGAATATGAAGAGAAACTGAAGACTATTTCTAATTAATAATAGATTGACGAATATTAATAGTAGCAAGAGAAGACATTTCAAATCAAGAATAAGAAACTCTCATCCAGAGCAGCATCAACCTATATGAACTAGTCCTTACTCCCTCAGGATAAATTGTTTTCTCCTAGGTTGTCCTTGGCTGCTCATTCTCAAAGAACTAGTCTAATGAATGAGAATTATATGGATAAATTGAAGTATAGTGTATTTCAAATGTAGAGTACAATTGCAGGAAGCTTAGCTCAAGACAGAACCTATTGATGAGATGATGCTTATGAGACCACAATTTAAGTCAGAACATCTTCAGTTAAAGAAGAAGACCAACAACAAATAGGGAGACCAAAATGAATAGATGACCTCAAATAAGAAGAAAATAAAATCTAGTAGACTTATACCCAGAATGCTAAACAAATAGAATACACAAATGTTACATAACAAATCTGATACTTAATAGAGTGAGCAGAAATTACCCAAATTGTAAACAGTTCAAGATTTGAATATGCAACAGTAATTGGATGAAATGAGAGTGCCCACTACTGAATCTGTGTTGGCCCAATAACAATAATCTCCTTCATAATAGGTTATGATCCCTCAGTTATAGCATGTGTAAACAGAAATCACAGAGCAAAGCGAGACCCTTTTCTATGACCTATTGAATAAATATTCGATGGAATAATTGAATTTGGCTGCTAAAATCATTTAACAATATTTTAGAAAGTACAAATCCACAATTAGGAAAATTAAAACTACTCAAACTATTGAGTTAACTCCTATGGCAACATAAAAACCACAAAGTCAAACAGCTTGCAATGATAAATTAGAGAGCAATCAAAGCAATAGAACCACTATGAAAGTCTCAGTAAAGGAACTCAAGAATTCTATCAGGAAGGGAGGAAGATTCGATTAGATTGTTAGAGAGATCAAAAATAATGAGGCTGAATAAATTAGTACAAACAAAGCTAAAACAGTAACATATCATTTAAATTATTAGTTAGTTTAAATAATTGTTGATTTTTATAATCTCCCAGAATAAGAAATGTACTTCTTAGGTAAACTATTCTTCGATGATGAGATCAAAATATGGAAATTGTCGAACATATCAATATGTGCATTTAGTGACAGTGGATATGCAAACACTTAAACTGATGAGGATGAACAGATATCATTTCCCAACACTCCTTCACAATTAAGTATTTTCATCCTTTTTATCATAGGACATCAACTACAACATATAATGAATATCTTTACTGACTAACAATCTATTATTGCATTGCAATTGATAGTCTACTTCTAATTGCAAAATGACGAATAGTAATTTAATGTGAATTTCAAAATCAATAATTTTGTTAGTTATCTAGATGAATATCAGAGATGGTTTTCCAAAGATCGTTTAGAAAATTTTAATGGTCTCCTCAGTATATACTGTAAGTAATAGAATCTATATGAACCTAACAATTGTAAAACTATAGTCTTCTTAAAAAGTGATTTTGCTCAACAGATCATTGGCAAATTAATGTACGCTCTAAAGAATCATTACTATCTTATAAGATCAGTGGTTGGATATAAATTAGTGTCCATGAAAGATGCAATCAATAAGAAATTGCTCAATTAAATAATAGACAGTACCAAGTGTTATAGGAATAAGAAGATAGAAAAGGAAATAAAGAGAATCATGATTCTCAAACAATTTAAAAATGAACCTATTAAATTAATCGAACATCATCAATAAGAACAACCAGTTGTCATTTAGTCTACATAACGAAGACAATAAGTCTATGCTGATGAATTTATACATGAATAAAGCATTGTCATTTAAGAATCTGATGATAACAAATCTGAAGCCTCGCAATAAAATATATCTGAATCAGATTAAAAACGACCTTCTATCAATTTGAAATCAAATGAAAATAGTTCCGAAAGAGATTAAGTAAAGGAAATTCCTTTAAGACATCCCAAAAAATAAAATACAACCATCAATAATAGAAACACAATGATTAGTCCTAGAAATGCACCCATCGTTTCATCTTAAGCATTAATCAGAAATAGTATGGCTCCTAAAGTGGGTAATCACCTATCTGAATTTGCAAGAAGATAATAATAATAAAAGGAAGCCTTCGAACCACCTTAATCTAAAAAAAGTTTAGAAGATCCATAAGAATATAAGGATAGATCATAAACTGAAATTCAATTGGTTCAAGAGTACTTCTCTGAATTTCAATTGGCAAATTTGGATGACTACTAAAACTATTAACCAAAGGAAGGCCCTGTCATTAAACTTAATACTAATGTGAATATGGAACCTTACTTTCCCCCCAAAGGTATTATCATCTAACCAGAACCAGAAGAATATATTAATGAATATCCAGATAATTATGTTGCACTTAATCTTATCTTTAAGCAAGAAAACACTATATTTATTGGATATGTTTTAATATAAGAATCCAAGGCCTTCCTTGTTATAAACAATTAAGATGGCAGTATAAGCAAAAAAGAAATACACTTTGATTTTGGTTTACGATTACCTAATAGAAGATAGAAGTTAGAGATAATCAATAAGTTAACTTATGCAGAAAAATAACAGAAATTATCCTTAATTTAAGAACTGCTAAAATATGATTACAGACATACATTGATTTTATTGGATAGATATGTAAAAAGAATTAATCATTATGACGAATTCATATATAATGAGATATATTAAGAATTATAAGCTAGCCAATTATTACCTTTGACAGATATACATAGTTTAATTTATTCAGAGAAGATGGCCTCTTTAGTAATAGATTAAAAAGTGTATCAAACAGAGGCTGAAGAAGGTTCTCGCCTCTCTATTGTAAGTGAGCCTAATTAAGAAAATTATGATGAGAAAGTGTTAGATGGGAAATCATTTAAAAATTATAGAAGTAAATTCAGCATTATTAAGAATAAATTCTATTTCAAAGACTTCAATTCCTATTTCAGGGTTGAGGTTTGTTTTAAAGAAATTAAGGTGTTTGATACTAAATTATTATATCTAAGTGATCAATAAGCCAAACAAGATTTGATTATTCTGAAGAAGAATATGCATGAATTTATTGGACTAAAAAAGTTATAAATTAAAATTAGACTGTATTATCCGAATCAAAGATTAACATATTATAGAACAGTACATCAACTTCAAGATGTTGAAAAAATATTACACATTTTCAATAAACCTTAAATGATCGGTTATCAAATTAGATCCCAATCTAAAATTTAACATCGATTAATAGGAAAAGCATTACAATTCAAAAGGCATTAAATTAGTTTGGAAGAGAGAAATAGAGATAAATACAGTGCTTTAGATTAATTCTTATTAATGTACATCTCCGATCCTTCATAGTTTATTAGCAATGAAAATCAAAGACTGCTGAAACAAACAATCCTCTTTTATTATTTCAAATAACAATTAAAATTAACTTTAATTTCATCAAGTCGATTGAGATATTTTATGAATACTTATTTCCTTAGGAAAACATTCAATGCATAGAGCAGAGTCAGCAATATTGGGAAAGTGTTCGTAGAATGTGAAGTCTATAAATTCAATAAGTTTTATTTTGATTAGGAAAACGGAGAGCACACTTACTTTTATTTTTAGATTACTCCTTAGGAAAGCAGAACCAAAGTATTCAAATTAGTTTTGGATCTAGCAGATATCAAAAGTATTTGTCCAAAAGTTGCTCTTAATAATTGTTTTAATGATAAGGTGTTACATGATGTACTCAAAATTTTGACAGCCTACTTAATTTGTTACAGAACTAACACTTATCATGGAATTAAGATTCCATTATCTTATATCATAAATCAATCGAAATATGATCTTCATAATACATTTACAGAAGTTACTTATGGAAGCAATATCTTAGAAGAGCAATAGAATGTTAGATCCTCTTAACCTAAACTATCTTTAATATTGAATGATAATAATTTTCGTAAAAAATCACAAACACAAATGATGGATGTTTAAATTGAAAATTTATAATTGCCAGCTGAAGCCAGTAGAATTTTAAAGAATACTTCTATGTTGACACCAGTATTTAGAGGATAAAAATTTATATATAAAACTACTAAAGTTGTAAATTCAATGTATGTCATTATTACTGTCTCGTATTTGTCTATGAACAAATTTTAAATTGGATTGTATATTCCACAAACCTGCAGGAATTTTAGTTGTTATATTTAATAAAGTGATTTCCAATAAATGAATCCTGAATTTCTAGAATCTATCTTCCCATCTTGTTTGGTCACCAAAGAAACTATTGACTAATTTTATATAAATAGATGGAAATTCTCAGAAATGAGCAAGATTTATTAGATTGCTGTCAACCATCCAGATGAATTTGAAGATTTTTATAGTGAGATGAGAAGTTAAGCAAGAGCCATTCCGCAGTTGGAATTATAGAAATTAACAGAAAGCAAAGTATCAATTAACAATGAAGATGAATTACTAGAAAAACCTTATGATGACATGCCTAAATTACTTGAATCTTTTAGCGATTAAAGTAGGTAGAATGTGAGATCCTCTACTCAACCTCCTATTTTCTTGAAGAAATAGATTGCCAAACAATATAGTGTGTAAAATTCAATTGGAAATCTAAATCCTATGCGTTTGTCCTTGCCAACCTAATAATAATAGAATATCCCTCGTGCAGATAAGAGTCTATTTTTCAAACATAGTCCACGAATCTCAAACCAAGGGAGCATGGAAAATTACTATCAAAGTGATAAAGATCTATTCTTCAATCAAATACTTGTTAGGAAGAATAATCTTGATATGATTTCTACATTCGAAATTAAGATTTGGGAAACTCTTATGAATAAGATAACAATTACTAAAAATTCTCAAAATCATTTTATTTTCAATCTTGATTCATTCTAAGGAGTCTTAAGAGAAAATCTGTACACTCAAGTAGTTTATTTGGGTAATGAAGTTAACGCTTTATTTGAAGTGTTTGTTGAGAATGTACGTAAACCACTAGACATGTTTAAAGTGTGTGTTCCCATCAGATTGAATGAAAGCTAAAACTTTTAACTTTATCAAAGAATTACTTTATTCGAAGAACCTAAGGTAGTTAATTTTAAGCTCATGTTGCGCAAAGTTCTGTTTAGTTATTATTATGATGAGAGAAGAAATCTATAAAATCTTAAACTGAAGGATAATTTTGTTGACTCATATGAATTCATTTAATCGGATATTCAAAAGTGTTCAGTTTACATGTTGAATAAATTGAAAAAACAATTGAAATTGAATCCAAGCACATTCATTGTTCAAGATGTTTTAGGAGATGAAAAATGCCCTTAGCTAATCAAAGTCAATGCTAATTATAAGCAATATGCTGCATTTAAAGTACGTCTATTTTTGTTATCATAGTAATATTAATACGTATTATTGAAGAGAATGATATTTACAATGAGACCAACTCAGATCTATGTTTCAATTTTTTACTAAGAAAAGCGAAAAAAGTTTCATTTGTATTTCTAGAGTATGAAAAATTGTAAGAATGTCACAATAAAATACTCTCTAAAGGAAATTTAGCAATGCATTCCTAGTGCAATTAGTTTACTTAATTTAGGATTGCATCAGGAATTAGGTAAAAGAATATATCAGAGTTTCAAAAACAGGCTTTTGGTTTCTACTTATTAATAATTATTATGAATTTTTTTTATTGATTTTTATATACTATGTAATAAGATGATAGTTAAACTTCAAAGGAGGTGACCAAACCCAAAACCAAAGTCAAAAAAAGCAAAGAACAATTAATAGTAAATGTTTCCAGTAAAAATGATCTGCATATCTCATTTTAGGCTCCCAATACCCGGTGATAAGACATGTTGGTAAAAAGATCTTAAATTGGAAAATTTAGAAGGACGAGAATGCAACTAATTGGGATGTATGGTGGACTGATGGGGCTGTCTTTTCTGATCTCTTAGGGAGAATGAGCTGTAATTGATTAATCCAATAATTAGCTCATCAAAAGGTGAATCATTTCCCAGGAATGTACAGCTTAGCTCGTAAAAACCATTTGGGAAGGAACCTTATGAAGATGCATAAATAGTTTCCTTAAGCATATAATTACTTCCCTTACACTTGGCTATTGCCAGCAGAATTAAGTGATTTTAGAGCGAATATTGGCAAAAACAGAACTTTTATCATCAAACCAGAAGCATCATGCCAAGGTAAGGGGATAATGTTGGTGAAAGACGCTGAAGGTCTTTCGATTCATGAGCATTATGTAGCTTAGAGATATTTGAGTAAACCTTATTTGATTGACGGTTTAAAATTCGATCTTAGAATTTATGTATTATTGGCTGGCTGTGATCCCTTAAGAATCTATATCTTTAAAGAAGGTCTTGCTAGATTTGCAACTGAGTAATACAAGAAACCTGGTAAAGACAATTTGGATAATATTTGTATGCATCTCACAAATTATGCTGTGAATAAGGATAATGAAAACTTCATATTTAATCAGAGTGATAAACAAATGGATGTTGGTCATAAGAGAAGTATGACTAGTGTTTTTGAATTACTCAGAAGTAGAGGTGAGAATGTTGATTTGTTATGGAATACAATCAAAAAAATGATGATTAAAACATTCTGTGCTGTATAACCTATTTTAGCTCATTAATATAAATCTTGTCAACCAAATAATCATATGAATAATATGTGTTTTGAAGTCTTAGGAATGGATGTAATCTTGGATCACAAGCTAAAGCCATATTTATTGGAGGTTAATCATTCTCCTAGTTTTACAACTGATACTCCTTTGGATGCTGCTATAAAAAGATAATTGATTTCATAGTCCTTAATTTTGATGAATTGCACTCAGAAGGCTAAATAGGAAAGTATCAATTAAGAAAAGTAAATGCTTCAGTAAAGAATGTTGACAACTAAACCAATTAAATTGACATTGGAGGAGAAATAAAAACTAATAAAACAATGCTAAGAGATTAGGGATTAGTATGAAAATTAGAATATCGGAAATTTTGAAAAAGTCTATCCTTTAGAATAATATGATGAAGATTATGATAAGTTTATAGAACATGCAGGTTTATTATATTAAGAATCTACAGGAGCAAGTAAGACTATAAAATATAATTAGATATCAAAAAAATTCAATAACAACAACAATAACAACAATAATAACAATAACAATAACAATAACAATAACAACAGTCATTTAAAAGAATTGAAAAACCTGAAATAAAATCAGAATGCACTTTAAGAGCCTAAGAATATAGATCGGAATCTAAAATCTCAGAATAAAGAACAGAAATTGTTAGACTAAAAAGTGAAAAATCCCAAGGGATAAAAAGAATGTTAAAAAAAGAACATTCAACGACTCTTTTAGCTGATGATACTATCAGAAACATTAGATTAGCTAGCTTAAAACCGCAATAAAGAGCTATTTTAAAGTAGGACACTTTGAGGAAGACCTTTAAACTCCCTGTCAGTTAGGGTACTTTTGTAACACCCAAATTATTTATGATTACTGAGAATAATAAAAATAGTAATTATCCATATTGATGAATCACGTTTAATTAATTCTTATATATGCTTTAATTTAATTTTAATGAGATATAATTTAAATAAAAATAAAATATCAAATTCTTAATTCAGTGATTACTTCAGTAATGAGATGAGTGAAAATTAATTCACTCAACTCCAATGCTACTTCAGTATGCTCCTCATCAAACTCCTACCATCTATCATCGGTTTCGAATATCTACATATATTGAATAACTTATTTACTTCCTACTTTAACATCTTATCCAACCTTTCTTCTCTCACTTAAGGTAAAATGTCATTATCCATTTAACTACCTTATGGCAATAGTATACCACTTAAAGTTTCAGCCCAAAGCACAACCCTTATTGAAGATTTCTCAAGAGTCTCTTCGACCGAATTCACCTACCGACACATCACATTCTTCCTCCAAGGCAAAGGTCTACCCTTAATACCAAAAGGTCGATGATAATCCAATGCTTCATTAAAGGCATCAAAGATTGCCTTGTTATGTATTCTTTCCATTTCATTGACACAGACATCTTCTGCTCCCACCTTCTCTTTCATTGAAAATATCTCCAAACTTAGAACAGCTTAGTGAATGAATCCCCCATCCAAGGATTACTCTAACATTTCTTCTGTCAGCCTAAAGAATCTTAAGATTTCAAAGGGAGATGGACCAATACTCAAGTTAATTATTTGTAAGAATTAATTCTGATATTGATTTTTAACTATTAATTTTGATGTCTTCTAAATATTGCCTAACATAGCCAACATGAGTCTACACATACTGCAGATTCTCAACTTGTCCCTATTCTTCCATATCTAATGGAACATCCCTTACTTAGGTAATATATTACTTCTAGACCTTATATGTATGATGAAAGTGTCTTATTTGATTAATTCGAGTTATATGATGCTAATTGCTACTCTTAAATGTCCAATTACTCTGAATGTTGAAGTGGCTTCTTTTTCTGATCTATGAGACTTTCCTCAGAATAGCTAGCCCTTAATAACTAAGAATCACTCATGATAATTACATTAATTTTCAAATCATGCAGTTAATTCTTCAGTAGATTACTTTGACTAACACTTACAGGCATCATCTTATTAAAATGATCATCACCCAATTTCTAAACGAATCTCAAGTCCTTTTGAGTCTTTTATATTGTTTCATAGGCTTTAAACCATCCATCTTTAATTGCTTATTTACTGCCTTCTAGAGCTTCTAATTCTTTTTCCCCCCACTTTACTATTTCTTACTCTTTCAAACCAAAAGAGCGAGGAGAAATCCTCTCTTGAACCAGAAGATCTTTCAAGATTTGCTTCTCTTTTTTCTCTCTCTCCTTTATCAATTCTCCTCGGAGCTGAAGGATTTGACCAATTTATGGAGGAAACACCTCAGTTTTTTCAATAATAAGCTTCTATGGTTTCAGTTTGATTTGAGGTTATTCAATATGATTTTAAAGTACATTTTCTTTGTTAAAATCTGCATATTTAATGAGGCTTTCAATTAGATCTGCCATTACAACAATTTCTTGTTTGACTTGAAGATTTTAGAGGAATGATTTTAAATTATCCCACCTTGCCATTTCAGTATCTTTCAATAATTAGAATTACTATATTTTGAGTAGTTTTTTTTCTTTTTTCTTCTACCAAAGTTTTCTTGCTTTGAACCCTTTAAACCATCTCTAAATGCATTTAGCTGCTTATTCTTTCATTTCATGTTCATAGTTTCTAGACTCTCTCAATGATATAACATCACTATTACTCTTTAAAGTTTTGTATCTAGCTTCCAATTACTTGAATTGTTCCTTTAACGATTTTGGGACTCCTGATTTGCGAGAAGTACTTTTACGATTAGCCACATAACTTAGCATAAGTGGTTTTGCACTCACTTTATTAGCACTATCTCTAGGAGGGGATCTACTATTTGAAAGAGAATTTCTTTTGGCAATTTCGGCCAACGAACGCAGATTCTCATCAATATGTTTTTTCTTTTCTAACATGGATTATTGCTTTATGGATTCTAATTGCGAATAGAACTTCTTCTTTTCCTTGATGTAATGCTTTAATTCATGAGGAAAGCGATGTTTCTCAGGAGTGAGAGGAGGATGATGTGAATGTTCTATTGAGGACATCCTGTTTCCTAAGGCTATAGAATCACTTAAATACGCTCTAAAATTTAATCAATTCGTTTAGTGCCAATTTTGTTTAAGAAACTGAGTCCTAATTGTTGACGATGATCTTGAAGAGTGTTTGGTTTTTCATTAAAAAAAGTGGCTGCTTTTTTACGACGCACACACTCTGGAGATGAGAACTCTAAGGTTTGGCTCTTAACTCTTTCTGCACTAACACTTTTTTTTATTTTTGTGGATTTCTTTTTCTTTTTATATAACTGCTAACTCTTTTTAATGGCAGCAGTGCGATCAAGGGACTTTTTTTTTTTTATCTTCTCCGTGCTCTTGGCAACTTTAAGTTCACTTTGACATTATTGCATATGTGATTTCAGGTTCTCGTACTACATTATTTAAATTTGCTCAACCACACTCGTATCCATGTCTCTTCCAGAAGGACCTAAGATCTCCACCTCTGATGCTGTCTTCTTTTTAAGAAGTTTGCCCGTCAACTTAATCTGGTTTGAAATGCGTCGACCTTTAATTGGTGAGTTATTTTACATTAAATTTAATTAACAGTCAAGTTTTTCAATATATTTTATTAATGAGGTAAATTCAACAAAATAAATCATTCGATGAATCTTTCATCCTATTCAATCATCAAATAACTATATTTGCACCAATTTCTGTTATGCCATTTCAAAGTATTCTATTCTCCTTTTCCTTTGTTTAAAGACAAATACACCCCTCAATCCTATGGGTTAGGTTCTATTCAATTGTAAATATTAATTAATTTTTGTTTGAATTAAAGAGGTCACATTTTCCAAAGCTGATTTTACTATGTAAACTTCGCAGTAATATTTTAAATTTCTAATAAAATTAATTTTTAGGGATTTATGTTTTTCTAACTCAAGATAAATATTCCATAGATTGCCAAACTGTTGTTTAAGTGGTTAATTTGATTAAGGAATTTATTTAATTATAAAATAAATATGTTCTGGATTTTAACATTAATTCATCTCACTTATGGAATACCTTGCGCATACACAATAGATGAAAATAGAATACCCATTGAAACAGATAAGGAGCCCTGGATGAGTGAATCAATGAGCTAATGTTAATTCTATGAGAATAGTCCTGTTTGCTGCACTCAGGCATAAGATGAAGGAATTGCCAGTGATTTTAGCTCTTTGGATGCCACCTTTGGTAGTGATGGTGATGGATGCGACATGTAAGAATCAAATCAAATACTAGTTGTGCAGCAAACATGAAAAGATTCTGGTGTGTTTACTCTTGTGATCCAAGATAGGGGGAATTTCTTCAAATCACTGGCAGAGCCAATGTCACTGACCCTAGAAACCCCAACAGAACTATTGATGTATAGACTGTAACCTTACGTATTCATCCTTCAGTGGCCTGTGTAAATAAAATCATTATGATAAGGATGTGTTTTCTTCTTGCCAACGAACAAATTTCGCTTCTCAAGTCAGTGCCATGGCAACCCCAGGTGGATTCTTTAATTTCTAAGCCGAATAAGGAGTGTATGATATGATGCAATTCATTAGATCTTCATCTCTTTAATTAATCACCATTGAGTTTTCTGAATAAAACTCTTTGTTCATGTCTGACATCAATAATTGCAATTAAACTTTCGAAAAGGCCAAAGATGGAAAATTTTATGACCCTTACAAATTCGAAATCAAACAGCCTTGTGGTTGTAATACCTGTGAAGACTCCTGTGATGCTGAGAAAATCTTGTATTAAGAACCAGGTTCTAGGTTATTTCATAAATAGGTGTCTTTTATGGGTTTGATTGGCAATACGTATTGTTTGCATGGGGGTGGGCGATATTATTTGCTTTAGCTTTCACTCTTTACAGATCATGCATTAAGAAGAAAGTCATCTTACAAGAAGATGAGGATTTTATTTATAATTGATTATAATATATATATATCCGAATATTATAATAAATTCGAACAGTAATACTATGAAAAAACTCTAGGTTTTATATCCATCTAGTTTAATACGATATATTATTATAAATCATTAGTAAGTATTGCGACTTATAAAAGCCCCTTCAATGGTCATTCTATTCGAATTTTTCACTCTTCTTTGCACTATTGGGTTTTTGACAATAGAAAATAAAATCTTTTCTAACACTTCACTATTGCTATTAGAGATTCTAATTTGAGCTTCCGTTGGGCATCCACCATTAAACTGAGTAGTCATATTCATTTTATATTAAAATTAATGTTTTTACTAATTAATCTTTGATTTATAAAGCAAATGAAACATCATAATTATGCTTATTTAAATTATATTTTAATTGATTAAAAGTTACTTCATACCATTATAAATCATCATTAATTCATAGTTGAAATTCCTATAAAAAACTGATTGTTGTTTTGAAGACATCAGTCTATTGACAATAAAAATTTATTTATTATAGCCTATATGTAATCTATATGTATAAATAATTTTTTAGTAAAATAGAGTTAATTGAAAATCAAATAGTCATCTCTTAATTATATATACATATTTGTTTTCAACATATTCCGAATAAGATTCACAATGTAAATGTTGGAAATTAATTTATTTTTACAATTTTATTTTAATAATTTTTATTATAATTTGCAATATGGATTCTCAATATAGCTTCAAAAAAGTAGCAAAAAAAGATTGGAAAATACAAGATATTGGAAATAATTGGTTAAGGAAGTGAAGGAAAGGTGTATAAGGTTGAATGCGAAAAATAACTTTTTGCTTTGAAATAGATAAAACCAATGTTCAAAGTGAATTTGGAAGTTTACACTAACATAGGGGAGAATGAGAATTTAGTTTAATTTATCGAAGTTTTTAGTCACTAAGAAAATTCATATGAGGTTTATGAATATTGTGAAGGCGGTAATTTGACAGAGCATATGCAAAAATAAAAAATTCGACAAAAATTCTATAATAAAATTTATTTAACAATTTTGCAATGGCTACAAGGAGTTGTATAGAAACAATATAATTCACCGAGATATCAAGCCAGACAATATTGTGTTTAAAATGAATTAAGCCAAAATCGCTGATTTCGGATTTGCAAGATTTGTTCCGAATCCTGAGATTAAATGGGAACTATCAGTCAAATGCTCACCATTTTATGCTTCTCCTTAACTGTTTGAAGCGTATTTCTCTTCCAAATGCGATGTATGGTCTTTCGGCTTGATCCTCTATAAAATGGTGTATGGATTCTCACCACATCAATCAAATACCCAAATTAGCGATGTAAAACGTTTCCACTAGGATATCAAATACAATAGAGTGCCATTTCCTGAAAATGACATGCCATCTGTTGTAACTTTGATAAAATAGATGCTTAGATATTCCGAGGATGATAGGATAAGTTGGGTACAAATATTTCAGCATCCTTTGGTTGGGTAGAGCAATGATAATGAGATGTTAGTATATTCTCCCAGAATCTTAGAAGAATTCAATATGAGGATATATTTTGAGGACAAAATCTATTAATTATAAATATTTAATTCCTTGATTAGTAATTAAGAGAGTGATATTGAATAAATATTAATAATTTTAAATTTATGGTTAAGTTATATTCTCTAATTAAAAGGTGAAATTAATGGGTAAATTGTAATTAAGAATTTATAGTAGAAATAGTAAAGTAAATTATTTGATAATTTTAGTGTTTATAAATGGAAGTCAAGCCAAACGCGTAAGAAGTGTGGTCAAAGAGTATCAAATGATGGTTGAAGATTAAATTAAATTTATCAATTACTTAGATCAAAAAAGGCACAGCACATTCTCAAAAAACAATCAAAATTTTCAGAAAATGAATTGTCTTGAACAGAAGGAGTAAATAGAATCATTAAATTGTTCCCAAGAGACAAAACAATAATTGAAATAGATTTTCAAAATTTGAATCGAAGCTTTTTGTGTTACTTTATTTTATCATCGAATTTATATCTCTTCTAATATAGATCATTCTGCAATAAAAAAAAATCCTTAATTAAATAATTATTTTATCGACATGATTTATTAATGAATTAAAATAATTTAAAAGTATATTGTAGAGTAATTGGTTTAAGACAAATCGATATATATACAGGAGCAATTGACTCTCTTGTAATAAATGAAAATCGAATAAAATTAATGAACTATGATGTCAAATTTTGCTAAGTAGTCAAAGATTAGCAATTGCAATTTAATAATCAAATTTAAGAATAAGATCAATGGTTTATAACTTATGGGGAATGTGCAGTATAGTTATGTTGTTTATTGTAGTCTGGGAAGACAACTGCAATGTTCAGAGAAGATGGAGTTATTCAACAAATCGGGTAGATTTACATAGACAACTAAAAACAATAGGATGTTTCACTTAGTATGATTGAGATAAGAGAAACTAAGTTAATTGATTTATTCACTTAATAGGAGGTGAAATTGATCACTTCAAACTAGAGTTTTAATTGCTTGAATTTAAAAAAAGTCCCAATATAGAATATGGATCAATACTTATAAATTATTAAATCAGGTTATAAGAATAGAACTTAGGGCGATTGTATGCTCAATAACATTTCTACAAGATATCCCATGATAGTTAAATTGGATTTCGGAAATTTTGCTATTCAATTTGTTGATTTAGTTGGTTCTCAAAAGGCTATTTATTGTTCACCAAAAGCTATTAAAGAAAGTATTATTTGAATCAATATCGTAGTTACTTTTAATAATAAAGCATTAGGCTAGATTTAAAGTATTTTGAATACAAATGATGAGGCTTAGAGATTACTATTATGCAATACACATCTGGTTACAAAGGTATTAAAAAATGCTTTTCGCAATACTTCATTGACTAATTTGATCGTTTGTGTATCGGCTGCTAATATTTTTGAAAAGGACACTTTGAAGATATTGAAACAAATTAAAGGATTATGATATATATGTATTTAATTATATTTGGCAAATTAATTTCCACAGTTTATATCAAAAATGCTGAATGTGAACTCAAAAAGACGCATGACATTGTTCAGTAGTAGATAATCAATTGTACATGGTACTGGATAAAATGTGTTGCTCTGGGATCAAATGTTTGGAAATTTCTAAAGCACCTTAAAATAGAAAAATCAGATAAATAAATCTCAAAAAAATGGGAATGATCCCATCTTCTATTCATCCCCATTGAACTAACCAAATCCCATTTAATTCAATGAGAAACTTAGATAAGGGTTTCGTTAATATTTGAATGGAGAGCTTTCTGCTTTGAATTTAGTGAATGAATGCAATCATTTGAACAGGAAGGAAACCAAACTCAAAAATAGATTTAAACTTGTAAAACGAGCTAACATGTTTGCCAATCAATTACAAGTAACAAACAAATACAGATCTCTACATCAATAAGGGTTGACTGATTAAGAGATCGAAAAGAAAGTCAAAGTTTTATAAAGATTCGAAAAAATAAAGAAATTAATTCAAAAAAATCAAGAAACTAAACTCATTGAAGATACTAATCTCAAAGATGTGTAACTTTTTAGACAACTCTATGAGGTTAGTGAAAACAATAAATCTAAGTTTAAGTAAAAGGATCTGATAACAGAGAGGACAGATGGACAACGAGAATACGAAAATGTTAATTATTTCACTCATAGGTATCTCAGAGTTAAGCGGGATGATGAGTAATTAAAAAAAAATAAAGAATCCAAAAATGATTAAGATTTTTTTAATAAATAAAAAGTCAGGGATATAATAGATCAAAAATTAAGGGGATTTATAGACGAAAGGGAATAATAGGAATAAAAGCTATTGAGTAAGGCTAAGAGGAGAATGCTAATGAAAAATACATAATTCAAAGAATACGAACAAGAGAAATATGTTTTGAATGATCCATTAAACAAAGATGTCAAGCTTTATGCGTATTTATTTGTTAAACCAAAAGAAAAAATGTAATTTAATGAAATCAATTAAAAAACATTGCCTCTCACTAAAAGAGTCAAAGAATCCAAACATTATTTCAAAAACTTTAAAAAGTAATTAACCTCTCGTTCAGCAAGTATGACAAATGATTCTTCCCTAAATTCAATTCTGGAAATAAATATTGATAATTTGTATAAAGCAAGTGATCAAATATAATCTTAGATTCTATCAAACGATTAAGAAAAAATTTGTAAAAAGAATCAAGTAATTATAGAAAGTACAATAACTTAATTAAGAAATTCTAAAGATGAATCAAATAAAACTTTCTTCTGAACGTAAATCATTTTTATTTTGATTCTAATATTATATAATATAATTTGCATAATATTTATGAAAAGAGCATCATAAATCCAAATATAAAAGGAAGCCATTGTTTTTTCCTCTGATGATTCAATGAACAGTGACAATTCATTCAATTCCAGCATCGAAGAGGAAGAAGCAGAGGCAGACACAAATACTATTTTCCATCTTAAAGAACAAATGGCACAATTTTTCACCGAAAACCCAGGATTACAAGAAGCCATCAAATTCGAATAGGAAGAAAAAGAAGAAAATACTGAAAAGACTGAATAAAACAAACATAAGTAACACAATTAATCTATTTATAGGCAAACTTTAATTTCTAAATCAGAGTAACAACAATTTGTACATGGTTGGAAATTGCTAGGCAAAGATGTTATAAGAAATAGTTAAGGGGGTCAAACTCTGCCTACATTGGAAACCATTAATCATAGGCTTAACATCTTCAAATAAAAGGTTGACAAGGTAGATTATTTGGAAATTTTGTAAAGAGAAACTTAATAGCAATAATAGAAATAAGAAGAACAAGTTTAAGTTAAATAGGACACTAAATAACCACCAAGATCACAATCAGAGAACCCAAATAGAAATGAGAATGAGGAGTAGAAATTAGAAGAAGAATAAGATATAACTTATTTCAGTTTTAAGAAAAAAATGCAATTGGCTTTACACAAAAGGCAACAACTCTAAAGAGAGGAAGAAGAAAGGAAATTGAAATAATAAAAAGAGAAATAAAAGAAGGTAAATGAAGCCGATTAACTTGCAAATGATACTCCCAACCAACAGACATAGAACACTCTAGTCGGATCTAAAATGGAATTTTAAACTCATGTGGGTTAAATGCTTTATCAGACATATCTCTAAACTGGAGGAGACAAGGAAAGCTTTAAGAAGATGGCAGCTATTTTCCTCAAAAATTATCATAAGAAATAAAAAGAAAACTTAGACAAATTAAAAGTAAGCTAAAATATGTAATATATAGGTATTCCCCCCTGCAATTCCAAAATTTACTTCAGATGATTGCAAACATCTGAATTTATTATTACCAGACTTTTCTACTTAATTATATGCTCCAAATAAATAAAATTTATTTTAAGGAGTTGAGAATTATAAATTCCCAGCCAATAGTCCTGAATAAGAGTTCATAAATTTGGTGGATTAAATTATGTCAGGGAAAGTAATGTAGTTTTGGAAAGAGATGCATTAACAATGAATCAAATAATTTGTATAAGATTTTTTCATATTTTGGCAAATTTTAATATTTGTAAACTATTTTCTTGGATATAGTTAAATATCTATATAGTTTCATTATTTAATTAAATATCAATATATTAATGTAATTTAATAAGGTACGAGGCACAAAAATAAATGGAAAATTGTTATTTGATGGAACATTATGAATTCGATAGAGTATCTTTTATTATTGGTTTAAATATAATATAGTTATGAATAATCTCATTATAAAAATCAAATTTTGAAGAAGCTAGTTATTAATATATTTTAGCATTTATAAGAATAGGAAACTCATTGTATGGTCTAATAGAGATAAGCCAAGATCAAACTGAATGGGTTATTATAATTTAAGTATTTATCTATTTTAATAAAAATTGATAAAATTTGAGATACGTAGTATTAGTAACTAATGAGTAATAAACCATCTATAAAAGCCTTTGAAATATTAGTTTAAATTTAATGCGTAGTTCCTTGAATGGATGTGAATAATGAGAAATTAAATTTATAGGATTAATGATAAGTTATTTTAGAAAAACAACAATCAAGTATAAAAATAGAACCAAGCTAAACATTAATTTTAAAAATGATTGTTAATCAGAATTTCTAATAATATCTAAGTGCGATTAATTTGAATAGATCTTTAATTTATTTGAAAAATGCTTTTCTTCTACACATTCACATCAATTCTTATGAAACAACATTTAAATTTCTGCAAATACTGAAATTAAGGTAAAGAACAATCATAATATTAAAACGAAGGATGCAGTATGTTTGCACTTTGACAGCAGTTAATATGAAATAGGTTAATAAACAATATTTTAATACATATTGGTAGTAAGGAATATCATGTAAGATAAGACAATGTTAGAACATTTATTATAAAGATGAAATTAGTCTAAATATTTCATTAAATGATTTTCATCATCATCTCACAGAACTCATCATAACTGATTTATCCATCACCATTTTTATCAATTTCTCTGATCATATCCAACCAATACTTCTCGTCAATTCCTGTTAATGATGGTCCCAAGACTTCTTTGATTTCAGCTTCCGAGATATATCCATTGCCGTCTTTGTCAAATATTTGAAATGCCTTATCTTAGATTATTAATTACTTCTTTCAATTTCTCCTTTTACACTGCTTTTTTTCGATCCATGGAAGCAATAATGAATTCAGTATAATCTATAGTACCTGAGCCATCCATGTCCACTAAATCCATGATCTTTTGAACTTCCGTAAAGCAGTTTCATCATCCATATACTTTTTATAGGTTTCGAGGATCTCTTCTTTTGTAAGGATCCCGTCTCCATTCTAATCCATCTCTTTAAAAGCTTACATCTTATCGATAATGAAATAACTACTAACTGATTTTTCTCTTCTTTCGAAATCATGGTGGTTCCGATGAACATCAAGGTAGCTTATTATAGTTTTTATTCAGCTCTGAAGTTCATAAGATTCTTGAGTCTCCCTTAAACTACCTATTTATCGACTTTTTCTTAATGTTATTACAAAAACCATGGGTGTTCCAACACTTATTTAGCACTTAATCTCTTTTATACATCATATTAAAGCATTTTTGTAACTAGATCCTTAGCATGAGCACTTGCAGAATTCCAAACATCACCCTTAAAAATATCAGATTCATGATACTTCTAATAAATATTTGCCATACAAAATATTCTTTTGTATATCAGCATCCGATTTTCCACCAAAGGGAGGCATACCAGATAATAAAATATATAAAATAACACCGCAAGACCAAATATCGCATTTTTCATTGTAATTGCGTTTCAATACTTCTGGTGCCATGTAATACAAAGTTCCAAATTTTTCATTTATTTATTGATTAGGTGAAAATATTTTTGCTGTTCCCCAATCCACCACCTTCACATTATAATTGCCTTGGCTGGTTATATCTAGTAGAATATTTTCTGGTTTTAAATCTCTATGAACAATGTTTTGATTGTGAGCATACAAGACTGCAGACATGATCTGCTTCATTACATAGGATGCTTCTTTTTCTGAAAAACTGCCTTTTTCAATAATTTTATCGAACAATTCTCCACTAAATTCGATTAAAATGAGTACCCTGTGCACAATTCGATAATGATGTAGTAATTTTTTTCGTCTTGATAAAACTCATACAATTTAAGTATGTGAGGATGATCCAATTATTTGTACACGTTAATTTCATTGATAAACTTTTATTGCAATTCAGCAGTAGACAGTCTGGATTTGCTAATGACCTATTATAAATGATAAACACTTTTGGAACTTTCATTGCTCGTATGGCTCTTGTTTTTCTATGTGTGACTTTTCGTACCTAGGAAAATGCACCAACACCCAATACTCCCTAAACATAGATGCAATCCTTACTCCTAGTTTATAGTCATCGGTATATGAGTTTTGTTTCTCAACGATGAATTGACTAAAATTTAATTTTAGATGATTTTGATCCATATGTCTTATATTATGTATAATTATAAAATTGATTAATAATAGGAACATCTTTTATTACACTAATTTTCTAATGATTACCTAACCAAGAAAATGAGATAAGTATTTAAATAAAAGTTATACTTTTGGAATCAAAAACAGAAATATATATGGAGATTTAGATATAATATTGAAAAAACAACTTCGAACAATAAAGTACATATTAATTAAAAACCCTATTGTATTGGTTTTATAAAATTAATGAGTTATATGAAATTTTAAAGGATTATATTTTAAATATGCTTTTCCTTTTTGCTTAGCGAGAGACAGATGAATAACGTTGTCTGAAACTGGATTTCTGATTGGTTTTTTGATTTGTATTAATATTTTGGTCGAATTTAAGGAAGTTGACTATATGAAATTATTATTAATATTAACTCTCTAATCAAATGATAGGTTTTCTGATTAGCGCTTTCTTTGGGTAAGGCTTATAAGCTATTTAGATTTTGCATTTAAGCAGCTCCGTGTTTTAATTTCGATAAGATGTCAACCTCAGTTAAACCAGTCTTAAACGACGTGATAGAGAGGGATTACACAAGCAAGAATATCATAGGGTATGGAATGTGGCATAGATGGATACCCATGTAGAATACGACAGAACTTAAAAAAACCACTCTTCCTTATTTATAATTGATTTATGAATTTGATACTTTGAAAACAGCCATGTACTCCAAGATTTATATGATTAATGCACTTGACACGCAATCATTTTACATCGTTCTAGAGTAATTTGGAAGTTACACTCTCAAAAACCAAATCGCTTTGGATAATATTATGATTGAAGGGAGATGGGCTTATCTTTATTATTGTTAAAACATAGCTGCAGGGGATTTTAGATTTTATTATAAATTGTTGATCGATAGTAATTACGATCAGACATACGTCATCTCTGGGATTGAGAACGACAGGATCAACAGAAGAAAATCTGGGTTTTCTGCCGGGTATATAACTATAATCCCAGAAGAAACACCAGGATATTTGTATTTTGGTCAAAAGAGTGAAATACTGTTTAAGGACGAATTCTACGACACCATCACTGATTTCAACACAGCGTTGAGTGTGGCTTGCAGTTTTCCAGATGTGTGTTCCATAGGTAAGTAGGTAACATATATGTTTAACAATATCTATAATTTCGGTTAATTGGGGGCCAAGATGGATGACTTATTCTATGCAGAAGGGAACTACGTTATTTCTGCCTGGATTAAACTGGATTAGTTGAATTTGGATCAAAATAAATCCTCATATACAGCCTTACGATTGGCAATATTTGATTTTTATGCAGACGATTATTTGTAAGGAGACAGACAATTATGGTTGAATTACTAATAGGATTACGAGTTCCCTGAAAATACAAAAATATCAGTGCATACTTTCTCATTTATTTTTGCTCAATTGACCTTCTATCAAACAAAGGAAGATGACAAATGGAGTATCCAAGGTCTTAAATATGAGGATCAGGTCACTCAATGGCATTACTTTTCATTTTAACATGGGTCTTTTGTGGAAGCTGAAACTGGATACGGCAACACAAAGATCTATTTCCAATTCAAGGATTTTGAGATCACAGATTATTACGTGGAGAAGAAGAACCATTTCTCCACTCAGCAATTAGTACTGATAGCAGGTAGAGATAAATATGCCGAGTCCTTAATGAAAGGATAAATGGCATTTCTGAAACTAGAATATTGTTTCGGCAATACCTTTACGATGGTGAAAGGTATGACATTAATTATAATCTCTAGATTGCAATGTTCTTTGTAAAGAATGCGTAGGTCCTGAAGTGAATCAATGTACATCTTGTCAAGCCTCTCAATTCAGAGTATTAACAGACAATTAATGTCTGTGTAAAAGGAACTACGTTGAAAATACCGATAAAACCTTAGTCGTATGCCAAAGTATTGATCCCTCTACATTTATTAGGTTTTACTGACAGAGTTGGCTCCAATATCTTTTAAGAGGCCAGTCAAGTCAACACATGTTAATAGGGGTAATTTCTAATTAAGAATGGGAACACTTAATAATGTCTAAGTTGTCCAACTCAAATGAGTGACATCTCAATACAATGTGGAGACTGTTACATAAATAGTTAAGAGTGGTATTTAAACCCGATTTGCACATTTGATTATTAGGCATTCAATTCCAATCCAAATAATGCCTTCAAATTTATAGAAAGAATGGAAAGTGCATATTAATTATTTACAATATCGGGCGATTTGAATCTTGAATTATGTCCTTAGTGTTTGAAAATAGTGACAGACACCTCGCAATTGGATTCTAATAAATTAATAACCCAATATCATCTAGGAGTTAGATCAACTATTCTATGTAAGAGTTGTAGCAAATCAGTAAATAACTAATGTGTTGATTAAAATGAAAATTGCGATTAATGTGATTCGCATTACGTGTGTTAGAGTTGCTAAAATGGATTTAAATTGGTTAGTAACTAGTTCTGCAGGTAATGTCCAGATAGTTGTACTGAATGCACTTTTATTGGAGATATGCCTTAATGCACAAGTTGTCCTATTGGATTCTATTTGTCAGGAGGTAAATGCACCCAATGTGGTTGGAATTGCTTAATATGCGATGCATAAAGATGCTTCAAGTGTGTGAATTATAGTTAGTATTATATCTCATTAGACGGCTAAAATTGCTATGAGAACAAAATCACTAATTGCTTGATTGCTTATGAAGAAAGTGTGAGCAACTCTTCAGCCATCTCTTTGCTCAAAGACTATCCTATTGTGTAAAGGAAAGATGATGTAGTTGTTAAGTGTGCTTTATGCGTTACACAAAGTATCAACAAATTGACTTCTTGTGTGATTGATTTTAATTTACCTGTATCATCAAGATATCTAGAACAGAATGGTTAAAATGTTCAATTAAGTGCAACCAACCTCCCTTAAGGATCGTATTAATTAACCAATTAAACAAACACTACTTCAATGTGTGATAGTGATCGCAATTGCAAGAGTTGTGTGTTGGAAGATAGGTTCTATTAGGATTCTTGGAAAATTGATATCACATCATTCTATAATACTAATTATGGCTAAGACTTTCTTGATTTAGTACTAAAGACTAATGATGGGGATATCAAATGCGTTACTTGTTTGAAGGGTTATGATTACTTAAATGGGAAATGCATTAAATCTTGTGATTCCAATTGCAAGGTGTGTCAGATTATTAATGAGCAAGCTATATGTATATAATGTACAGAAAACTGGAATGGCCAAAGGTTGACTTTGAGTAATGGAGAATGTATTGAATGTCCATACAATTGTGCATTATGTTAATAAAGGGATGCGAAGTCTCTTTCAACAGTCAATCCATATTTTGATCCAACAAAGGCAGATTTCATCAAATTCAGCTACATCTGCCTCAAAAGTTTTACCATCCCAACTGTGAATCTGAATTATGATTTTGATTTGGAAAATTTCGTTGAATGTTCAAGTGCATCCACATGCAAGTAGAAGGCATTGATAGACTTGAAACTTTATTGCAACAAGAAGTCTTTAACTGTCTTGAATGGATATGATTAAGATTTGACTGAATTCACTTCACCTAAATACGAATCCGATAGTCATACCATTGTGTTCAATCAGAAAGTTCTTAAAGAGATAACTATTAAGATGCGATTAATTAATGATGATAGTACTTTATCATGCAAATTGCCTGACAATTTCCAAATCATTTCGGATTTAAGGAAGAATGTATTTACTTTGAAAACTATTAATCTTGAGTTCTATGGTACAACAAATGTGATTTTCAATGAAAACTTCATCATTACTGGATTCAACTAAGTATTGTTGAAAGATTTCACTTTGGCAAGTACATCGAAAAATCAAACTCTATACATCTATGATCAATTCCAATTCGAGTTGATCTTAAATAGCATCACCTTGAAAGTTGTCGATATTTCCTTTTCTATCGTTGTTGAGAATGCCACCTCCATTACTATTGATCAATTTGCTATTCAAGATAGTAGAATAATCAATTCAATTGGTATCGTACAATGTTTTGGAAGTCTAAAGAAAGATGATGTGACCCTGTAATTAACGAACATCGATATAAAAAATAGTTAATTCACTAATTCAAAGATCTTTTTGTTCAAATTATCTGAAAACTACAACAATCTCAAAATATCAATCTAATCTGCAGTCTTTACATCCAATGTATTCAGATTAGGATCCTAAGCTTTTAGAACAGACTTCCCTCTTAACGTAAGAATGGCCGTAGTCGATATCACCTAGTTTACTTAGACATCGGATGAATTAATTGAATCTACATTTGCTAGTTTTGAAGGAGTGAAAAGAGTGAATATCAATTAGATTGCGCTGTAATAGTCCAAATTGAGTGCAAAAAGTAGATGGCTGATTCTACCATTATTCTCAATGACTGATCTGCAAGTAAAGAACAACATCTTGAGTACAGACGATGTAATATTGATATCCAATAAAGCATCAGTGCAATATTCTGATGCCAATGATGGAAATACTATAGATATGCAAACAATAAAATTTGAGTTAAACAAATACTTGGGTAATAAGGCATTCATGGAAATCTATTAAACAACATTTGTTGGATTGAAAATCACAATTGATGACTTGCTTATTGATTAGAATGAATTATACACACTAACCAAATTGTAACAAAAATACATAGCATCAGAAAATTCAACTTTATATTTTGATAGTTATGAGTTGACTCTAACCAATACCAAAATTGTGAGAGGTAAAACATTTCCAGAAATGGCCATTTTAAATAGTAATAAAGTGTAAATAGACAACATGGATGTCACCAGAAACTCTGATATCTTAAAATTGCTTAACAATAGATTATCTTGTGTTTCAGCCAATGCAATACCTCAAATTTATACAACTATTTTGTACTTATATAACATTAAGGAGATCGACATGAATCACATCACTCTCTATAAAATCAAAAGTATCAATCAACCTTTAATTTCCATTAAATCATCAGATAGATTGAAAATTAGATAAAAGGAGTCCATCAGAATAAGGAATAGTATCTTCAGTGAGAATCTCCTAATTCTGAGTAAGATCAGTGAGTTGTAAGCAATTATATCAATCATATCCGAGTAGAATCAGGATTTTCTTGTAGAGGACTCAAAATTTTTGTATAATTTCCAACATAGTTACATATCAGATTTATCATTTGTATCCTCTTCAACATTGTTGTTTTCCAGTCCAAATTCAAGTGTCATACTGAACAGAAACAACTTTGAAAAGAATATAGCTACAAATGGATAGAATTCAAACTTAGTATTGAAGTGCAACAGCATCACAATAACGACTTGTAGTTTCCTCTATTCTAATCAATTGTATTTCAACGTGATACACGAGAACATCGTTTGGGGTCTGGAAAGCTTTACCATTCCGAAACAAGAAGAATTCTACTAAGCGTTTCCAATCAAGACTTTCGGTGGAAGTGCTTATTTATCTGCAAACACCACGACAATCAAAGATGTCAATATAATTGGTTCGATTTCATTGCTTGGAGGAGCTATCTATCTATAACCACAATCTGATGGCGTTGTGAAATTTTAAGACATTTTATTCCAGGAATGCAGAGCATCTTTGGAACAAGTTTCTAATGCTCAAGGAGGTACAATCTTTATTGATGCATCCTCTTCTCAAATCTAGATGACCATTTCGAATTGCACATTCTTGAATAGTTATAGCAGAAGAGAAGGAGGAGTCATCTACGTGATTCCATCAAGCAGTGAGAACAACATGTACCTAGAAGACGTATTAATTCAGGATTCTTATTCCATCTACTACTCTTTCATTAAGACCTTTGGATCAAATCTTTTGAATTTAGATGCTCAAAATCTGACTCTCCAGAATTCCTATTAAGGATTCAAGTAATATTTGGGATAACTCTATCAACTATCTTAATCAGAAATAAGTGATTACCACTTGAATTATATCTTTTCAATCAAAGGCAAAATAACTCTGTAGAATTCCAGCTTCACTGATTACATGAATGGGTTAATTGAAATATCCAATGGAGAACTAATCATGAAGAATGTTATAGTAAGTAATTATATTACAGGCAGTTAACCACTCATTTCATTGTCAAGTATTTCTGTGATCATTATGCAGAATGTGTAATTCCTAAACATCTCAGTTTACAGTCTAAATGATAATATCGTACCTGAATGTGAAGTGTCCTACACTGCTCTAGCCTTAACTTGTGATTACTCTCAAATAGCACCTACATTTATAGAAATTGACATGAATCAAACCATAATAGATTACTATTCTATTTTGAATCTCAAAAATGTCCAATTGGCTCAAAACTATCCGACATCCTTGATATCTGTAATGAATATCGATGCAGATCATTCAATCGTGATTCAAGACACAAAGTTCTAGGAAATCATTTGTCAGAAATGCTCTGAAGGATTAATCTAATTCCAATTTTTGAACTACTTCAAACTAGGCAATAACATAATCTCCTTTGAGAAATTTCAATTGTAATCGTCTCAATGTGGACAATTGAGCTGTATTGTTCTTCAACAATAATTCAACCAAAATCGATTGAGATTGTTAGTTGATGATTCTGCCAAAAACTCCCTCATCTATACTGTCACTGTGCGTTAAAGCATCTTTAGCAATAACTTTGGTACCAACGGAGGAGTCTTTCATGTCAATGACATTAACATCCTATTCGATGATTGCAAATTCCAATCCAACATAGCCTCTGAATCAGGAGGAGCCATCTATTTCATTTCCAAACAAGCCACTTTGAATATCTATGATTCAGAAATCAATGGAAATTAGGCTGCTGTCGGAGGAGCCTTCTTTTTATAAAATTACACTCTAAATTCACCAAGCATATTGAATCTGTAATTGAGAAATAATAAAGCCCAGTTGTTTGGATAAAATTATGCAGAATATCCCAATTAGTTGACTCTGTCATTGAATGGCGGAGTCGATTACCTAGAAAAGGAGAGACTCTTTGCAAACCTAACAACCATCATCGATGTCATAACCATTCAACCTTACAATGTTTCCAACACATAGAAGGATTACATCACTCTTCCCAGTGGACAAGCCATCAATACTTATAAATACTTCGACGAAGAAACACAACAATACTTATCGTACAATTTGACCTTCAGAATCATAGCACTCAATAAGTAAGACAATAAAATACAGAATCTGGATGGCAGCAAGTGTACAATCTTTTCAAGGAAGATAAACCTCAAAAACATCACTGATATAGATCCACAAAACATAGAAAACGTCACCAGCAACCAAACCTCTCCATACACCAGTATGCAAGAAGTCAACTTCAACACCACCTCTCAAGATTACAATTTGGATGAAATGATTGTTTATTTTGATCCTAAATCCAATTCCTAGGCTGTGTTGTAAATTGAGTTCTTGTGTAGTTCGATTAGAATACCCATGTTCAATCCAGAACCTCCATATTTATTGAAATATCAAATCGAAAATTACAGATTGAGAGTGAATGTGCAATCATTCGACTGCTAAGTGGGAGAGCAGAAGAGAGATGAAGATGGTACTTGTCTTGTCTGTGATTCACAACAAGATTAATATTCGGTCATTGCAGGAGAGACTTGCTAAGTCAAAGATACCATCTCAACAGAGGCAGTCACTTCAGCCAGTGTCAAACTCAGACCTGGATATTGGAGACCGTACTCATATAGTACTAGGATTGAGTATTGTTTGAATATGCAGATCAATTGTGAGGGAGGCTGGACTCCAGGAGACTCCTCCTGTTTTTCAGGACATATTGGGGCATTATGCGAATAATGTGATATCTACAATATTATGGGGAATGGACAATGGTCAGTGAGTGCATAGTATAAATGTGGTAGTTGTAATGATGTGGGAGACAATTCAATCAAGGTGGCTCTTATTAGTACTTGGTAACATAATATCTTATCTATTTTAGGACCTTGATTTCCATTATGCTTTCAGTGAAGAGTACAATGGAGGCTGTGAATAACATGATCATCAGTCATAAGTTTTCGAAATACTTTGTTGAATAAACTAAAGCTGGTTAAGGAGGTATCTTAATTAAAGTGCTCACCAATTATCTCCAAATTATAGGAGCTGTATAAACATTCTAACTTTCTTTACCAAGTGCTCTCACAAGTGCATTCAAGACTGTCGGATCACCTGTAGAGTCCATGAGTTACTCCTTGGATTGTTTCTTGATCAAGATCTCAGATATCAATGTCATGTACTTTAGAATGATATGGGCTTTGATCATGCCAATCATCTACATTTTAACCTTTTTTATTCTGTATGGAATTGCTATCCTGTTGCGTCAAGCAGATGCCAGTAAGAGTGCCATCACCACTACTTTCATATACTTGTTCACTTATTTGCAACCTACTCTTCTAGGAGGCTTTGTATCGTTGCTGTCATTCAGACAAGTATCGAATATCTTCTGGGTTCAAGGGAATGTGGCCTATAGATACGATACTGCCTAGCATTTGAAATGGGTTCTTTCTTTTGTATTTCCGTCTGCATTTACACTTGGATTGATCATACCCACTTATATGTTTCTGAGCATGTACAAGATTAAAAATGATTTGAACGACGGAGAAAATAGAAAGAAGTGGGGTTATCTATACAATGAATATCAACCCAAAGCTTACTTTTGGGAAATAGTGAAGATTTTCTAGAAGAGTTTCATCATATTGTTTTTGACATTCTACGAAGATTTAATCATCATCAAGGCTGCCTTGATCTTCATCATTGTGTTCATTTATTCTCTGCTCACTAAGAAATATAAGCCATTTAAGTTACCCTATTTAAATTATTTGGATGATATGAGTACATTAGTTTGTGGAACCTCCATTGTGTTGGGAATGACTCTATATTCAGCCAACTAGACTTCCAATCAGGAGATCATTTGGCCCTTCTACATATTTTTGATAATCATCAATGGAGTCTTCATTGCGATTATCCTATGGGAAATTTTGTGGGCTTAATTGGATGGCTAAGAAGAAGCCTTGGATAAGCTAAGAAATAAGATTAATGTGAAGTTCCCAAATTTGTCAAACAAGAATTGGTTGACAAGGAAACTATTCACGAATAGAGCTGAACAACGTGCTAGAATTAAGAAGAGATTTAGAATGATTAGAGAATATTTGATGGGCATCGTAAGAAACGAGAACAGAAAGAGAGACCATTTGTATCAAATGAATCCTTTGGAATTGAGTGATAAGTAAGATATTTTAGAGATATTTCATTAGAGAAAAGGACGAAAATGACTCACTATCTCCAGACATCAACCCAACCATTCTGTCCGTCCCTCGTTTCTACAATAAGATCTACCCTGAGGTATTTGTGGATCAATATGGATATGACCATCAATCATAGGCTGACTTAAGTAGAGTAGAATGAAATTTCTAATAAATAAGTAGTATATCATTTTATTTATCTTGTTGAACTCTATCCTCTTTGACTAATCGATGATTTTAAATGAGTCGATGAACTAGACCCTCTTTTCACTTGAGGTGGTCTCCAAGACAACCCGTTATGTGAAGGACTCTGTGGTTTCTTCTTGCTTGTTAAAGTTTGCAACATCTTCTAAATCTACAATTATTAAAAATGAAATGGCTACATAATTGCGATCTATTATGGGCCTATCAGATAACACAGTACTTAAAGTGGGATGATTGTCTTGACTCTTTCTGGGTTTCTCTTTCATCATCTACTAAAATGATTTGCGTAACAAAGATAGTGGCATCACACTCTAGGGTGTCAGTGATTATTTAAGAGTCTGAGTTTTTGAAAATTGCTTCTCTATGTCATTTAGGTTTAATTAGAGATTCTTCTTTTTTGCACTTGATTAACTAATTTGTAACAGCTTCTTATCAATGAGATGATCACTTTGAACTCGCATCTTCTATTTCAACTAGAATATGTCCTTGTATGACTCATTGACATAATTGAAGAAATCAAAGAGATCTTCAGAACTACTTAACTCGCCATGTTCATTCTTTTGATTGAGATCATTTACATCTATCTTCAAGAACTCCTGATGGATGTGAGTCTCATAGATATCAATGAATATAGGCATCTAAGCAGATTTCTTCTATTTGACAGCTTGCCAATCGACATCAGCAAACCAGGGATTCCTCTTCAAGGTAGCAAAGTCATGTATTCTTTCTTTAATATTCTTATTCAAAAGATTTTACAACAATGACATTACATCTGAACTCAAATCTTCAGGGAATGAGATGTCCTCATTCTAAATTTTATGGAATATTTCTTCAGTGTTCTGAGAATAATGAGGTGGCAAGCCTAACAACAACTCATACAATAAACATCCTAAGGTGTAGAAATCAGCAGGATATGAGTACCCTTATCGATTGACTATCTCTGGAGGCATATACTCAGGAGACCCGCAGAAACTGTTGGTTAGTTGTTCTTCACTCAAATCCAATTTAGACAACCCAAAATCAGTGAGTTGGATGTGACCTCTAAGATCTATGAGTATGTTCTCTGGCTAGACATTGAAATTTACTAATTACTTTCAGGTCTCTGTATAAGACACGATGCTAATGGAGTTCCTCCAGGGCACAAATGACCTCGCAAATGTAAGCTCGAGCTTCATCATCTGTAAAACGGTAATTTTAGAGATGATAAAACATCTCACCCCCAGCAGAGTACTCCATTAAAAAACACAGGTGGTCTTTGGTTGCAAATGTGGCATACAATGGAATGATGAATTTGGAGTGATTCAGAACCTGGGACAGAATTTTCTTTTCTCTTAGGATTTGTTCCAGTCTCCTGCAATCAGTAATATATTATTTTTTGATCATCTTCAGAGCAAACAATCTTCCAGACACGTGATGACGTACCAAATAGACCTCTGAAGTACCACCCTTACCAATGCATCGTTCAAATGTGAAGTCTAAAAGACTCAGATTTTATTTATGAGCATTCTATCTGTAGACTCCAATCAAAGCTTCCTGTTTCAACTTGTGTATGGGCAGTTAAGCTGATTAATAATCATATGAACACTTACCTCTCTCTTCTGGCACCGATAACATATAATCCATCGTGATTGAATTCGAAACTGTTTTCAAAGCAACCAACTATTATGAATTTGGCGTTGCTGGATGTTCACGGAGCTAGCATGAATAAGTCTCCAATACTCATACCTTGTTCAGGAGATCAGCCACACTCTTGTCCATCGCTATGTCGATCGCCACCTGTTTATCATAACATCTTATCTACACAGTTCTAATTTTCTAAGAGTGATTTCGCTTGTGTTCTAACATTATTTATGTTATAAAGAATTAAAATTGTTAGATCCCTCAATCAGAAATTGAGATATCGCTACGAATAGCTCTCCGCAGAGCTCTACTTCTTGAATTAAAGAGATTGCTATGGGGCCAAAACACCCAAATCAGTCAAACTCAAACCATTGAAAGCAGCCAATCAAGGATATCTGGCCAACAATCACGAAAGTTCAGACACTTGCTATGTCACTGGAGTGCCCTATGGTTAAACCAAAGACAAATTCCAGAATTACGATCTCTTCAACAGTCTTAACACTCAGTATATCCATTCCTCTACTTAGAATGCATCCAGATCTAATCGTATTGCAATTGGACCCCTCCCCTTATCTAGCAAGGCAGAGATTCCTCGCTCACAAATGTGCACTCCAAAATGTCGAGGGCTACGAAATGTACGACACCCCCTTGATTGATCCCCTCAAACCACATGCTTGGGAAGAAGCAGTAGTCAATCTAGTCGTCTTAGATATGCTCAATGCCAACAAAAATATGGAAGAAATTGATTGGTCCAAAGGACTCAGCACCTACTCCTATGCCAACATTCAATCCAAAGAAATACAAGAAGCCAATAAAAATCTATTCATATAAACTATCGACGAACACATTATCAACCATAGATATTCAGAATATTATCTCATTAATCGTGTCCTCTACACAGCCCTTATGGGTAAACACAAAGTTCTGTTGGCTGACATGCCTGATCACTTGCATAAACTAAATTTAGGTGGCACTCTTGAAATCCAAGAGGCCAGAGATCTCTTCAAATACACACTACAAAAGACCAAATAGATGAATGATATTCCTATCACTCTCAGAAAAGCCGCGTACGATTTCTTGCCACATGTCTTTTAAACACCTAAGGATCTGTATATGACTGCAATGTTGAAGAGTGCTTTCGAAGGATGCGAAACTATAAATGCCTATGTGGGGATACCACACCTAGTACCCATCAACAATTATTGGGTTGAAGCTCCTCATGGTATCAACTATACTGAAGCCACTCGAATTCCCCCCAGAAGAACAGGAGAAACTGATGAAAATTAAATTGAAAAAATGGCACTTTTAGATGTCCTGCTCGAAACCCACACTTGGGCAGAACCCTACTTGAGCAATCCCTTCCCCTACATTGTCGAGGATCTTACACAAGTATAACTCATTCTCATTATTCAAAGGCCACAGCTGGAGATTTGAAGGCAATGAAAGAATGCTTCTTACAATATTACTAAAAGTACAGTGCATATAAAAATGAATTGCAAAAAGAATTGCCAAATCTAAGAAATCATGATATTAAATTCATTGAACAAACTAGACAAGCCGTTCCTGATATGAAATATGAAAAGTCTATCGAGATCAAAGCTCTAACAAACAAGCAATTATAATAAAGAAATGTAGAAATAGTATAATGATTATTTTTAATTAAAATTCAAATTTATGTTTTATTTATTTAAAATGTTAAGTATTTTAATAATCTCACAATTGAATTTAGATAAATTATATAAACAAGAAGGGAAATATACATAATTTAGTTGTAATAGACAAAAATTGTAAAACCTAAAAAATGAATTCATTGTTTATTCATGAATAAGTCTCAAATAAATACTATTATTTGAACAATCAAAAAGATTGTTAGAATATTAGCGAATTTCTTGTCGATAGTGATATTTTTCTTAGGTGGTTGACAAGATTAGCATTTTGATTATTGACTATTGAATGTATAAGTATAACCTGAGAGCAAATAACAATCGTTGTAACTTAAAGTTGTAGGATCTACTATTTTAATGCAGGTGTTATTCTGTATTTGACAAAATGTTATTTCGGTTTTGTTCCAATTATAAAAGAATTAGCATATGTTATTCTATTCATAATAAGATGAACAGGTGTGCTCTAAGCATTAACTAGAGGATGTGTTTGTGGCTTTCTTGTAATAACACAAATCTTTGACCTACAAACAGGAGTTCTGATCCTATTCAGATTGTTGACATGATTCCATCGGTTTACATACATTACGCTCAGTTGTAGTAGTAACATTGGATGATGCAGGAGGGATCCAGGAGCAAATCCCATCAGTTCCTTTAGAATTACACGAAATTTAGGTTTTGTAATCCTTACATTAGCCTATAGCTATGCATGATTGGCCATCATAAGTGCATTTACTATTTTATTCTCTACATTTTTCAACAGATTTGGCATTGGCAATATTGGCACATCCAATAACTTCACATTTACTGTTCAACCAAAAACATTGTCCATCTTCACTTTTAGCAATCTTACATTCTGCTTCATTTGTTAAACTGGAGCAATTAAATTTAGAAACACAAGTCTTACCATTACTAGTACATGAGTAGAGTTATGATTCGCATGCCTCATTTGTTGTACCTGCTAAATCAGTGCAACCTTGATCTCGGCATTGATTAGCAGAGGTATCCCAAGCGCACTACCCAGTTGAAATTACTTTTTTATCCTACAATATTCTGCCATCACTGTTAATCAGACAAGAGATTTGAAGTGTATACTTATTACAATCAGTAAGAGAAATGCATGTCACACCATCAGTGGTGCAATCACTTTTTGTTGCATAGCATTAAGAATGAGAAGGTAATGCAATTTGTTTACAGGATTCGAATTAAGTACAAACATTTACATCATCTTTAAAAATTTAAATACATTCCCCATCTATTCCTAATTTACATCCTCCATTTGTATTAGTCTCCTAACAGAATGTAATTGGAACACATTAATTTCCATCAGTGGTACATTCTTTTGAGACTTTTTGACATTCTTCATGGGTCTTGAATTAGATGTCCTCACATTATGAATATTGATAACACTAATTATTTACCCATAAACAACTTCCATCAGTTCCAATTATGCAATGCAATTTCAAGGTATACTCTGAACATTCAAGTAAATCCATGCAATAACCCTTTTTTACTAAGTCAGCCGTGCATTCTTTTGAGACAGCTTAACAAGATTTATGATTATTGCCAAACTAATCCTGGCATTCTTGATTTCTACACCAATTTTTAGTTATATCCCAAACACATGGTTTTTATAAAGTATCTATTTGACATTATTCACTTATGCTATATTCGACACATTGCATCAAATTAATACATCCACCATTCTTTTGAGTTGTACAATTTTTTAGATAAGATTAGCATTGAGAATGGGTAGTTAATGTTTTTGGGGCAACACTACATGATCTAACTGAACATTATTTATTTGCAGTCCATTAGCATAATTGACCATCTGGCTGAGAGACACAACTAGCTTCATTAAATGCTTAAGTGCATTTTCTTCTGGGAATACATTGAGTTCCATCGCTGGTGCAATGAGACATAATATTTCTGCATTCTTAATCGGTTGCATAATAATAGTATTCACATATTGCTGATTTACATTTTATAGTATCTTCATAACACTAACCTAGATACTCGGAACAACTACTGATACTATCAGGTTTATTTTAACATGTTTTTGTTATACATTTACTTTGATCATTATCGTAATAGCAATCACTAACCTCACATTGTATCATAGTCATTTCCTCACAGGTATCTGGAATTGTTTAGCATCCAGTTCCAGTAGTGTGTACTGTGCAAGTGTCCATGTAATCATTACATTACTAGTGTGTTGAATATGACGAAGGTGCTATTTAACAGCTTTTGACTTTGCATTTCTTTTCTTTTTCATCATATCCACATTCCACTCCTTTCTTGCTAATAATGCATGATCCTTAATCAGTGTAATTTTCACAATAATCCAACTGAAATGTACAACCACCACCACTTTTAGTTGTGCATTTAACCTTAGTGTAATAGGCTAAACACTATTAAAGGGTTGTCAAAGTAGTTGGAGCAGTTGTGCATGTTTGAGTATAGCATTTATTATCATTCCATTGGCATTGTTACCCTTTAATATCTTTGGTACATAATTATTGTGATGTGATTGATTCACACTAGTATTGATTATCCTAACAACCCTTGCCTGTATTATCAAGTATACAATCAATGTACTAAATTGATTTACATTACTAAGTAGTAGAATATTATGATGTTTTTTCAATATTTGAACATTTGAGTTCTACGCAATTCTATAATGTAGGATTCCAAAAACATCTATTATTATTGATATCAAAATAGCATTGCTTTTATAGTTTATAAAGATCACAAGTTTTTTATCTTTACTCACAACCTCCTATTCTATCAACTGTGCAAGTGCTTAAATAAGATTAACACGCTTAATTATCCAATAATGTAGAAGGCGAATAATTGCATTATCCAGTGACACATATATTTTATTTCATTTTACATCCGCCTGATATAGATTGATCCCCACAATCTGAATCTTTGTAATCTGAACAATTATTTTACATAACTATGCACTTTGTTCCATCATAGTTTGAAGTGCAATCTGACATCCATTCCTAACAGATTTAATGGTTGTATTCAGACTTAATAGCATTACTACATGTCTTATCAACGCATTGAATAGCGCTGGTTTTATCTGGGTTATTTGCGCATGAGTTTTTTAAACTATCGCAAGTCGCATCATATTTAAATATTAATTAATTGCAAGGTGTTTTATTTTATAAATCTATACATTTATCTTTATCAAGAATACAATAACCAGAATTCGAATAATAACAAAGATTGATATCTGTGTAATCTGAACAATTAACCATTATATCTGTGCATTGTAATAAATCAACTTATGCAGTGCAGCCAATATCAAAATCTTAGCATTAAGCTAAACTTGCATCAGGAGATGATACTGATGAGCAAATATTTCTCTTGCAATTATTACTAAATGGATTTTTTATACAAGCTTTTCTATATGTTGGACAAGTTGTTTCATCTCCTGACATACTTTCGCATGCATGATTTTTTATATAACATGCATCGATATAAGGAATACATAATCCTTCATCTTTAGAATAATAGCATTAACTTTAATCTGTGTAATCACCACATTCTGATTTAATGGGAATGCATTGAGTTTTACTTTTATTAATTGAACATGAGTTAAGACTTAAGCATTGATCAAGAGTTGTATAATTATAGTCAGTACAAATTTTAAGAACACACCCATTATTTGTAGTATTAACCTTACAGTCGTAGAGAATTTATTCACAATTAGCAGTGGTAAAGGTTTAAAGAAAAGTAATATCAGCACAGCTTTCAGTTTTCCGACATGAATTGTTATACCAATAGCAATTATTCTTAGCGGAATTGATAGTCCTGTAACAACTCTCCTTCTTCAAGTATTCTCCACATGTACTAAATTTATCAACACATCCTCCGATATCCGAATGAACAGTGCAATCACTCTAGAATACTCTACATTGTTCATCAGTTGAATATGAAAAAGAATCTGGGGCATCAGAACAACTGAAGGAGTAGCAATGACTAGTTGCAGCATTCCATGAACAAAATTACTATCTCAGATTTAATACACATTATGATTAATTATCATACTGCTCACATTCCTTCAGGTCTATACAACCATTTTTATTAGCATTTACAGTGCATGTATTTTTAAGATCATGACATTCCTTGTGATTTTGACCAATGTAATCAGTGCATAGTAGACTATCAGCATTGATACATTAAGCTCCATTCCAAACACATGTACCTTCTATTGCTGCATCAGACACGCAATTTGACTCATCTAACACATCACAAGTGCTCTTCCCTTGACAATTATTACCTTCATTGTTTAAAATACAACATTCAGTTTCATCTTGAGAACATTCAATGTATTACTTACATTCAGCCATGTCTATAGTATCCAATTCAAATTGAGCAGTTAAACATGATCGTGATTGACACTATTCAGATCCCCACACACAATTGTCATCATCAAAATGACAATTTAATTCTTTCTTTCTATCTTCACATAATTTGGGTAGTACCATACAACCTGCAGTATTGCTTACTACACATCCTTTTAGATATGTATTACACTATTCATTCGTATTATAGCTTGCATCTGCTGTGAAACACTCCCTATCAATGCAAACATTGCTCTGACTATTCCAACCACACAACCCATCTAATCTGAAATAACAACTCTCTTTCTTGCTATTCCCTCTACAAGTCAAAGGAAGGAGAGTACATCCATTTCCTTCGTCATTCAGAGTGCATTCACTTAGATATTTATTACATTCTAAAGCCGTAGTCAAATTGGCTAAAGTGCACTCTTTACTCGAACATTTCTCTTAATAGAAACATTTATTATCATTTAAATCTGTGACACATAATTATTATGCTGTGATATTCTCACAAATCATGTCAACACATCCTAGATTTGTTTTTGGGTTGATAGTGCATTAATCACTATACAATTAGCAATCCTAATGCTATTCCAATGTCAATGGAGCATTTTCACATGTTTTATCAACACATACATCATTATCATTCCAAAAACACTCTTCTCCATTTAAATCAATTAAACATGCTTCTTCAATGTCGTAATCCGAACATTTACTGATTTTCATGCATCCTCCATCTTTTCTAGTGACACATCCTGTCAAAAACTTAGAGCATTCTAAATTAGTAGTTAAAGTGTTGGGAGCCAATGAACATTAAGCAATTACACACAGATTATTGACCCAGGCACATTCTTTATTAGATAAATCACTTTCACAAGCATCTTCAAGCTTTGCAGAATCACAAGTTAAATTATCAACACAGCCATTTCCATTTGTAATACAATCCTCCAAATAGGATTCGCATTCACTGTTTGTTTTATAAGTAGAGGGAGCATTTGAGCAAATTTTATCCAGACATTTTGTACCATCCCAGAAACATAACTCACCCTTTGCATTCGTCTTACATGCATCCTTTATTGTAGCCGCATTACATGTAGTTCTATCCACGCATCCTCCATTTAATTTGGTAGTACATTTTTTAAGATACTTGATGCATTACTCATCTGTTATTAGTGAACTGAGTGCATTCTAACATATCTTATCCACACAAGCGGTTCCATTCCAAAAGCATTCTTATGTTTTATCTCGATTCCAAAAGCATTGATTCTGGAATAATTGATCAGAACATTTCGAATTACTTTCGACACAGCCTTACCCAGATTATGCCACTGTGCATGTTATTTGTTCTTCTCGACATAATTAATCAGTATTTAAGAATTTGGGGTACTATTCACAAGTATCAGCAGTTTCGCATTTCTGAAGTGATGAATCCCAATAACAGTAGTCTCCCTCTTCATCATATTGACATGCTTATTCAGTCAGGTATTCCTCACATAATCCGATCTCAACGCATTACTTACCATTTGTAACGCATCTCTTTGAAATTGATTAGCATTCCTCCTATTTTTCTTTCATGAAAGCACTGCATCCTGTAAAATGCAAACAATTATCATTAATTAAGGCACAATTAAAATCATTAGCACATTCCGTCTTCGAAATTAAATTGCAATAGGTTGGATCCTTATTTGTCTCAGTGGTGTTTGGATTGATTGTTGTTTCATTTTTCAAACATGCAGTTGAATTCCAATAACTCTACCCTTCATAGTAATGTTCGCAATCATACTATGAGGTGATATTTTCCCTATGGCAGCGATAATTCTTATATTAACTCAAGGCCTCAAATACTAGAATAACTTTAATAAGAAGTGATAACATTATAATTAATTTTATCTTATAATTTCAATAATTCTCCTCTCTAAAAACAACTTAAATTATTCATAATATTTATTAAAGCAAAATTCCCTAATCTTACTCAGCCTATTACTTAATATTCACATAGAATTCTACATTCTAACTGATTAAATTTATTTACTAATTTATTCAATTCAATTTACAGTAAGAATATAGTGAGTATATTAGTTTCCCTTCTCTCTTTAGGATTGGAATTGGCTAAAGGAATGTGAGTGTGTTTTTTAAGAACATTATTATTATATATTATAAATAAAAACGTGTTAAATGCAATATTTATTGGCTTTGTGTTTTGTTTTAGTAGTTTTGGGACAATAGATAAAAGGAAATGGGAAGCATCATAAACACAAGAACAAGGAGATCGGATTTGTGTAGGTTTCAGCAGATTTGAATGATTAACGCATCATCTTGGAAGGGATTATACAATAGGTGAATCAATTAGCTCTCTTAGTATAAAGATAAAATGTATTTGATGATAGTTTGAGACAAAGACCTTTTGATTTGATGGGTTAATTGGATCGACTTGATAAATTGGAATTGTAACCAGAAGAATCTAAGATCATTGAAAGCTTAAAATAGCAATTAAACATAATCTCTAATGCCATGGATGTGGATGATTACATTCAAGAATGCGACGGAGAAGATGTTTGTTAAATATGCTAAGCCTCTGTGTATTATTAATTGGATGATGATAATTGGTATATGATTGGATTCGAGCATGGATTTAAGTAATTATGCATTGAAATGAAGAAAGGAGTTCCAATTCCTTCTAGATTCTGCAAAATAAGCACTAGGATCTGATGGGGATCTCTTGTTGGCCTTCTCAACTGAAAATCACATCTGTCTGCAATTTGCCAATCTCAAACATCCCATAGACATCAATGGAGTACTTAAGCTCTATTTGGGAACCACATTGAATGATTACCAAAATAAATTGATTCGCTTGCCAACTCATGGAGTACCTTTGGAGTTCCTAGTCAGAGCAGAATACACGAATAGGAATTTCATTTATAAAGATCTCAAATTTATTGTAAATGATAATTCCCAAAGAGATATTCTGGGTGGCCGATTGAATAAATTGCAATTCTCCATTTTCGATTTAAATGTTTATATGATCATATTATCATTTAAGGTACTGATCGAATATGATGGCCAATTTTACATCCAATCCCAGATCTTCCCATTTCAAGTTAAGACCATTCAAGGGAGCACTCAATCAGAATAAGTAAATGCATCATTAATATAATAATCCATAGATCAATATCAAATATTCAAAGAACATAGCCGAATAGTATTTGTCAAGTTCTATTCTGAAGGACACGTTCAAATTTAGCTAGATGCAAGCCTCTACTTATACAAATAGTACTGACATAGTAATATCTGTTGAATTAGATTGATTTTTATTTTTAATTCTAATAATAATTTATTGCATGAGAAAGATATAAAATAATCAACCCATCCCAGGAGCAGCCTATTAGTAAGGGTACAAAGTTAACGAATAAGTTGTTCCTCAAGGGATTGCCTTTTTTTCAACATCTGGTAAAAGACATTATCCAGATTTTCAGAGAGGAGAACTGGAATCTTACTAAGGAATGCAACATGTCTTTGACCCACCCAAAAGGTAAAATGTTTTTGAAATCCTCGTAGATTAGCCCAAGACTATGATAGATCATTAAATACAAAGGACATTGATGGAGCAGTTACAAATACTCTACGTAGCAAGGTTGTAAAAAACATGGAATTGGCATAAGTATACAAACAAGAGAAGCAAAAATCCTTGTGGGAGCATAGCAGTAAGCCAAGTGATCTGGATTCCCAAGCATATTAGCCAAGGAAGAAATGGGAGGATAATGATCCATATAAAAATAGAAGTGCAATATACACGAATTATGAGGATTCTAAGAAAAAAGCAGATGATCTAAGTGAGAAACATCTCGAAACCATTTAATATCCTGATTCTAACAATTTTCAACCCAATCAACAATTTCATGAGTCTCAATATTAACAATAATAATTGTATGCGTATGAAGACCCCAATTTAATTGCATAACGTTAACAACTGCAAAACTAACAACAATTAATTCAGTTACAAAATTCACAATCATAACCAAATCTAGTACTCTAGGCTTAAAATACTCAGCCTACCAACCAATCTGAATAAAGTAAACCATCTTAACAACCACAAGTTTATCAATACTAGATTGAGGATGATAGACAGAGGTAGTAATAATTGTTGATGCAAAAACAGTGGGAGTAATAAAGATTAGAAAGTCTGCAAAAATTGTAGCAATCATAAAATGATAAAATTAGAGAACAACAGAATATAAAAATGCAGTAGGATCAAGATTATCATTTTATTTAAGAGTAAAGACAACAATCACTAAACCAAAAATAACAATATGCTCGAGAATTAAGATAACAATAGGAGAGTAACAAAGAAGGAAGCTATAGAAAGGGATTCACTCCTCCCCCTGTATCCAAAAGCGAAATTATAGGCTCTCTCCTATAAGCTCCCAAACTGTAAAAGTCTTAAGGTTTTGATGGTGAAACTAATCAAAACTTAAGAGATTCGCTATCCAAAGAGATAGAAGAAAATGACAAAAAATTAGTCATCAATCGTTTTAGACCTCATGAATTACAGCAATATATTTATGATATGAAAAATGGAAGAATTGGTGGCAGCAAAACTAGAAATAACCCAACTTTTATGTCTTATGCAGGACAATAATTAGTGAATCAACAACAATGATAATAATATATTATAATAATTATATTATTTACAGAAATCATATGGTAATCAAATTTATTCTATTTTGTTGTGAATAATCTATTAAGTTAATATAATTAACTAAAATAATAGAAATTCATAGTTATAAATATGTAATCGTCAATACTTTATTACTAATACCTTAGTCTTCTCAAAAGTAAAAATAAATTTATATAATATACTAAAATAAATTTAATAAATAAATTATAAAATTAGCAAAATGAACATTAAAAATATGTAACCAAAGCCTATGATATCAAACAAATAGCTATAGAAATTTGTATATGTTTATTTTATATAATATTAAATCTTATCAAATTTCATATTCTTCCCATGAGTTTTCTTCTTCAAGAATTTCCTCTACTGGTCTTGGATCTTCGTAGAATAATTCTTCCCAAGTCATTGCATATCTATATTTATCTAAATTATTCAATTTTGCTGTACCTTTAAGTGCATCTTATAATAATTTCTTTCTGCTTCTTTCAAGTGTTGGTTTGTACCAAACACCGTAACCCCAATTCCTAAAGAATTATGTATGAACACAACCTTTTATTGACTTCTGCTTAAGCAACTAATTCAGCCTCTGAGAATTGTCTTTATTTATAATATGCCCATTTGCCGAAAAAGTAATATCTACCTCCGTAGAATGCTGTGAATGCGAAGCCTCCCAAGACAATAAACTTGATGATAGAAATCTTAAAAATACAGGTCTAATTCTTCTCAACCACCAGGCATTGGTTTCCCAGACGAAGTTTGTCCACTGATAAACCATTATATATTAAATTTAATATTATCATTTTCGTTTATTTTAATTGATTGAATCAATATTAAGAGACTTCATTTTATTTGATTGATGATAATCATTAAAAAGGCAGAGCTGTGTGAATCTCTTAGAAAGAGTGACCATTAATAGTAGTCTTCTGAGTAGAGTAACCTTTCATGATTCATTTTTGAAATGATTAAATAATTAATATGATAAATATAATTAAATTACCTTTCCTACAATCCTAATTTTATTACTATTCAGTATTATTATATATTTTAGATTAGATTATAATTAATAAACTGTATGTTGAATTTGTGAGGAAATTACTCAATTTATTATGAAGATTAATTGGATGTGGGGATGTATTAATTTTTTGTTTTGATATGAATAAATTAATAAATAATTTGGAAAAGTCAATTTATAAATTGTTTTATAAAACATGCCTTAAAAATGGGCATTTTTCAAAGAAATTTATAATCTAAAAATAGAACATGACTCATAAAATATACCATTATGTTGTTTATAAATATTGCTCTATGATTTCTACAAACAATCCAATTTTTTTCTATAGAATTATTGAAGATTCTAGAAAATTTAAAGAACAGATAAAAATTTGTTTCTTTATATAAAATAAAATAATTCAGTATTTCTCTATCTCCATTTGATGATAAATTTTTATGAAATAATATAATATTGAAATAAAATGTTGATTGGAAAACAACATCTTCTCATTAGTGACGTCTGCCAACTAGCCTATTTAGTCCTTATAAATCAAGGTTTATATTTTAGTTATTATTAGACAGTTCAATTTTATTTATATCTTTAATCACTGTACTTTATGCTAGTAGCATAGTTTTTGAAGTATTATGTGTTTTGCTTAAAAATGAACAGAGAAATTAAATTTTTTAGATTATTGGTTTCTCAATGAAGATTCTCTGCATCTGGCTAGCTTATTAAGCAAAATAAGAATACATACTTTGCTCATTAATATAAACTCAAATATTATTTAATAATACAGACTTAAAATAGCAGCTCTAATAACCAATTCTAATCTTAGCATAAATGACTCTGTTTATATTCAACTTCAAGTAGGTTGTGCTGGATTATGAGTAGATAATCATAATTATAGTGTAATTAGTGATTTTTAGTTTATGGTTGTATAGAGAAAGGAGCTTACGACCAAAAGACAGCGTTGAAGCTCGTCAAAGAAAGAATTAGCATTAGTGTACCATCGATATTTAGGTTGATACTCTGAAGTAACAATAGAATCTTATTCATACTATATCAACGAAAAGAATAAATTTACCATAAAATTCTTTATTATTTAATGATTAATGTGAACTCTTAGAAACTCAAATTAATTTTACAGATTTGATAACTCATCCAAATTAATATAATTAAGCATTTGAAATACTTTTAAATTTAAAATTTAATTATATTGAAGACACAGCACTAAAATAAAGAGAACTTAGAATAATTGTATTGGAGATGTAAATAGATGAATAGCATCTCTTGACCATAGACAAGAATGAGTATATGAAATATGAAAATCAGGCTATGTTGATACAGTGTATGGTAGTGGATGGCATTAAATGTTTTTAACTTCAATTCTTCGCACTCCCCCTAAAAATGAATGATAGTTAGGAAATAGAAGAATCAATGGAGATTGACATGTGTAGATCACTGTCACATGAATTGGGCACTAATTTAAATAGCATAATAACATTTATCAAAATGGCCTTAAAGGATGAGGATATCAGTTGTCATTTTAAATCGAAATACTTGGAACCGATTAGAATAAACAGTGAGTAATTGAATTTAATTGTTGGGACGATTAGAGATTACAATTTGATAAATTTGAGGCAATTTAGTTTGAGATTGGAAGAAGTTGATATCGAATTGGAGATCCGATTTATTGTTTCCTTATTCAATGAAAGTATTGAGAATAAGAACATCAAAATTCAATATAGTTTTGATTTGCAATCAAGTGTATTGGTGAATGACAAAGTGAGGTTTAGATAAGTGTTATTTCAATTGTTGTAGAATGCCATAAAGTATACTTTCGAATCTGCCATAACTATAACTATACAGAATGATAATTTGGAATGCTTTATATCGATTTCAGATGATGGGATTGGGATGGTATTGTCTATTATAATATTAATAGACTGAGTAGGAGGCAGAGAATATGAATTCACTGTTGAATTCCAACAAATTTGTGAAAGTGTCAGAACAATCTGTGGGGGTAGGATTAGGTCTAGGAATATCAAACTAATTAGTAAAGTAAATGAGTGGAAAGAACAACTCCATTAAACTGAACCGAAAGGATAGGGGCTGTTAATTCAGTTTCTTTATAAAAAACCATTAGTTGGAGATGTCAAAGGAAAGTATGCGGAAGTAGTCTTCGGGATTCGTCAAAAAGAGCAGTTAGACAATTCGATTTATATCTGCCAATACCTACTTCGAAGATTAAGTAATAGGAGAATCTATTCAAAAAATCCAAATCTAAAAGACCTTGATTCAGACTCACTCTAATTCCTAACAGTAATTTATACTTCCATCCACTAAAAGAATTTATGGCCAGCAAGAAAGCAAAAACCAAAGTGAAGAGGATAGCTTTTCATCGATTCATCCTCCTATCTTAAGCCCAAAATTTTAATAATCTATAGTACAATGCAGTCTCAACAGTGACTGTTGTTCTAGAGTATTAATTGTCGACGACGAGTACTTTAATATCCAATGTCTGAAATTACTGATGACCAAGTATTAGTCGAAGTGCGATTCGGCTTATAATGGTAAGGAAGCATTGTAACTTGTATATCAAAAGAAGCAGCATCCCTGCAAGAAATGCGGGAACCAATATTACAGTCTGATTTTCCTGGATATCAACATGCCCATTTTAGACGGTTACAAAACTGTCAAAGAACTCAAGCACTTAATGAAATAACAAATAATCAACAAGGCTTGGTGTATTGCTAATACTGGGTTCTGTGATCTAGACACAAAACTTAAGAGTTACGAGGCCGGCATGGATTATTACTTAACAAAGCCTTTGGATTAGAATGAACTTAGAAATATGTTAAATGTGCTATTTCCTATTAATGATTACTGATTATAATATATGTTTTAGGTTATAAATATTATAAATTATGAATATATGCCAACTTGATTCCACCCAAAAAATAGTATAGTTTGCGATCAGAATGCTCATCCTCTCTTGTGCTTTGGTATCAACTTTGTTTGTGGGGATCACCTGCTTAAAAAGCAACAAGTAGAAATATTGGGTATTCAAATTGCTAATTCTATAATCATTTGCTGAATCAATCGATTTGGTCGGAGCCATCTCTTTATCATTTCAGAGCAAATGTTATGAAACTTTATGCGGTATAATCGGATATATCATGCACTGCTGTTGGCTCACATCATTCTCTTGTTTGTTGCTTTTATTTTATTTGTATCATTCTGCCCTTCACGTACCAATTATATTATAAATTAGATTAATTCCAAATATTAGGCTGTGACTAATAACATAAACAAATTCATGATTCTTTGCACTATCTGGCCTTACTTATGGCTCCTCTACCCTTTGCTAAACGATTCCATAGGCCCCACAGGATGGAAACTCTATAACTCATCAGAGTTGTTCTATCTATTTTGCGGTTTCAAAGTACTTCAAATCCCTTATGTCTAGGAAGATGAAATCATTTTCCTGATTTTTTGGTCCATACCCTTATGGTTGATATTCCTAAGTGTTTTAATTTTGAGAAAGAAAGTATCCAATTACAAATTCAATAGATTAGTTCTCGAATCAAAACCCTCATTTTTGAAGAACAGATTGGTAGCGTTGAATTAGACATCATAAAGAAAGTGGCAGATTTTTCGATTATCTATGTATTCTTTTGGTTAACCAATCAGTGTGTTAAGTAAATTAATTAATGTATCAAATTTAGATATGTACAACTCTTTTATGAGGGATACACTAAATCCTTATTTGCATACGTATTGTTTGTGTTCACGTATCTTTTCTTTGAAATCCATTTAGTCATAATTGCATTCATATTCTACAAAAATTATAAGTAATTATGTGCGACATTATATATAGTTAAGTAATTGACATAAAAGCCATTTGGTCATTTGGGAAAAAGAAGAATTCAAAAGTAAAGAATGATGAGTAATTAATTTGATTTTTATATTGTAAATAATTAAACTATTAATTATATAATTGATGACTATTATAGATTTGATTCTATTATCATAGAATTATTCGAAAGATCAATGATTAAAAGATTTATTTAAAATGATTGGAAAATCAAAAAGATACTATGTTTCCTAATTAGATAAGAAAAGTCATTGAACTAATGATTTACATTAGATCAATATAAAATGAAATTACTCAAAAAGGATTATCATTTCTTTCCAATAAGGAATCAGATATTTTAGTTTAAATTTTAATATTTTTATAATTCTTATTTTTTTAGTTAAATAAATCTAATAAATAGTTCTTTATTAGATCTATTTATTAATATAACGTAGTTATATAGAATTTGAGATTTAGATGACCAAATAGCAAGTAGAAATATCATGAAAGAGTAATTAATATTAGTATTTGATTAAAGGAGGGAGTACAGAGATGAATAGATGAAATAGAGCAGGGTTTAATGAGTTTTGAGAGAGGGGATTAATTATTTACCGAGTGAATTATGAGATGGTTGTGACATTAGTGAAATTGAATAAAATGAAAAAAAAATTAAATCCTTTTAAATAAATTATTAAAAAAAGAAATAATTCCTTAAGAAATGCCATCAAAGAGAAGAAATAATGGTCGTTCAAAGAAAAATAGAGGTCATGTCAAGCCAGTTACTTGTTCAAATTGTTGCAGATTAGTTGGCAAGGATAAGGCCATCAAGAGATTCACAGTGAGAGACATCGTTGATGCATCATCAAAGAAAGACATTTTGGAAGCTTCTGCTTATGAATCCAAATAATAATAGTCAATTCCAAAATTATTTGACAAGCTTCAAGTAGTGTTAATAATTAAAAGTTAGTATTGCATTTCTTGTGCCATCCATGCACGTATCGTGAGAGTGAGATCATCTGAAGACAGAAAAATTCGTGTAATTGAAAGAAAACGACCTGCTTAACAATCAACACAAAAAAAGGATGCCCCAAAACCATAAGCTCCAGTTGCAGCTTAATGATATATCTAAAACATACATACATTATAATATCTGAATATCTTACATTTATGAGAGGCATCCTCTGAATGCTATAATATTGGAGTATTTGTATAAATAATTTTAAAAAAAATTAATATCTTGAATAAATGACTCATAGTTATGGATTGAAGAAGGGAACAAGAAGCAAGTTTGCAAAACCATTCAGAGGACATGGCAATATAAGTATTCGTAAAACACTCTAAACATTCAGAAGAGGTACGAATTACATACGATTCTCTTAGGTGATTTCGTTGATATTTTGGTTGATGGAGCATAACACAAGGGAGTGCCCTTTTAATATTATCATGGACGAACAGCCAGAGTGTTCAATGTTAATCCAAGAGGAATTGGTGTCTCCTTATAAAGAAGAGTAAGAGGAAGATATGTGGAGAAAAGATTCCATGTTAGAGCTGATCATTTGAGACCATCAAAATGCAGAGAGGAATTTGTTAAGAGAGTTCAAGTCAATGATAAGAAAAAGACTGAAGCTAATAAATAGAAATAGCACATCTCAACTAAAAGACAACCAGTATTGCCAAGAGGGGCTGAAGTTGTCAAACCAACATCTACAGTCTTTTAACATCCAAAAGCATTTGTAGAAATCATTTGAAATATAATACAATAAGTATAATAAGATAATCATTTATCTATTTTTATAAGGGTTCTTTAACATTAATATTATTTTTTCTAAAATCATGACTCATTTATATGATTTATAAGAATTTAAAGAGGCTTTTGCTCTTTTTGACAAAGATGGAGATGGAACCATTACTATCAAAGAATTGGGTATGGTCATGAGATCTTTGGGTTAAAATCCAAGTCAGTAGGATTTGAAGGAAATGATAAAGGAAGTAGATTTTGATGGAAATGGAATGATTGATTTTAATGAATTTTTGGCACTGATGGCGAATAAACTAAGAGACACTGATTTGGAAGAAGAATATATAACTGCTTTCAAGATATTCGATCGAGATGGAGATGGATTGCTGTCTGCCTAAGAATTAAAGCATGTCCTTATTAACATGGGTGAAAAACTCTCTGATCAAGATGTGGAAGACATGATCCATGAAGTTGACAGCGATGGAGATGGTCAAATCACTCTTGAGGAATTTATTAAATTATTAAATTGGAAATGAATGATAATTAGTCACATCCTATTTTCACTCAATTTATCAATCAACTTCTCATCAGTCCGAATACTGTATTATATTCTAGCATTAAATTATTTAAATATTATAAAAATTAATATTGACTATGAATTCAAGAGAATTATAACTCCATTTCGATTTACAAGCCCTTGATGATTCAATTAACTAGACTGACAAAGCTGCAGAAAAACCCAATAATCCAAAATAAATTGAAGTTTAAGATAAATACTCAAAATAAAGTCTAGTTTCTGAACTCGAGAATTCCCCAACACCCAAACAGACCAAGCATCAACAACAGACTAAAATATATTCCAATGACAAGGACAAACTCTATTTTCAAAGAAACGACGAGAAAACTAATGCAGCATTTGGAAGTGCAGAAATGCAACAAAGAATTTAATTGGCTGAGGAGCTTAAGAAAAAGGGTAATTATTATTATGCTGACAAAAACTTTGAAGAAGCTATATCTCAATATACTGAAGCACTTGAATTGGTCCAAGACAGTGCTGTCTTATTGCTCAATAGAGCTATTGCATACATTAAAATTTACAAATTCCAACAAGCTATTGTGGATTGCTCTAAATTCCTAGAGATTGCCCAGAATAAAGAAGAAAGATTTACTCAAAGCATCGATAGTTTTTTCAAAGCCCATTTAAGAAGAGCTCTCGCTTATTATAAAACTGGGCAACTTTAAAAGGCTTTACAGGATGTTGAGTAAGCTATACAGATTGATCCTAATGATAAGGAAGCTCAAAGGCTGAAAGATGATGTCAAACACTATCTCAATATTGAATTTATGGATAAACAAAATAAAACAGATTCTAAAGAATGCTCAGATGAACCAACTGAAGTTAGTCTAGAGGCATAATAAATTAGTCAAAGGGAGAACAGTTTGGGAATTCAGGTTGCTAATTCTGGGAGAAGTAGTGAATGTGTTTAGACTTCGATGAAATGTAAGTTTTAATAAAATTATTTAAATTATAAGGATGTGATTGATGGTTTTCTTATTCAAAATTAGAATTATGATTTGTATTAGGTTTTGAAAGTGATGATGGAATACACAGATGAGTCGGCTGCTTATTTTTATGATAAAAGAGGGATTGAAACTTTGATTTAAATTATTAAGGCGGATGAAGAATTTCTTCATGATCAATTCAACGTATATTTTCTTAAAAAATTAGTTTATGGCTAGTTTGCCTGCTTTGATTTTGTAATCTTATTAAGAATAAAATTAATTATATCAAGAATAATTCATTTTACAATATAATGGTGTTGACATTATAATTTAAAAGATTATTAAATTACTCAACAAAGCCAAATAAAAGAAAAAATCAGCCATATTTGATTGTATTCGAGATTATATTGAAGCAATAAATATAATGAATGAGGAGAAAACTCGAATTCTCATTTAATCTAGTCCTCACATCATCACAACTCTCTATCCTGAGATATTTGTCAGAATTTTAAGTTTGTCTGAAACAGAACCTGAATTGGTTTCGTCATTTTTGAGTCTGTGTGCAAATCTGTGCTATGATTAGAGTAGTTTCCTTCGTTAAATCTTTTTAAATCATCTGGATCAAATAGTTGATTAGATTTCTCAGATTTACTAAAATGTAGAACTCTCCATATAGTCATGCGACATGTATGTGCAGATATTGAACCTACTATCAAATTTATTGATTGAAGATCAATTTAGAAAGAAATTCTTAGATTAAACCTTCAATAAAGAATTCTATATCCAATACTTCAGATTGTTAAAGTAACTTCAAATTAACTTAGACCCTAATTATGACGAATTAATTTCTATAGCTCTTGGCTTTTTGATTAATTTGTTTCACCAATTGAATGCAATTTAATCCGAATAATTGATCCTAGAATTGAAATAGTTACCAAAGATTTTGGAAGCCTTTTCATCATCTAGAAATTCTCTTATTTTAGAAAGGGTCGAAATAGTGCAAGCATCCTTAAACCTATAAAAAGAACCCTCCATTATTAATCTAAAATTCAAAGTAATTGGACCAATGAAAAATGGTTATAATTTTCATTGATAGTGTGTTTATATATATTTTAATATATAGTTTATTTAAAATTCGAATAATACATATAACAAATTAATGCAGCACCTGTCTCGTCCCCAATTACAATTACAAGAGATAGTGCAATAGAATAATTTCAAAACGTATCATCTTCTAGATATTTAGGTGCACTAATAAAAGTAATAAACTCAGCCAATCTTTTAATCCCTGCGGATTGATCGCCCAAAGTTTGAGTCCAACTCATAAGGCAAATCAGAGCACAGGTTTATAGGGAATTGACTTGAAAGTGTTAAAAAAATAAGGACTTCCTGCATAGGCCAAGCAATATTAGCAAGAATTATTGAAATTGATGATAAGTCATAAATAACTACCAATTCAGAAATCAGTTTAAAAAGTGAATACTTCTGATACTTCAAATAACTTAAAAAGTAATATAACAACAGACAGCAGAAGAACAAATTCAAATTAATATCAAAATTCTAATGCATAATCAACTAAAGGTTTTATTAATTTAGCTAATCAGATAATTATAATAGTACATTACGAAAATTAATAAATAAAATTTCCCATTGATCCTTCCAAGACCACAGGTTGGTTGGATGAATATTTGAAATAAGAAATTAAGAAACATTCAATCCATCAATACTCCTCTACAGGTTCCCAACCAGATCACGTTAAAATAACTTGTGGCACTGGTAATGAATCAACAAACCCTGAGATCGTCTCGTTCCACACAGTTGATAAAAACCTGCCTGTCGATTATTACTTACAATAGCCTAACAAACCTCTAGAGATTTTTAGTGGTTAAACCCTAAACCTATAGCCATTTTTTGCCACTCCACAAACTGCAAAGGTCTCATTGAAAGATTTCATATTTGTAAAATGCATAGGTGTGGGAGGATTCTCAAGAGTGTACATGGTGAAGAAGAAATCCAATGGAAGATTTTATGCCATGAAATTGATTGACAAAGAGTTTATTTTATAACATAAAAAACAAGGTAACAAATTACAATAAGTAATTAGGGATCGTTCAGAATGAAAGAGACATCATGACAGTATTGGATCATCCCTTCATAATTAAATTGGAATATGCATTTGAATCTAAGAACTTTATTATTTTTGTGCTTGAATTTTGCAGCGGTGGTGAATTGTTCTGGCAATTAAGACAAGTCAAGAGAATGACTGAATATTAGGCCAGATTCTACTTCACTGAAATTTGTCTTGCTATGTTCTATCTACATTCACTATCGATCGTTTACAGAGACATTAAGCCTGAAAACATATTAATTGACATCGACGGACATATCAGAATCGCAGATTTTGGACTATCTAAACCCAATATGACTGAAGAAGATTATGCCTATAGTTTCTGTGGATCTCCAGAATACATGGCTCCTGAAATGCTGCTAAAAATAGGTCACAATGTTTAAGTAGACCATTATTGTCTAGGAGCGTTGTTGTATGAATTAGTCACTGGTCTACCACCTTACTATTCGAGAGATACTGAAGAAATCTATGAATCTATTCTTAATGAAGAACTCACATTCCCAGAGAAATTAAATTTGTCAAATGAAATTAAAGATTTACTTAAAGGGTTGTTGAGCAAGTAACCATCAGAAAGACTTTGCGCCAATAAAGGTTTACTTGAATTATTCACTCATCCTTGGTTCAAAGATTGTGATTTAGTGTCTATTCTATTAAAAAAAGTACAACCTCCCTTCAAACCGAATCAACTATAATTTAATTATGATTCTAATGATTTAATGAATGGAGAATTAGAAACAAGAGAGAAACTTCTAGGCAAAACAGGATTGCAATAAGAAATTAAAATCTTTTAGGATTTCTACTTTGATTAATCAGAACAAAAACAAATGAAAATTGAATAATCAAAAGTTCTAAAATAACACTGTATCATGATAACATCCTTACAAATGCAATTACTTCAAAAATTCAAGACTATTAGGAAAAGTACAGAACCAAAAGAATCAAGTAATTCAAAGCCTCAATCACCTTACACAGGCTCTCGTTAGATCAATCAAAAATAAAAGATCCAATCTGAATAAATGTCATCATTATAAAAAAGAATCAAGTCATAGTAATCTATAACATTTAATTTATAGACAATCTTCCTTAGGAAATGTTCAACCAATTCAACCAAATTGCATTGTAAGCCCACAATAGTCAAAAATAGAGAGTCTTAAACGGATCATTTCACAAAATAATTTCTTTATGGATCGCTAGAATACATTGCCAACCAATAATCATTAGAATGGTTAAAGTAAAGACAGCATAGATTCCTAACTAATTTATTAAAACAGTCAAAACATGCATAAACGTGTGTTCTCATTAAAACAAAGAAAAAAATGAACTAATATTTTAATCAAATTGCTCATTAGTAATATATAATATTGAGATATTGTCTTTATTTTTTAATCAAAAACAATTCCCTCTTTCAAATATTACATCTATCTACCCATGAAATATATTGAATATTTCACACATTTTTGATGATCAAATTAATGTTGATTGAATCTACTTCTCCGAAAATAAGTTTTTAAAGTAAGATTTATTGTTGTTACGTATATATTGTGTTTTGAGTTATCTAGCTATTAAATACTCTATAAAAGCATCGTTATGATTAGATTTATATATATGAATAAATGATGTAATTATATTAATAGTTAGGAAAGTAAAATCTTTAGTATAATAAATTATAAAATTATGTTGATTCTAGGGTTTTTTCAAATTAAATATTAAATTATTATAATTCATAGAAAAGATACTTACTATCTAATAGATTGTAATTATAATTAGAAAGTTTCTTATATGAAATAGAATTGTTTGATCAACAATATAACTCATGAAATAATCACAAGAATTACTCTTATTCATAATACATCTAGTTGTTAGATAATACAAATACACATCAAGAACATTTAATCTAATATAGGTATAATAAATTAAAATTGTATATTAAAAAGGAACTCATAGTTTATTAAATAACTTTAATAGCGTAGGATTTTGCATAAGAGATGTATATATTTTTGGTTGCAACAAGAATTGATTATTTGTACTACTCTCTATAATGATACCGTTAGGTGGGAAATCGAAATAGACAGAAATCACATAATCTCCAGTTATATTAGGTTTCTGCAAAATATTAATGAGAAATTACATGTGCTGAAGGAATGAGTACATAAGTTGCATTTTGAACAGAGAACACCTCCATATCTATATCTCTTCTACCTGAAAGTAATTTGGAGTCATGAACAGGCTTTTAAAATTTAGTGAGTTCAGTTTCATTTTACTATAATTAAAATAAGCACATGATAATCTTAACGAGCTTGCCTTCATAAGGATACTTAGCTTATCTATCCAATCTTCCATCTCTTTATGAGAGAGTGATATAAATCTTCTTATTTGGAAAGGGGTGATTTATTCGAATTGTGTACCTAGGGTTGTTAAATGGATAAAGAGCTTGAGATCTTTCATTTTTAGTAGGAGTGCCCAAATGTTCTTTAGTAAAGCTGTCATAAATTCTCATGACAGACCACTTTTCATCCAGATTAACACTCATGAAAATATTATTAAAGACATTGTGAAAACTTTTGAAATTCATAATGAAAATACCGTCATCACCTAAAGCATAAGGGTCAGGAGGTTCATCACCATTTTCTTTGCATCTTTAGATTTCCTCCTTAAAGTAAGCTTGAATCAATTCGAAGTTTTCATTCATTTATTGACTATAATCTGACCATTTGAGTTTCCATTCTCCAAACCCCCATGGATTTCTGAGCATAATTAATTTGTGTATTCTGGATTGATCATCCTTCAAATGAAAGTAATGCAATATACTATAGGCATGTCCTCTGTATAATCCTGTTTCCTCACTATTTAATAGCACTTAGCCTGTTCCATGAGCTGAACATCCCATTAATGCTTTTGATTATTTACCAATTTCAAATAGGTTTAATAAAAATTTTTTCCGTTCTACAGGATCTTTAGTAATATTGGTCTCATCAATAACATGCCTGGTACAAGGTATGCCAGTAAAATCAAATAAGGCCTAAGAAATGTCTCCTGATGTAAGTGATTCATAACAAGTATGCAATTTGGCATAGGCTTTTTCTATGATTTGTACCCACCATTCTCTTTCACTCCTACATTCAGCAAATAACAATTTATTATTATATGTACAAAATCGATCATCAATGACTACATAAACATCTCTAAACATTTTATTAAATTTGATAACAATGATTCCATATTTGCTTAGAAAATGAAATAACTTTGGATATAAGCCTTTGCTGATATCACTTTGATCTACCAAATACTTATCATTGCCAGCTATAATAGATAATGCAGATATCAGCCAACAATCTCCTAAATAATGTGATTAGATTACATCATTGGCATTTGCACCATTTTCATCCATAAACACCCAATCACCACAAATTTCAGAGATCCTCTACCAACATAAATCTTTTGCATCTGGCCATCCTGTAATTGGTAAATTTTCAACTCTAAATATAGAATTAGCCCCAAATGGATCCATTTTATGTGATCCAAATTCAGGATCTTCCCAATATTTTTGTTTGCTCAATTTTAGATTCTCAACAATCTACAAACACACAAGCAAACATGAAATTTCATTCGTAAAAATATATTGAAAATTTTAAAATCTATCCTTATCAGAAAAAGTTGTTTTGTATTTTTTCAATTCAAACAACAATTATTCTTCAATGTCTAAATTTGCAATCTCAATCTACGTGGAATCAAAATCTTCAAACATCACAGTCGTTTAAGTTTATGACTTCTGTCTCAATAACAAACTGTAATTTTTTAATGAATCATTCGTATAAGTAATAATTTCTTAAGCTGACACAACTCCAGAATTATCAAGATCCATTGCTTCAAATAACTTTGATGAAATCTCATAATTTGGAGTATTAAATAAATCATAAGCAATCGAACTAAATTATTCCACCGTCAATTGAGTCTCAGCATAAATCTATTCCTACTTCAAATACTTCTCTATTGACATATTCATTGCCTATAGTTTTCTCGCCAAAATAGTAAATACAATCTCAAATGAATCCCCATAACTCATTGTCATATAATAAAAGCTCATTATCTCATCATAATCTATAGAACCCCTTTCTTAATAATCCATTAACTTAAACAATGACAGTGTTTCTTTCTTATCCAAGTATTATTTGGCTACTCTATAGAATACTTCAATGGTTATTCCATCTTCCGGTTTTTGAATAGAGAGCATCAATTCCAATACAAAACTACTCAATCTCACTCCCTTAATCAAAAGCACCTTTCTCAACACATTTACTTTCTACTCCTATATTTTACCAGCCTGAGGAAGTGCAGGTAATTTCTCAAATGCTTATAAATATTCCTCCCTTGAAATTTGCTCGTTCTCTGATATATCCATATATTGATAAGCTGAATAAATTTCCCTCAATGTTAAATACTATTGCCAATTATTTAAACTTTAAGTGAATGCAACAAACATTTCCCTTGTAATGTAACCCAACTTATTTGGATCCATCTTAATAAAACCTATAATTCCATCATACTGCTCTTTTTTTAAAAAATAAATAAACTTTGAATAGGAATTTCGATTGAAATTGCTACCACACTCTTCGTTGATTTAATACATCTCTAAAGTCTAATAGTATTCATCTCTTGTTATTGAACCCGACTCATCAACATCAAAAATATTTAGCAACTCTTACACATAATTATCATGGAGTTTAGCAACTGTTTTAAATATTTCTCCCAATCTTTTTGTTGTGACTATTTCCATTGATTTTGTGTCAGCAGCCCTGAAAAACATCTCAGTTGTCAATCCCAATTTCTTTGCTGCTTTCTTCAATTACTTAATTGCCGTATATCTATCAGAATAAACATAAACCTTCTCCTATTATAACCTCTTTAGATCTTAGTTTTCTTATTACAATAACTTTACTCTTTTTTTCATAGTAATTACTATTTTTTTATAATCATCTATACTTTTCATAATAATAATTAATAATAATGATTTCGGTAATAATATAACATAAATCTGTAATGTTCACTTCATTGAATTAATCACTGATACTGATGTTTCATTTTCAAATCTTCATATGCTTTAGTAATAATGTCTCTGCTACTTTGGAATTGTTGATACCATTCTGATAGCTCATTTGAGAAACTAAGTAATCTCTGTAAAGAATCTAATCTTTAATCTAAAATTGATTTCCAGTGATTTATTTAGTAGATTTATTCTCCATCCTGATTGTTCATGAAGTTTGTTTTCATAGCCATCTCAGATATTTTATTGCATTCAATAGTATATTAAATGAAAGCCTATTTTAGCCCCTTCGCATTTTCGATTTTTGAGTCTTCCTTGAATTGTTGAATTGCTGAAACCAAATCCTCGTGTTTCTGTAGTGCCTCCATTTTCTATTCTTCTAATTGCTCTTCCTCAATATGAGACAGCCTATATGATAATTAATTAACTGGAGTTTCGAAGTTTTCAATATTTTCTTTAATGACAGTTTTAATCTCGCTTTTGAAATTAAAAATTAGATTATCATGGAATTTCTTTTAAGCATCAAAATAGGGGACTAAGATTTCATCTCCTATTTTTTGATAAGTGAATTTGATCATTTCTTCAATCAATTTCTGTTGTTCATATTTTTGTTCCCTTTGAAGTTGTTCATGCTTTTCCTTCTCTAACAATAATTATTGTTAACTTTCCTCTTGGAGCTACTTCATTTCATCCTGGCGATCCTTTTAAAAGCGTTCAAATTCTTCTTATCTCTTTTTTTCTGAAGATCTGATTGTGTCATCGAGTTCTCGTTGCAATAACATATTTTTTTATTACTCATCTTCTAATTTCTATTCTAACTCCTTATAAGCCTTAATAAAAACTGCTAGATCATCAGATTTCTTCTATAATTGTGATTTAAGTTTATTTAACTGTGCTTTATACTTTTATACTTTGAAATTATTTTCGTCAGCCTAGACCTCAGATTCCTTTATTTTATCTTCTAACATAATTTTACACTTATCCAGTTCTTTCTAACAATTTTCACCCTTTTTAAGCAACTCTTAGGCTTTTTTTTAATACAATGATTTTTCTTTCTTGTTCTTTTCGTGATAATATTGTTCAATATCATCTTTCTCCTTTTTCAGAGTTTCTTCGATATTCTTATATGATGTAATTGTCTACTCTAGGTCACCAATATTTTGCTAAACCCAATCTGGTATTTCAGATTGAATAAATGATATTGTGATATCATCACTCTAAAAATTAAATGATTTTAATTCATGATTTCTAATTTGTTCATTTGCCTCGTCAAGCATTTATCTATATTTGTTTACTACTTCTTGAGATTTCGTTTACAAAGCTCTCTAATCCTCCTCCATTCTCTCTTACTCTTTTTTCAACATTTCACTGTTTCTTTTTGAGATTTATTCCAACTTATCTTGTAATTCCCTATTTTGGTCTTCCATGGTCTTCATAATCTAATACTTATACTCAGACTCCCTTTCTTTGAGATTATACTCGTACAATTATTAATTATGTTACAAAGTATGGTCTAATTCTCTATTTTACTCTTTTAAATCTTTCAATTAAGACTCCAATTTTTAAATTGTGTTTTAAGTTTTCTTTTTTACTTCAATCTCATTATCTAATTGCAATCTATAATTATGTGCTTCATCAGCCTTCATGTTAAATTTATTTTCTAATTCCTGTATTCTCTTTTGGTATTATTGGTCATTATTTTATGTTGACACTACTTATTTTTTAGAGAGACACGATTTGATTTTCTATTCTTATTCATTACTTAAGATTATGCTCTCTTTAAACTTATTCAATACAAAATTGTTCATAAAACTATTCCCTTTCCTTGGATCAAATTAATTACTCAATTCCACTTAATCTTAGTTATTTTTATATATAAAAGCAAATTATCGTTTCAACTATTAATCTTAAAGCTTAAGGGTTTCTGAACACTCCAAGTAAGAGACTCCAGGCTCATTATCATTCTAATGATCAATGCTTTGATATGACTTTTTCTGATAATCCTTTATTTTTAATTGAAAATGTTCCAATATCCCAGGATCCTCCACTTAATACCTATACAAACACCAAACACAGTTCCATTCATCTATTGCTATTCTTCCCAATGGATCATATTTAAAATATCTTGTTTGTGATTCCTATTTGATTTTGTTTTTTTATTATAATTTGTAATAGTATTTGTAACCATGATTAGGATCAATCTCAACATTAGCAAACCATATATTGTTATTGTCTCTTTCCATTTTGCTATGAACAAAATCAATACTCATTTCCTACTAATCCTAATAATACACAAAGGCACTTTATGTCATTTGATTCTCATTCGATTCTTCATTATATTCATTATCAAGTCGTAATTACAGTTTTATAGTAATTTTTTTCAATATCCGAACTTTGCTACTTTATTAAATTTCACCTTTATTTTATTGCATAATAATGTTTTGCTTTATCCAAATATTTTACTTTTATATTCTATATATCTATTTCTATTAAATAAAACTGATTTCATTTAATTTGTATATCTCTTCAATTTACATGCCCTTTTTGAAAGAATACCAATTATTATTGATAGGGTAATCAACTATACTATTTGAGGTTTTATTATCTCATCTTCTAAAGAGTAATTTTGGCCATTTTAATTATAGTTTTATAATTTATCTTTAATCAATATTATAAGCTTTTCATATAAGAATTTTAATCCATTTTCCTTTAAAGTCTCATTTTCAAACCAAGACATAAGAATTTATTCAATTTTGCTATTTTTAGAAATAGATTTTAAATCTAAGAGAGAACTACTTTGAACAATATCAATTATATAAAGAAATTAAATTTATACTAATTATCATTTAGAATTATTTATAATTTACAAGAACTCATAATAAGCCACAATTTATTTAATAAATTCAAGTTAAGTTTTGAAGTTCCTGTTAATTTAATGGTTGTTAATCAGGATTGTTCTACTGCTCCTTCTTTTTACTTATAAAATTAATAGGAATATATACCTAAATGCTCTGATGGCTGCCAGAGCGATGACTCCGATTACAATTGCGATTAAACCGTAATGATGAGTACTTGAATTAGTATCAAGGGACAGGTTTTCGACATACAACTCTCCTTTATTAGATTCTTCTATCTCTTCCACAGTAGCTCCTTCAGGTATGGATTTCGAATATTATTGCAAAAGAGTTATCTAATCTGTGGATATTGACAAGGGCTTAGGGATAATATAGACTAGAATGTCACAATTCTCATATTCTAGATAATAAGCTAATTTTTCTAGTTATTTTGCCAAATCCATCAATCTCATCTAAAAGTTATTTTCTATTTCGAAAACTGGATTCGATTTAATATCTTTATCTACTTCTATTGGAATTACAAATTTAGCTTTCTGTGGAATTGAAGTTGGATCTGTTTCATCATCCTGAACTTTTTCCATATTCAACTAGATCTCACATTTAATGCTATCCTTTCTAGATAATATGTGGACTGCTGGACAATAGATTTCGAAATTTGAAGGTGCAAAAATTATTCCCGATGGTACCTACTTAAGTGATATTTTTGATTTGTCTCTGACTTCGTACTCATCTCCATAGCCAATTATATACTCTCCTTCTAATTTTATGGTGATCCTCTTAACTGCCTATGCATCATGATAAAGAAGTTTACATAAACTAATTCAGCCTATTTTGGAAATGTCAAATATTGATTAGCAATACAATCTGCATTTATTTTCTATATGAGTAGTAACAATGTTATTATCATCTATCAAATGATGTTACAGTTTATATAATATTTTAAATAATAATTGTTTATGTATATGCATAAATCAATTGTTCATTGTATAGTATTTAAAATTATAGTATGACTGTTGATATAATCATGTAATTTTATCCATATTTCTAATAATGATTCATATATTTAAACTATATCTTATAATAATTTCAATTCAAACACTTTATATTAATAAAGTAGAAAATAATAATAAATTAAATTATACAATATGGGAAACAATGTAATGAGTTGAATTTAAGTAATAAAATATTACTTTACAACAAAAAAAAATAGATCTAGATTGAAATTATCAACGGGAATGTAAATAAGAATCAAAAGAGAGAGCAGATGAAAAAGTATTTGACTAAAAACATAACATTTAATTAATGAAAATTAGATGAGATCATTTCCATATATGAAATATGACTATTACTAAATTCCTGGAATTCTTCAATCATTTTAGCGATTATAATATCTCTCATAAGTTATTGAATTCATTATAAGATGAAGATAAGAAAATCAAATGAGAAATGCAAAATTAAATAAATAGAATAGTTGTTTTTGCTTAATTGATAATCATAGAAATTATTCACAATTAGTATACAAACCAAGATCTATAGGAAATTCTAATACTATTGAAGAAGAAAAGTAAAATATTTGAATTAATGACAAATATTCCATTTTTTCCCTATTGGTGGGTATTCTGCAGTTTTACTAAAACTATCATTATTTTTGAGGAAACAAGAAGCAGGGAAGAGGGCTGAATACAAAGAGAGAGTAGCAGAGCTTGGATATAAGGGAATTGACATAATATTGTATACAGTATTTTATAGAAGTCATATTAATTGATATTTATAATTATATAATGAATTAAGTTGAGCCTTTTGGGATAAGAGTAATACCAATAAAGTGGGTTTTAAAGTTTGACCCACCAACTATAGGACTGGTTTATAAGCAACATTAGAAAGAGAAGAAAAAGCATCTTTATCAGATTTCGTTAAACAACTTGATATTTCTAACCAATCCAGAAGACATTGTGAATTAAATAATTTATGAACACCCTGCTTATTTAAATAGGAAATTCATAAAACATGATCAAGTATTTAGATCAAGTGTTATAAACATAGCTTATTGGATTAGTACGTAAATTACTAGATTATAAAAGTCAGAAGTTATAAGAAATGGTAGAGTTTATGGAAGATCATTTGGTTGAATACAATGACGCAGATTCTGATTAAGAAGAAAAATACACATCTAATCAGAACTACTCTTTTTGATTTTTAATTTTATATAATTAATATGTATGTAATCTAAATATGTGTGAAAACTGGGTATTCGGTAAATCTGTGTCAATGTTCTTGTAAATTCCCTTATAATTAAGTTGATGGATTTTAAGACACTATTGTAAAGGCTAAGATTGAATTTCTGTTGAGTTCATGAGACACATTATGTTGAAATAACTTGAATATAATATTGATGTATTAATGCAAACTCATTTGAATGGGACATCTTTATAATCAATAAATTCTCGCTCGATTTTATCTTTGGTTACGTTAAGTAATCTTATGATCCCACCAGATGATCCATCTCTAAACATGGCGTGAGCTACTGCATGTGAAACAAATGCTCGTGCTTCTTGATGTGTCATGTTTTCCTTAACACATAATTGATTCAACATACTTTGTAATTGGAATCACAGAATCCCCAAATAAATGTACTTCCAGATCCACCGATACTCCATTTCTGCTCAATGACTGATCCTCCCAAAGGCAATGTGAATATCTATGGACCCTTATATGGATCCCATCCAGCAACGATGATGGATGCTGACATTGAGCTTGGCATATTCATAAATTATATACTCCTTGTATTCGTATAAGAAATTTCTGAAGAGATTTGCAGCAGTGGCTACAGCGGGCAATCTGCCCAATTCTTATGCGTGTGCATCTACATAGTATCTGACATGTTTGGTAATTATTTAAGTGTCTGCAGCTGCGCCACTTCTCAAACAAAATATTCTATCGTGAATGTAATCGATTTTATCAGCACATCTATCTGCAACAAATTGGCTTTGAAAGTATTTATTGATAATTACCCAGAAGATGTTCGACTATCAGCACCAATTAATAATCCACCATCATAAATGACTGCCATGATAGTTGTACCAGTTGTTTCTGGTTCAAATTTGGAGGCCAATATGTCTGTGAAATTCATTATTTTAAATATTTTTAAGATTAGTATTAAATGGAATTTTATAGTACTATTGATTCAAACATACCCTTATATAATATATTTGCTTAATTCACCATTTTCATGATATGAGTGGATACATATATTATAAAATCATGAAAAGTGGAAAAACTCACAAAGATAAGCTAATCATTTAAGTAGACTGGGGATACAATTTATATTGAGACAGAGGACTCAAATAATTACTAAGACATATCCTATCAGCTGATAATGATATCATACTTTTATGAAGGCTTATCATATTCCCCAATGAAAAAAGGATGAGCTAAACAGTCCTCAGCTGTAAATCTTAATTCTGGATCCTAATTCAACATTGCTAACAGTAAATCTTTGGCATTCTTATCCTTCAATTGAGAACTAATCCTCATTTAGCCTGCCATGTTTTCTTCAAGGTTTTTAAATATCCCCTTTCCAGTCAGCATTTTGTGGAATATCACTCCGAGACTGAAGATGTCACTTTTGGAAGTAATCGGTTAATTCTGAAATACCTCAGGGGCTAAATAACCTCCTGTTCCTGATCGGATATTAGTATTTTAGCCTATTTGTGATAAGCCGAAATCGAAGATCTTAACGGTTTGGTTTGGGGTCAACAACACGTTGCCATACTTCAAGTCCTTATGGATTATTTGGTTTGAATGCAAATGATTAAGTCCTTTAATTATAATATGATTTTAATTACCTTCTAATAATTATTATAAGATTATTCGAATAATATTGAGGGGTATCATTTTATTACTGTATTCCTTTTACAAATCCTCTAGTGATAAACTATGATAATCCATCACTAAATAAATTTGTTGTTCGTCCCTGTAGAACTCATCGCAGTGAAGAAGATTGACATGAGGTTTTTGATTTAATATATGATTGACCGATAATTCTAAATTGGTCTAAATATAAGAATGCATGTTTACCTAATTGTCTTGCAGGACTTTTATTACTTTTAAATTTTCGCCCCGTAAAACTTGAAAAATCTTTATAGAATAATGAATATTCTTACTTCACAATGCTCAGTCTTCTTTATCCATTTCTAGAAGGAAAACTCCTTTTCCCAATTGAAAAAACCAATTTTGCCTTTTAAAACACTTCTCAGTCCAGTTACATTTAACACCTCACCTTCAAATTAATATCGTCTTTGTCCATCTAAGCATAATGTGAAGCCCATCAATTAATTATTCTGACTTCTAAATTGTCTTTAATTATACATACATAGCGTAATCCCACTCAATACAATAACTTGTTTAAACAAACTCCAAGACCTTTTGCTTTCGACCCTTGAATCCTTCGATAACCAATTTGTCCAAAAAAACTGCCACATTAACAGTCGTAGAAGTCGTATAGATCTAGAAGAATGAAGATTGAAATGTGGGCAACAACATTTAATAAATTTTAGATTTAATTACAACTTTAATTGGACAATATAACATGATTTTAAACATCAAATCCAAATTAGTTTCAATCAATTTTTACTTTTTTGTTTACCACATCCTCAACCAACTCGTGTTATTCCATCTTTTCGTCATCCTCAAAATCACTGTTGTTTCCATCCTCTTGTTCCACCAAACCAAACTCTGATTCAGCACTCTTTTTATCCAATTAGAAGGACAAACAACACATTTTTTTCATCTTAGTAACGTTCTTCAAAATGTGGAATCTTAAAATTTAAGATTTGTCAAATCCAGGCAATCCCTTAATTATCCTTTGCGAAAATTGCTCAATCAACTCTTAATCGTCCTTCCCCTTTGCAAATCCATACACATGAATGTATGGCAAATCAACTTTCCCAGTCCTCTAAGTGAACCCTTTGAAGACATCCAAGAAGTTTATTGCCAAAACTGGCAAATTCATATACACATGATTAAAATCAAAATCTATCTCCTTATTGTAAATCTTCAATACAACTTCTCTAGCGTCCATATTCAAAGGAGTTACTTGATTCTAAACCTTGTTCTCAATAATATTCTTTAATAAGTAATAGTAGCACTCTGGATTTAAATCGTTTGCCAAACATTAAGCATTTAGATCCTTAGCAATTCTTAGTGAAAAGGGACCGATTCCACAGAATAAATCTAAAACTTTAATATTTTTGCCATTTGATAATTCTTTGATATATTTTATAACTCTTTCCCTTTCTGAGTACAAACGAGTACACCAATACACTTTCTCAAAATTTAAAAATAACCTCACACCCCCTTCAGGTACAATAGCATCATAAGAATTATTGCCTGCTAGTAACTCTAATTGGGGTGTTCTGTAGACGTTGTGTAATTTTTCTAATTTGTTACACACAGTTTACAAATGTTTATTTTTATCTAAAAGCACTTGACCTATTAAGTATTTGTATGGCAATTGTTCAAGGGACAAATTGAAGTGAGCAATCTTCCCAATAATCTCATAACCTTAAGGTGCTTAAACGTTTTTTGGCAATAATTATTGGAGGACTTCATTGTATGTCATGTTATCATATCCGACAGTGACTTCCTTTTCAAGGATTTGGCAATTGTTTTCTTTGATGAATTCTTATAAATTCTCAGGTAAAGGTTCTTCGAATGTAGTGGCTATAGATTTGATGTTTTCTTATTCTAATTGCCACCTGCTTCCAGGAAAGATGCATTTTTTGAACAACTTGGTGAAATCATTAATATGGTGGACTTACATTTGAATGGAAAGGACCTTTTGAGTTTTTTGTAAAGAGAATTTAATCTCCTGTGTTAATTTCATTAGTTATTAATTATACAAAATTAAAAATATTCAAAATACAGTATCATCATTTTTTGCGCTTTCAAATTAGTCATAAGAATTATTTTAATAATTCTGTTTAATTGCAAAGGATTTTTAAAATCTCTTGCTCTTGATAATTATAAATATTGCAATAATGATTGACATAAAGTAAATGATACCTTTGTATTACACATATGAATCGTAATGAGCATAAGAGTTCTTTAAGATGATGTAATAGATTAAAATCATTGCATCATAGTTCAGGTATTTGTGTTCCTTGGATATTTTTGGATTAATTTCTGAAAATATAAAAATAAAAAGAGCCAATTAAAAAACAAATATATGAGGGATAAGCAGGGAAGCCATGAAAAATATCACCTGATGATCGAACAATAAAAGCAAACTCAAAATAACATTGAGTGCTAAAATTATTTGACTAATATTTCTGAATTTCGGATCTATTGCCAAGAGAAACAAAGGGTATATCAATAGGACTACATATCTTACGGAAGAGGATGTGACCACATTGACAAAAGTATGTAAGTTGATTACTGTTAAAAGGACGTGGAGTAGGATAATTGATTGTATTATTGCAATCCGAGTGGTGCACAGATACTTTATTACAATAAAATAATTAGACTATGGCAATTACCTGCATCTTTAACGTAGCAAAGACAGAGAGACAATCAGTATGAACAGGAGAAACTTGAAATAGTTTAAATTAAAGAATATCTGAACTATTTCGAGGTAACTCTCATAGGTTTTAATTAATACTTCCCAAAAGCATAGCAATAGGTCAAGACTTGGATTCCTTTATCTCTAAATACATTCAAACTATGACAAAACACTAATAGAATCAAACTGTCATATGTAAATTTATAAATGCTTGACACTAAAACTATATAAGTTGAGGTGCTCAACCAGTAGATACTGAATATATTCAGAATTGCACTTATAAGGATACATTGTACTCTGCCTTTCATCCATTAATTGATAAATACCTATATTGGCAAACATCAATGCAAATAGAATAGTCAACAACTATAAGTAATTAGGTTGAAGAGAACTGTAAAAACCAGTATCAACACTTCTGATTCTTAAGTAAAGTGCCGTAAATAAAATTATCAAGTAATCCAAGAAAATATATTTTTTTCTTCTCCTTGTTATTGATTTTAACATAATATTAAATATTTATTTATTAATTGTGTATATTCATAATTTGAATATATTAGGATGTTTAAGAATGCCTGAGGGATTGGGCGATTTGCTTCTAGCCCTGGGACTGGCAGAGGGTCGAGCTTTACGAATACTTCCTTCTGATGGTATCTGTAGGAATGTTTATTTACGTTGAGGAGTTCTTTGATCGGTATTAACCCAAGGATGAAATTCGACATCTGTTATTCGCAATCTAAGTTCATTATTCTTCTCCAACATTTGATTCAATAAATTGACTACTTCCTCACTTAAATTATTTGGTGGTAATTGCAATTCTTTATTTATTATGCTATTAATTATGTCTTATTGAGTTTTTCCATTGAATGGAACATTTCCGAAGAGCAACTTATACAGTATTATTCCCATGGCCCATATGTCCACTGATGTGCTTACACGTGTGACTCTGCCTGCGAGAATCTCTGGAGCCATGTAATGCAAACTCCCAATGTTCACATGATCAGTATTTGTTGGACATTGAATTCCAGCTATACCAAAATCTATTGCCTTTAATTCGTCCGAATCGACTGAGCTGAATAACAAATTCTCCAGTTTCAAATCTCTATGAACCACATTTTTTTAATGACAATAGGAAATTGCACAAACTATCTATCTAAAATATTTGCAGGCCTCCTCCTCTGAAAATCTCCCTCCTTTCTACTTCAATCTGTCACTCAACTCACCACCTTCCAAATATTCCATTATCACAGCCATTTAAGTATTTTTCAATGCATAAGAATTATACACTTTCACTATATTCTTATGAGTTAAAGAGCGAAGAACTTCTGCTTCTCGAAAATTTAGTTCTATGTCTTATGCATTTCCTATCATTTTTATTATCTTTATTGCGACTAATTCACCTGTGATCCTATGTTTAGCCAGTGTCACACATCCAAAACCTCCCTCTCCCAATTGTTTCATTGTTTCATATTATGAGAATGGTGAATAAGGATCAAATTCATCTGAAATTGAAATATTTAATAATACCTCCTCGAGATGCGTAGAAAGATTATCCATCCTTAAAAAACTTAACATCATCATCAAAGATCTCTACGCCCTGTTGTGTAAACAGTCTCATCTCTCTAAATTTCCCAAATTTCTAATCTAGTTGTGTTTAAATGTCATTCCATGTTGTATTTTAAGCAATCTTCAAATCTGTATACTTTGACGAATCTCCATTCAAATATATACGAATGGCCTTTTCAAAGCAAAGTGGAAAATCATCATAATCTTCATACATCATAAGTTAATTAAATTTGTTTCAACAGAAATACGATTTCCTCCTCCTTCTGTCACTTCTCTGCTGCTCATCCATCTATAACTGCACACGTTCTCTCTCATCTCTATTTCTCGGTTCTTAACCTTTATTTAAAGAAAACTTTTGAATATCATTAAAAGACAATCATATACATATAAAATTACACTTCTGAACATTCATCCTCCTGCAAAAACATTTTTATGGAAAATAATTGAAGAATAGCAAAATCTGATGCCATTAACCAGTTCAAACTCAACAACCAATTTTAGGATATATTCAATTAATATGCAATATTGATTATCTATTTGTTTGGAATATTCCTACAAAAAGCATTTAACTCAGAATTTGGACCGTCTAAAATGGAAGTAATTTTATAATAAATTATTTGAAGAATTCAAATTCCTTAGAATGCTGCTTAAAATGAAGTTTAATCACAATTATGTTGAAGTAAGTAATTACCTTATTTATTAATTGAAAATTTAAATTTAATGTAAAAGCTAATAGATGAATTAAACTTAACTTAATACAAATCAGTCGAATAGGTTGTCAGAATTTACACCTTCTTCAAGACTAAAGAATTGAATGTCTAAATATAATTTACTTTTGATGATTTCTACTAATGTTTGGTATTGAAGTTAAACTCAAAATTTAGTTAAATAATGAAAAACCTTTTTTGATTGAATATTTGGTTTGCTTATATTTGGAAGTACATCTAAATGATATCCATCACCCATATATTTAATTGTTGATAAATCAGAAGTAATATGGCATAATAAAATAGTCGATGTGTTCGTTAATGTTTGATCTTCAACGAAATGGCAAATATACTAAGATTTTTGATAGATCATCACAAAATTGCAGAACCTATTGATATTCCTGATGAGCACTTTCACGATTTGGATTTTGATACCAAAATAGAGATCTTAATTTTTATAGTTAATATATTAGCGTTTCAAAGCAAATGGTTTAATGGAGTGATTTAAAACAAAATACAGTTGTTCTAAAAGGGTATTGTGAAAGAAAAGAAATAGGAGTCTAAGAAATAATGGTAGGAAGAACTGCATGAACTGTATGGTTAGCAGGATGAAATCATATCAGAGGAGCGTAAGATCTTGAGTAGGAAACAATTGGCCATTTCAAATAAGAAGAGGATTAAGGAAATAGAAAAGGAGAAGGAGTAAATTGATGAGAGGATAATAAAATTAAATAATCTAATTGATATTGACATTAAAGAATTATAAAAATTTGGAGTGAATTCTATGAAGATTCTATTGAGAGATCAAGACTACTGTGTTTGGATTATTTAGGCAATGCCCAATTATGTCTTAATTAAAATAAACAAGAAGTTCAATTTGCTTTATGGAGAAGAAATACATAAACTAATCAACAAAATCGATGATGGGCCTTTGAAAGAATGTTTGGTATTGGAATCCGAAGAATTCTGTAATGAAAAACGAGTGTAATCAAAAAGTAAGGATATTGAATTTTAATTGGATCAAACTGGATTGCATCAATTCAAAAAGCAAGAAGGAAAACCAGAATACTTGATATTTTGCTAGGATGTGAATAATTTGGATGAAATTCTCATAAAAATGATCTTGGAAATAGAAGAAAAAATCACATTATTCTTTCGCTAATATCTACAGTTAAATTGGACATATCCAAAGAGTAGGAATGTCTGGAGAGAAGAAATCAAGGAGGGGAATATACAAGATTTCATTTATACATTTTTAAGTAAGATAAATTAATTTAGGAGTCGATTTTATGAATTCGACAATGATGATGAAGTTCCAGATGATTATAAAGACAAAAAGAGTAAGATGTGTTATAACCTAATTTAGTACCGTTATTCTACTATTATAAAAATTTGAGTCAAGATTTATAGGAGGTGCAAAATTGTGATTATGCATATGTTTTAATATTATATTGCAGAGTCCTGGTCCAATAGAATAGAAATATTGAGAGACAAAAGGAGAAGTTAGTTGAATTGGCTGAGTAGGCTGAATAACAAGAGATAAACAACATCAAGTCACAACAAAAATCCATTTAACCTGTCAAACCAAAACGAGCTTAGAGAGCGATAATCGATGACGATGACGACGATGAAGACTTTAATTTAAATTCTTACTATTATAGATGATTTAAATTGATTCATATTTTCAATCTTGTTAAACTTCCTGTTACAAGAATCCGTCATAATTTTTGTTGAGGGCATCTCTGAGTCTATTAGTGATCTCTTTGAATTAAATATAATCTCCTGACAATTTGTTCAAGTTCAATTTGATCATTTCATCCTCACAATCTAAAAGTTCAAGTGAAAAAGCTAAGTTTTCATCTTGTTCAGCAGCAAAGTTAACCTATCAATTAAATTAAGTAAATACTTTGTATTTGGTCTCATGGATTTTGCCCACTTTGCAGTTGAACTCTTCACAATGTTTGAGTAAATAACAGAACACAAACTTTGGATCCTAATAGACAATGATGTCAGTTGGTAAACCTTGATCCTTTCCTTTGATCATGAATCTGTTCTCAAAATTCAATTTATATTAATTGATTGTCTCATCAAAGTTTTCTTATTCACTTTCTCCGATGATGGATCTGAAAACACCAATAGGTCCCTCTATTGTTTAATGAGATATCAATACTGTTGCCTGCATTTTTTTAGGCTTGCTTTTTCATCTTAGAAGCTTGGATTTCAGCTTGAACTCTTTCATGTCTCTTTTTGAATTCGTTCTAAATTTATTCTAAAGTGGCCACAGGTCCATTTACCCAAGGGTGTTACATACATTATTCCAATGTGAATCTTTGATCTGGATTTGGGGCCAACATTCCCATCATCAAATGTCTATAAAAATTATAATTATTTTATAAATACCTGAATTCTTGTGGGAAAAATTCAGGGTTTCCTCCCTTGTATTTCAAATGGTATGTCCAAAATTGTTCCCATTTATTACATAATATCAATTTGAAGTATTGATCCTTATCAGAGGCTGTTGAGAAGGGTGGGGATCCAGCATGAATAATGAAGAAAATAACACCAGCTGAAAATATGTCTGCCTTAGTTCCATTATAATCCTTTTTAGCAACTATTTCTGGAGCCATGTACCCTAAATGTTAATATTATGAATGATACCAGGTGTTCCGAGGATTGTCCTTATCTTGGCTGTTTCCATAACTTTGGCGAATCCAAAATCAGCCACTTTGAGATTGAAGTTATCGTCCAACAAGACATTCTCCAATTTCAAATCTCTGTGGCAGATGTCTTTGCTTGCCATGTAACTCATTGCAGACAATAATTATTTAAAGTAAAATCTAGAAGTTTCTGGAGAAAATCTTCCAGATGAGGCTACGTACTCAAATAGTTCTCCTCCTTCAGCCAATTCCAATATAATGCACACACGTGGTTCGGTTTATCCATTTTTTCTCTATTTAAATATTTATGAATGATTACTCTATATGGAAGAGCACTGTTGAATTCAATAAGGTTAACTAAATTGGGATGATTTAGCTATTTGAGAATGTTGATTTCGTTGGTGAGCGTTTTGATGTTCTAAGCTGTGCCATGGTTACTCTTGAAAATCTTAATGGCCACTTTCTTTCCGTCATGCTCTCCCAATTTCACTCTAATTTATATAAAAGATATGTACTTTGCATGAAGTCCAGACCCAAGAGTCTAAAGGATGTTGTAATCACCACATGAACTGAATTTTTTCTCAATTTCCATTGTTTACATAATTTTAATATTAAATCAAAATGATAGCTTTTAAGATTTTATACTCACATTTAAATGTTATTAATATAGAATTTAACATCACGCATAAGTATTCATTAATTTTTAATAATAAATAGAAAATAACACTCCGAAAAAAAGTATTCAAACACTTTAAATTTATAAAAGATATTTAGAAGATTATATTAGAAACAAAAATTAATAGGGAATTACTTAATAAAAATTCAATAATCCAATTAAAGAAACCTTCAATCCTCTTATTCAATTATTCCTCTCTCTATTGGACTAGTACTTTGAATTCACTAAAACACTTGACTGCTCCTGGGTTATAATATTTGTTTTATATTTTATTATGTTGACACGTAATATACAGTTAAACCAAAAATACAGAATATGATTCATGTTGTCAAAGGTGGCTAACTATTTGATTGAGTCTTCAATGTGATAGCTTCCATTTCCTGTTCTTATGACCTTGAAGATGACTTCTCTAGGACAGACAGATATAAAGGGATTGATTGTTTTAATAGCATTTTAATTGTAATGTAAATTACTATTAACAAAACCAAAGCCAAGAGGATTGTGAAATATAACATGCTATTATTGTTTACGTTGCTTCCAAGTTAACTCAAACTCTATTTATCCCTTTCTAAAATTAATTTATATCTTACAATAATATATTGATTTAGCAATACCAATTTACTATGTTGTCTCATCGTAATGAGTGTAATACTTTTGTAAAACAACAGAACCCAAAACTAACACGTCTTAGTTGTCGATCTATTGAAAATTTAAATAGCATATGTGCTATAAAAAGTAATTGTAATCGCAATACGCAATGTAATCTTGCGGCAAGAGTGTTAAACTAAGATTAGCATCGATATTAATATTCAATTCAGGGAATGATTATTCATTATAGGAACACACTACTTCAGTGACTTGATTCTATGATTCTTTCTCACAATTCAATTGGTAATTCTCATTGAAAATAGATATAAGCTTATTCAATTTGTATTTTGAAATTAGGATCTTTGATACTCCACTGTGAAATGTTATGAGTTGGGAGTATGATTCTAATTCATATTTGTTGTTCTTCCCCACAATTTCAACTGATATACCTTTCACTGTCCATTACTCGGATTGTATTGGTTTTACATATTGCAATTCATTGATATAGTAATTTTTGTTCGGTTTTCCTAGTATCAAAATAGATGTAGGCTAACAATTTTATTCATTTAATAAAAGCCCGAATTGCTTGTAATCAATCACTTTTGAATCATACAATTTCTTCAATATGTTGTCTTCTTTAGACAGTTATTTCCTGCTAAATCCAACAGCCCCATCGGCTATTATGGAATAAAAGTGTTCAACTTTGGAAGCTTCAATTACTTGCAAATCCAGAGATTGATTCATCAATGAAAATGTTTGACTGTATTTGACTCCAGAGATCTTGCCCTATGCATATTCCAAGGTTTGATTCTCTGTTGAGGCACACTTTTGGCATTCGTAATAAATTCTTCTATTGGAATTCTTTCCAAATATCCACATGTCTTCATTTCCAGTGTCCACTATGAGATGATATGTAATATTATTTGCTGATATAGGTAAACTATAATAATTAAATTGGAGATTTGTCAAATTGATGTCCAGACAAGACACTGTTGCTATTATGAATATAATCATTTTATATAAAATAATAATAGGTTTTCATTCTTTGACATTTCATTGATTTTTATTAATTGTTTACTTTATTTTGAATGATTCCCTCATTGTATTGATAAATTTAAATTATTATTCTCACTTTTGATATTTAATTAATCTAATGTAAACCAAAGAGAATAAGTAAAATTTGCGCTCATTTTTTAGTTCCACCCATTCTACTAAGTATCTCAAATCCGATGGCATTCGTAAGTTAACTGACTTAACCAATTATGACACCATTAAATAATAGCAAAAATTGCAGATGAAACATTCCATTAACAATTAATATTAAAAAATTCTTGGCAGATTACCCGATGCTAAATTCTTTAATCCAAAATCAGAATCTTTCGTTTCATATCCTTGTTATAATGAAAAATATTTATAATTTTCAAAAGAGATAATTATGCAAACTAAAAAAAAGAGTACAATTTATTTTAAATTCAGACCCAAGATGATGATTGTGACACTGATGAAGACGTCAAATAACAATCTGTAAATCACAATATCACAGAAATTCTAAAATCCTTATCCTCAATAAATAAAAAATCCTACAATTCCTCAGATTATTTATGAATGATATTTTCTTCATTACATTAATAGTATTATAGATATCTCATTGCATTTACAATAATTATAATGAAAGAGTCCCCTTCTGTTATTATTTATAAGATTACTATATAAATTCTACTCATTAAAATTCATAATTAGTCTAAAATTTCAAAATAGATAATAATTTCAATTTATAGTTTAAACCCCATTATTAGTATTAGATTAAGAGAGGTTAATGATTAAATATGAAAACTCTTTTCTGATAGTTTCCACTTGTGATTCCTCATCTCAAAAGTTTTAATAATATAAATTTATAATTAATAAATTTGTATACAATTATAAATAATATTAATTAACGAATATATGTCCTTATTAGATAAGCAAGAATCAAAGAGTTTCAGAGATGAAGTCTCTCCATCCATCAGAGATTTCATAATCAATTTTAGAAAATAACAAGCCTAAATTGCAAAGCAAAGCGCCTATTAGCAATCGATAAAAAAAACTATTCCGATTAAATAAATAACGCAATTGAAGTTAAATAGATAATCAGTTGACACTCAGACTGATCTCACCGAGTAACAATCAGATACATCATTCAAAAGGAATTCCTTCTAAATCTCATAAAGATAAAATTCAACATATTCTTAATCTTGTTTGACCACTCGAGAAGTCCAAATACAATGTGACGATAATCAAATGAAACCTACTGATGATCTCCCCTCGGCAAGAGTTAACATCCATTATCTTCAGTAACATTATCAATCGACTCAATCCTAATCATCAGACTTAGCCATCCAAAATGCATCATAATAATTGCCTTTAATCTATAGATCTCCACAGAAGATGGATAATGAATTTAATTTCGATTAAATGACTGAACAAATCCTCAACAAAGTCATTTAAGAATTAGATAAAAGAAATACAGAAACAAACATAACTTCGTAACAGCCATCTGCTTCCAAGTCCCTCTCTAGTTAAAAAATCAACAATTTATCAATCAATAACTAAACTGTTTCTCTCACTGTTATCCCATAACCAAAAAATGAAGACGATGATTCTTTCTTAAAATTTATGTAATCAATTACAATTAACTTAGTTAAATGAGTCTAGTCAATAAGAACAAGATATATTATGAAGAACAAGAAAATCAACCACCATAGAAAAGTCCGGTCAAGTATTTCTCAAACATTCCCAAAACTAGGGAATAGCATTCAAAATCATCAATGAGTAAATCAATATTTTCAGAATCATTAAATCAAAATAGTACATTTTAATATATCATTGATAGGAGTAATTAAGAGTAAATGTAATACTAATACAAACACAAAATCAAATGCCCATTAAAGATTATATTAAGATGCTTGTATGCGATAAGAGAGAAAGACAATGGCCACGAATAGAAAACCTAGATATTGAAATCAATTATCATACTACAATCTATATATATATATAATTTAGATTATTTAATTTTTAATATCTTTTAGTTTCAATATTAATTCATACTATAAGTTTATTTAAATTAGAACGATGCTATAGCATTTTATTTTGTCTTTGAAATCTTTTATTTATTTATCAATATTTTTTGTTTAATATTTTCATAGTTTGAGCTACTTACAGAAGTAGGACTTATTTTGCTACTAAATCTCAGTACCCAATAAGATTAGTCCTCCAGTTTCAAGGTATTTAGCATTTAAATTTTATTTAATAATTTCATAGATTTTAAGTATTGCTTTTAAAGATTAGGTACTATATTATTGCTCCTATCTTCATTATAAAACTTACATTGGTAGATCTTATTTTTAAAGAATATTAAATAAAAATTTATGTATTTAGGATAATATTTATGACTTTGACTATTTATAAATTTGAAATTATGATTTAAGTAGTTTTTTTTTGACTTTTTGAAATCTTAAAGTAACTTCAATGATAAAATCAATTATGCTGGCTTAAATTTATAGGCAATTGATATTATAGATTAATAATCATCTTAAATTTTTATTTATACTTTTTACTACTAATATTAGATTATAGACCACTATCCAACATGTTGAAGTCTTCTAAATGATGACATTCAATATATACTCTTAATTTAATATTAATCAAATAAAATCAATTGCATACATTTTTAATTATTATAAAATTGGTCCCAAATAAATTCAGGACTTTGATTTTATCGAAAAGACTAATGATCTAGAAACAAAATTAAAATTATGAAAGAAGACGACACTTCGATATCATAGAAGAAGATAGATGAATTAATTAGAGAATAAAAATACGCTGCACTTATCTAATTGATTTCTAAAAGAGATCCTAGTAGGTATACTCCTTTTGCTTATACATTAGACTAAAACAATACAATTCCTTAAAAATAAAGAATTAAATCTTCAGATTAAATTAAGATGTTGCTGTCTGTGCTAATAACAATGATGTTTACTCAGGAAAACTAATCAAGATTTATTGCATTAAAGATTAAAATAATCAATATGTTCCTGTAATATAGGTTTAATGGTATGTTTTATTTCATATATTACTGTTAGGTATTACACAAAATAAGATCTAAATTTAGATAAGAAACTCATGAAATGCATTTCAATTAAGGAATTGTTTTTTTCAACACATGTTGAGTTTTTGGCGGCTAATAAATTATAATGTCCAATAGAAGTGATGACATTTGATCAATACACATAATTGGAATATGAAGAAGAAACGAAATTCTTCAGTAGAGCAGCCATAGATCTTAAAACAATGGAACCTATGCCAACAGTTGGTGAATGGCCAAAATCATGTGTTTGTAGGATGCCTTAAAATCCTGATATATAAATGATTCAATGTGAAACATGTGGAGAGTGGTTTCATTTGGATTGTGTTAATATAAAACCAGAAGAAGCAGAACAAATTGAACATTATAAATGTCCAGGTTGCTAATGATACATTAATTTTTTGATATTATTCATCAGATTTCAAATAACCCTTCTCCATTCCAGATTGTCTACAAATCTATTTTCATCAAAATATTAGTTTATCCTAATATTATCAATCCCAAAGCGAAGTTTAAATTCCTGGATTTCAACTGTAATTATCTGTCTTATGTCCTTGTAGATAACAATTAGGGAAGATAGTCTAATTTTTAACTCTCAATTTCCAGAAAATATCCTTTATTATCATGAAATAAAGTCATGTCAACTTCCTTTGGCATTTCCAATTTATTTTTCAATTTAATCGAACTATTTAATGGTAAAGAGAGTAGAACAGCTTAATTTCCATCATTAATTTTAATTTGACTTTAATTTTCACTTTCTTTTTATAAATAAATTGGGTATATTTCATCCTAAATATCATCTGGTTATTTATCTTCGAAATTTAACTCTTCAATTATTAAGCTATGATTTTGTGATAATTTGATTACCATTCCAACATCTAAGTAAATTTTGTAATTGATATCATCTACTTATTATTTAGACTTTCTAAAAATAATTATATCCATACCTGCAAGTCAATTGATAACTAAGAATATCATTATTACTCCAAAATTTAATAGTTTTATTGGATTGATCGAAACACAACTTTAAGAGATGTTGATTTTTTTCAGCATAATTTAGCCTTTATTCTAAATGTGGAATCTTTTGCATAAGCTTCTATAATTCAATGTCTACCAAAAATAAATTAGTTTCTATTATTTTTGGTGCCATAAATGTAATACAAGTGTGGGAATCATCAAAATTGAATTGAATTGTGATGAGTTGATTTGTGTTCAATGAAATACATTCTTGTGTTAAATATTGAGTATAAGTGACAGAGTAAGTATTGCATTAATTTAACATCATTTTTGATATATAACAAATAGATTCAATAAATCTGTCTTCAGCAATTAACTTTTTGTTAAAAAATGAAAACCATTGTTTTTGGTTACCTAAGACTATTTGTAAATGATTATCAGTTTTAGCAATTTAGAGTAATTTTTCAAATTGTACTTTTAAAAAATTAAATATTTGCTATTCCTCCTCATATTCTTTAAGAATTTGGAGTGATTGTTAAATTGATTATATTGGTTCTTGAAGGGAGTTCTTAAGTCTTTGGTTTGAACTCTTATCTATCAACGAAAATAGTTCCATTACCATTTCTTCTACAAATTAGAATTCTTTTCTCTGCATATTCAATAAATATAAATTTATAAATACTAAAGAATTATTGATAAAAAGTTTATTGATATTAAGTTATATATATAATAATAATAATGTTCATTTTATATAGAAGTTTTCTTCATCCCCTTTTTTCATCTGTGAGTTCATCATTTTAGATGAGTTCATTCTAGACTATTACATAATAGATTGATTCTTCATAGTTTTATCAAGTCTTGTAATCTCCTAGTTTTATTAACTAGTTAATTCCTTTCTGACATTCTAATATTTCTATAGTAATCTACGATATTTTAATTAAAATATACTTCTCCAACTCTTAAGATCTAATCTTTCTTTATTCTTCCTATCCAGATATGATTCTTTGTTACAATGCACCTAATTCATTGGTTTACTTAAGTTTAAGTTGAGAAATAAGGTTTCTGATTTTGCACATTCTCGAGGCATTCCATTTTTCATATTCATCTCTTTCCATGGAGAGTATTCTTTATTGAGTTAGATGAGCCTCTTGATAACTAATTATAGGATTAAATTTAATACTTCTCTTGTCTGGCTAATGATTCTTCAGTCTTTCTCAAACTGAGTAATTCAGCTGAGTCTTTTGGCTTGACTGGAATGGAGTTCTCTAATTCTTCTGTAAATTATCTCAACTCTTCATCATGTCTTTGTAGGACTTATTCTTTAACTCTTTGAGCTTCTGAATCGAATTCAGCCATTTTTTAATCCCAGAATTCGTTAAATTGATTAAATTCATCAAGATGGGCCTTCTCAATCTCCTATTTTTCGTTAGTATGTCTGTCCTTGACTTCATATTTATTCTTCTGATCCAATTCTTTTTTTAATTCAGCAAGTCTTTTTTTTGCTTGATCAGCTTCTAAATATTTTCCAGCTTTTTCACAGCTCTTCTGATGCTCATACAATATTTATCTATGTTTGATTGAGAATCTTACATGTATTCCTCGATATCTCCAGTTTAAACTGGGAGGTTGTTGGTTCCCTTTCTAGCAGATGATCTTGAGTTATTCATTAATTTTATTTTATTCGTTAATTAATATTGATAAAATGGTTATAAATCTTATTCAATTATAAATGTATTTGTTAAGAATAATTTTAATATCTGTTATTAATGTATTATAGTAATAGCTCATCCTCCCTAATCAAATCTCCCTATGGTCACATCATTACTAAAACTCCCTTCACCAGATAGAATAGACCATAAGAGAAAATGCCCGATTAATCAATTATGTCTCAATATCAATCTCCTACCCTGCGATAAGCTATGTCACCAAGAGCAGCCAGAGAATACTTAAATAGTTTAAAAAGCTTCATCAATCAATACGAATCCAAACCCATCAATGAAAGTAGAATTGCTTCTCAATCCAATCATCAAACCAATTAATAAATACCTTATCTATATTTCCCTATTGCAAATAGACTGAATGATGAAATCAAGTTGATGACTCCCTAAAGAATAGAAGTCAAAAAATTCAATTAAGACGGAACTGTGCACTCCTTAAAATATTATTACTTGAACTAACCAGTTTTGAGTAGTTCCAATGATGTTATTGCATCAAAACTAATAACAATAATAGGATTGAATCACAGTGGCAAATAATAGTTGTTTATAGAACTCATTAAAAAAGTTATGCCTAAATATTTTAAATTATCCATTCAAACGGATCAAGTGAATCAATAACTTAATGTCCAAATCAATGATGACTTTAAATCGACGATTAAAAGTCTAAAAGCAGATTTAAAGAATTATCAATTAATTGCATAAAGTGATTAACATGTTCTTGTATGTCGAGAACAAAAGGGATTCGTTAGAGATAAAAAAGATAAAGGCATCCTTATTTTATGTATTAAACCAGGAAAGGAAACAAAATAGAATTGTGTCTAAACTCTTAAATTGATAGAAAATATATAAAAGAATTGATTATATATGTTATATTTATTTCAATAAAATTGGGTAATTGCAAATTAATTTTGTTTGAGAATATGACATCTATTTGATGACTATTAATAAAAGTTAATTAGCGAGAATAAATGATTCCTTCATGACTTAAAAATAAGAATCTCAAAAATTAACCTACCATATTTATATTATATACAATGATATAACCAAAATAACCTAGATTTTATTATTGATAAATTTGATTTTAATTGATTAAAATGAATAAAACTAAAAAATGAATTTCATGATTTTCTTTCCAATTTCTTCTTGTACATTAAGAAACCTTAATTAGAATTAAAATATTTACTTATTTTATTTTATTGCATTTTTCTAGGAGTTACAACATTATGTCTAAAACTACTAAAATTTCTTTCACTTTCATCCTAATAGGTACTCTTACTTCTTTATGAATCCTAAAATAGAATGATAGATTTTATTACCAAGTCTGTTAATTCTGTTCTTAATTGCATGCTTTAAATGTCAATATTCGATAAACCACCAATAGTTTTTACTTGTTTGTTTGGTTCTGCTTTGATCATACTATCATCTTCCATTGTCCTTTGAGTACCTTAAGTTTGGATAGTTGGTTGAGAGAACTTCTTTTTTATGATCTTAACTTTCTTCAAAGATCCGAAAATTTTATTTAATTGATCCTCAGTCTTGTCAAATTCTGTACTCTCAAATGCCTGGATTGCTATAGTTTTTGTTTTAGTTAAATTGGAACATTTTGACTTTCTGACTGAATCTAATTCAACTAAGAGTTCATCTGATTTTGTTAGATTAGTTGGCGATTGTTATGAAGACTCATTTTAGACCTGATTGGGTTGTTATTCTGAATTTTATTCTGATTCTTATTGTGAAAGTACAAAACGGAAATTTAATCCAGAATTTGATAATCGCAATACTTATGCTCTTTCATCATTTTCATATCTATTTTCAAATTCAGGTGTAGGTTATTTAGCATGATACGGATTTTGTTTGTAACTTTAAGGGCTTTTAACTTCTACAGGATTCTTGTAAGGATAATGAATTATGTTTGCATTTTATTAATTATTATTTTCTTTTCCCTTTCCTTTCACTTTACTTGCAATATAAGTTTACTTATTTGTTGGAGAGTTTATGATAGTCTGTGTCTGAGGCTGATGTTTTATTTAATCTTGGCATTTGAATTATCTCATGTACTTTTAGTCATTTTGATTGCAATTAGGATTTGAATCTAATTATCTTCTTATCTATGGTGATTTACTGTTGCATTAATGTTAGTAGATTGAAAACACTTTTTTTGTTTAGTATTGAAATAAGTAATTAGAGAATTGATTCATTGTTTTAACGTTAATATTATATATAAATTAATCAAAGGAATGTAATGTAAAAATGATAATTTCCAATTTTATACATACAAATAGATATTATTAATTAGTAATGGGTCATTCATTTTATCCTTTGAGTCTAACCGATTGTTATCTTTGTCTTTGCAATCTCATTTACACTTAATCCTCCTATTCCTATAGAGCTCTATTATATTGTAAATTACAACTTGTTGTGCATTCTTGTAACCCTCTATTATTCATAGCCATGAAATTCTAAAAGCTGATTTACTTACAACTTTTAATCCTATTCTTATATGTATTTGAATTGATTTTCTAATTCTTATTGTTTTTAAGATTTTTAAGGAATAATGACTTTTGGAGATGTAGGAGGGAGAATGTCATGACTTTGAACAAGCCTAGATTTCTTTAAGGCTGTTTCATGTTTTAACTCTTCATATGCGACATTCATGCATTGATTGACATTTCCTCTCATTAACAATTATTAAGTTTTATTTTTGAAAACCAAAAATTTATTGCTTTTTATGGATTCGAAATATTCTACTCCAATCTAATTGAATCTTATAATATTACTCGATATAATTCTAACAATTAATTTACAACTTCTATTGTGACATTATTGCATTCTACTTCCATTTCTAAGTATAAAATATTTTCAGCAAAAAATCGAGGCAAATGCTCCTAAAACAAGGACTTTGCATTATCTAAATTCTCACTCCTTGTATTCATATAATTTAAACAATTATTAAAATTTTATTGTTATCTAATAATTTAATCCTTTATCTAACAAATAGAATGAATATGCTCTTTTACATATTTATTCATACACCAATAACTACATTTTAGTTTATTTTGTATAACTTCATATGATATGATTTTAGGTTCATGGGAAATAATGAGGAAAATTCAAGTCTGTAAATTTAATTTAGAATTGATGATTTGCGCACTAAATTTATAAATAACATTTAATTTTTTTAATTGATTGTGGAACAAAAAAGTTGGAAGATTTTTGGTTTGGATATGAGGATACAGGTAGAATTAGAAGAGGACCTTTTTGAGTCTCATCAGCATATAAATTAATTCAAAAATTCAAACCTTAATGGAATGAAGAGCCCTTCCTTATTTTTTTTAATTATTCCATATCATAAATAATTTATTTATTTCCATGATTTCTAAAGATTGTTTGTTTCTTTCTAAAACGTAAATTAGCTGAAGACATATTTTATTGAATCTTTAAAAGATGAAATAAATCAATTATTATATTTTAAGCCGAACCGTATTTAATTTTGAAATGCAACTTTAACATCCATGAAATATAGCATTATGTAATTTTTGCAAATAATTTTCACATAAGGACGATATAAGTTTAGATGTATAGAAAGTGTTGGGAAATAATATCAAATTTTACATATTGGCTACGCTTTTATTATTCAAAGTCTTAATTCTTAAAAATTTGAAATAAATAAAAATCCAAATAAACTTACAAGAATAATCATAATTATAAAATTTTAATGCTAATCTTCGTTACATCAATAGTTTTTACTCATGTTGTTAGTCAAGAACCTATACTATTTTCTAGTTCATTCACAGATAAAAAACTAGTTAACTTAGAAGGTAATATGATAATCTATATAGGTTGGAGAATATATCCTGAAAATCCATTAAAATCAGGGTTTGGCTCGTTATCTGAAAGTGACGATGATTACGCAGGATTGTATTCATTAAATGGAGAGCCTGATAAGACCTACTCTTGTGGAATGTATAAAATTTATGAAAACATTCCTCCTCACCGATATTTAATTATAAATGTGAAAACATTAATGTTTCTAAATTTTATAAATATATAGATCTAATACAGGCCAAGGAGGTAGAGGCGCACTTAATATTAGAGTAAATGGAATTTTAATTATGCAAGAAGAATAGCAATTAGATAAAGTTATTAATTCAAAAAAAACCAGTTTTTAATTACCTTATCTATCATCTTCGCCTTCCGTAATAGTTGAATTTATTTTTGCTGTGAAAAATATTTTTAGAGTAAACTAACTATTAAAATTTATTAGACTATGACTTTTGGATTTCGAGAGTTTCAACTATATTACAAATAATGTCCTACTGGATGCTTATTTTGTTATACTTACGATCTTAAGTCCAATGATTGCAATTTGTGGTCTTTAGACCATCACTCATTAGGTGGTTCAAGTGCGTTGAATGAAGGTTGGTTAATCAATTTATAAGGCAAAAACTTATATAATATGGAGTATTGTTAAGGTTTTTAAATTATTTTATAAGTTAGATGATAAAGCTCTTAATTTAATTGGACTGGTATTACCTACCCAATCTATTGGAAAAACAGTGCATTTAAAGCCTCATTATAAAATATTAATTTAGTTCAAGTTGCTATTACTAGGAGCTGATTCTTAGATGTTCACTTATTTTAATCTAGAATTAAATGAAGTAGTTGTTACGGATGTCAAAATTGCCACTTATGCAGAAGGATCCAAGATTTGCAAATATAGAAATCCTACAAGCTAGGGTGATTACATTTTTTAGCCAACTTACGAAAACTTTCATTAAGATACAATTGTAAATTTTAGAGTTTTTACTTAAGGAGGTAAGGCATCTATAGAAAACTTCAGATGGTCTATCAGAAATTTTGAAATTTACATTAAGAAATGCCATTTAGATTGTATTGAATCTTGTTCTGGTCCAAAAAATACTTAGTGTAGTAGAGATAAATATCCATCATTCAAAAGCTTTAAAAATTATTTTACAAATACCTTATTTACAGACACATAAAAATGGCAAATGATAACTCCAATTTAACCAAAATCACCAAATTATTGTAGTGGTTTATCAATCTTTGGTGGTTATCTTCAATTAAATGGTGATTATTTTATTTAAAGAATTGGTTACTTTTGAAAGAACATAAAACAATTTAAATTTCATTTAAGTTTTACCAAATAGATAATTTTGATAATGATAAATTATATGTTGTAGTTGATGATCAAATTGTATATGAAACAGTCTTAGAACCAATTTTAGATTTAACAAAAGCAAATCCTCTATGTGGAAAATATGAATAATATGATTTAGTTTTAAAGATTTCAACAGATGTCATTTAACACACTTAAAAATAAAGTATAATTTAAATTTATACTAATTAACCAACGACATCTTAAGGTTATTGGGGAATTAGAGATTTGTTTATAAAATAAGATTCAAATGTATATATATAGGAATTTAAATAACTAAAATTTTAGATTATTGATTGGTTATCATTTGCTTGGAAAATAACACCAAAAGAATAAGTAATTGATACTTGTAAAAACTAAAATTACATAATAAGTAATAGTAATTTAGGATAATTCTCAAAATTAAGAAAGTTAATATTTAATATACCTAAACATACAAGAATTAGAATATAATTTATAATAATACTTACTTATACTAGTATTGTTGAAAATACAGTTCAGATTAATTTTTCAATTGATGAAAATGAAAATTAAATAACTAAACATTTAACATTGATAAACGATTAATATTGTCAAACTTCAATATTAAGTAAGCCTTATTCATTTGATGATATCATTGTACATACCAATGATAACTTATTTTTAATCTTATCAATTGATAGTATCTCTATTAATTGGGGAATAAGAGATTTCTATCTCTCTTATTCTGATTTATGATCAATAATTTATATATTATAAAAGTATCAATTCATATTCACACACTTCAAATACAATATCATTCAAATTTTTACTAACTTCAGATAAAATATTTCTCTATAAAGTTAGCACATGAAATATATAAGTTTTTGCAGAGAAGTAATGATGGTAATTCTTACTTTTATAAAGAGGAGATAACACAATAAAAAGGGTTTGAAAATTCAGTTCAGCGCTAAAAGTAAAATGCGATAATGTTTTAAAAATAAATTAAAATCAATCTAATTTTCTACAGAGAATGAATATTCAAAAATTATTTCATTTATGAATTCTTGTTAAGATGCAAGAAATATAATATTTAATATATATATATAAAAGGAAACAATAAATTGATTAAAATTTGTTGTTATCCTTCTGATTTAGGGAAATGATTTAAATATAAAAAATATCTAAACTTTGAATATTCTTAGAAAAAGCAGAACATTCAATCAGAATACTTGAGAATAAATCAAACAGTTTCAAATTCAACAATTAAAATAACATAATATATAAATATATTTTCAAAACTAAAACTGGATTCTTTGAATCCATAGCGGTTTTATGAAAAATTATATCATTTAATGCAAACAAAATAATATTTAGATCTATTAATATAATTAAAAATGGGAAGTAGTGCCTCAACTAGAATAAATGAATTCTAGAAAATAAAGGCTGATCTTAAATTGACGACTCTACCAGACTTGGATAAAGTAAATTCTAAACTTATTCCTTAGCTTTTAATTGTTGCCTAAGATCTTCTTAAAGTAACTGAGTAACTTAGATCAAGGATTGTATCATATCATGACCTATTGATGAGAGCAATGAAATTGCAATCTTATAAAGATGTCACTTTAATTGATGCCTTTAAAATATGGTACTTGTGCACTTTAGTGTGTAATGACACAAAAGGAGACAACGTATAATTTGAATGCAAAATTGAAAATTTTGATCATGAAGTCTTACCTGAAAGTCTAAAGAAACTAATGAGTTTTGTACTGATCTTCATCTATAAGTAGGGTAGCGTAGTGGCTTTTACAATCGAAGAAAAGTTCATTCAAGATGAGAAAGAGCATTTGATAATTTGTGAAACAGGAATATGTGGAGATTTTAAACTGCAATTATGGCCTTTCATTTGCTCATCCTTTTTAAGTTATTTGAGATCTGCCGTTAGACTAGCCCCATTTTTAGAAGAGAAAATCAATAGCTAAATTAATTTGATAAGAAAGTACATAGATGTACATAAAGCAGAGAAGTTGACAAAAAATATAAATTAATAAACCTTAACTCATATCTGTGAGTAATTCAAATATTTTGGATTATTGGTTGATAAATATCATCAAGAAGTCAAAGTATTTACCAAAGGTTATAAAGAAATTATGAAAGAATTGCATCCTTTGAGTTAGGAAGTTCTAAGAGAAGAAGGAAATCAAAATTACATTCTAAATGACGAGTAATATTCATTAATAAATATTTTATAGGAGAACAATCTTAAAAACAAAAATACAAAGTATTATAAAAAAATATCTACCCAATTATGTACTGAAAGAAGTAATTGAAATAAGATAAGAAATGTAATTGAAAGAGTAAAGAAGAAAAGTAAAACCAAAAACCAAATTGGAAAGAAGAAGAACAGAACAAGCTGCTTTAACATTCCCTACCACTTATCATTGGGTAGGTCATGAGTACTTTGACACTTTCTTTTCAGCTTAGTCCTTAACTTTATCCGAATTAGAAGAATGTCGTTCTCAAGGAGAAGAAGCCAGAAAAAAGTTATTTAAAATCACTGGAGTCAATTAATGGAAGGATAATACTATAAAAAGCGTATTTGAATGTCTCGCATGGATATTATCTGCTGAACTTAATAAGAATCTTAAAGACAAAGATTTTAAACTACTTAAAGACGAGCCTTGGCTTCATTTTATAAAGCAAAAAAAGCACAAATTTACTGAACTTTCTTCTTTAATAGTTGCCAATTTAAAAATATGGTTGAAATATTTTAGTCCGATTAGATATGAAAGAATCTGTAATTATTAGTATTAAATATATATATCATTATTTAGTTAAGATTTCTTAAAGCGATAAAAAGAACTTGAAAAGAACAAATTTGAATTTCACCATTTAATCAGAGATCTTCCTCCATAAAATTAATATAATGCACTTTCAAGTTTTAGTAAAAATATTCGAGTAAATGAAACTTATATGAGTAAAATTGAAAAACTGTTTGAGATGACTATTCAAAGTAATGGTAAAATGGGAGAAGAATTATATGAAAATTGGTAGGATATCGTTAATCAAGCTGATTCAATTAATTATTAATTAGGCACTCCTTTTAATGAATTCATTAAAGAATTTAGACCAAACACATTGGCAGAATTGGACGAATTGTAAAATAGAAAGGCTGAAAGAAAATAAACTAAGTTATCGATTGCCTGTATTGAAGTTTGAATATAATTAGATATAAATATTATTTATATTCAGGATACCAAATTCTTCTAGTATTTTATTTTAATATATCTGAGACCAAAACAAATGGCTGGTTCTAATAAACCACCTATGAGTATTAAATTATTTTTTATACTTCCATCAGCCTTAAATTTTAATATAGATGTTGAACTTGAATGATCTAGCAATGCTTCAAACACAAATTTTTAGTTTCTGTTAGTACTGTCACATAGTTAATCTTTGAAGTCAATAAAAAGTTTTATTTCCAAACGTTTTATTCATCAATATTTAATTAAAGATATCTAGAATTATTAAATTTGACTTGATTTATCACAACAACTTCAAAAACTTACTAAAATCCTCTAATGATTTGGAATATTTATTAGGGTGCTTACGAAGGATTTTATCTTTCTAGATACAAACTAGTTTAATTCTAATTTAATAATCCATAATTTATAGGGCATTTGTAAAACCATCCTAAGAAACAATTGATTTATCGTCCTTATCAAATGATTTGGTCACACTTTCCTATCTGCTTAAATTTACAGTTCCCTGATGTTTAATTAGGTGTTGTTGGTCTCGCTAAATAAGATAATTCTATACTAAAAAATATGTTTCCATCAGCAAAAAGATTAGATTCTTATTCATAAGAGCTACACTACAGCATCATCTAATTAATGATTGGGTGTATATTTACGATTGATATTTAAATTTTATCTTAATAGTGTGGTGAGGAGGAAGATCATATATCATAATATAAGCTCCATCTACAGTCAAGCCTCCATAAAAGCAATCGAGGCCAAAATACATATAATCACTGGGATATTATGCAAAACGAAAAGTACATCTATAATTCCAAGCTTCGTATTATAGAAAAATTAAACCTTCTGTATAAAGGACACCATTTACATTTTGCAAAGGATTGCTTATAAAGAAACTAAGATAGTTTGATTAAGCTAGAAAAGGAAGAGATATTAAAAAGAGAAAATGCAAATTCATTAAAAATAAAGATCAAATTTGATTTTAATAAGTTTACCCCTAAATTATAAGATTAACTATTTTATATAATTCATTTAGTTAAGTAAATTCGATGAATAAGAAATTCGATATATCTGTCTTCTCAATTTTTTATAGATTGAAAGGTTCCAGTTTCTTGAAGACCTGCCATTGTTTTGAGTACTACTTTTATGCAAATAAAAAATTAACATTTAAGAAGAAAATTAAGCTTGCTAACCCACTATATATAATATTTAGAATGTTGTACTTCTGTAAGAATCTTATTCTGTGTCAATCTGATATCTTGATATTGGTAAATTTTAAATAATATTTTAAAATAGATTTTTACAGTTTTATTAAATTATAATGTTATAGAACAAAAGATGAAAAATATTTTTATATTTAATAATTTATTTCTGCCAATCCTGATAAGATATTTAGATGATTTAAGAATGTCATCCTGATTCTAAAAACGATTTTTTCTAGTAATCCTAATGAAAAAATTATATAAAATATCCGTTATTACATTTATATTTTCTAAAACTAGTCAATTTCCATTATTTCATTTTGACGCCACTATTGATAGATGATCTCATTTGTTTTTTACCACCTCTTTTGTTTAAATCTTATCTACATTCCCATTATATAAATTTGAATATTATAAGTAAAGAAATTGATAAAACTTAATTTTCAATCTACACTCAACATGATCGAATAATAATGTTCATATTAAATTAAATTAATTTTCGATCTCATTCTTTTTCGCAGCATTCTAATTTACTGAAAATTTGAAAAAGTCTATATTATTTTAATACAGAGATATATGATTTATAATAATTAGCTAAATCATTAATTTATAATTTAAACGAGATTATGTTATATTTAATTAATATCATATTATAAACTCATTTTTTTTATAGATAAATCTATGCAATTCGTTTAGTTATTTATACTTATTATAGAAATACTTAGTAGTTACATAATCATGGTCTGTATTTATAAAGTAGATTAGAGTTTTCAAACTAGTTTTTGGCAGACGAATTATTTGTTTACAAATTCAATTAAAGTTTAAAACTTGAATAGTTTAGTAAAAAATAATCTTAATCTACAAAAAAAGCATAAACTTTATTTATATTTTTGATATCAAGATTTTAACTAAAACTACATATCCTAGGATTATAAATAAAGTGATAGTAATTAGTAAAATTAAAAAAATTGAAGAGGAATAGGTAAGCAACCGTTAATTGTGATTCTGATTTGTACCCTAATAAATTCATTTACAAGTTTGGTTATTGCTCTTCAATCTATAACATCGTCATTATTATGTAGATTTGTATCAATCATGTAAGTATGCAATTTTGAAAATATCCCTGATATTCGATCTTAAAAACGTAAAGGAAAAAAAATTAATTTCAATTTTAACCTAGTCGAAGTTTAAGCTTTTGGGTGTATTCAAACCTACTGAATGATGGTTAGACTATCCTTAAAGTCATAACAACTTATATCTTTGTTAGCGGATGTAATTCTAAAGGATAATCTAAATCTATATTAATTAACCAACGACATCTTAAGGTTATTGGGGAATTAGAGATTTGTTTATAAAATAAGATTCAAATGTATATATATAGGAATTTAAATAACTAAAATTTTAGATTATTGATTGGTTATCATTTGCTTGGAAAATAACACCAAAAGAATAAGTGATTGATACTTGTAAAAATTAAAATTACATAATAAGTAATAGTAATTTAGGATAATTCTCAAAATTAAGAAAGTTAATATTTAATATACCTAAACATTACAAGAATTAGAATATAATTTATAATAATACTTACTTATACTAGTATTGTTGAAAATACAGTTCAGATTAATTTTTCAATTGATGAAAATGAAAATTAAATAACTAAACATTTAACATTGATAAACGATTAATATTGTCAAACTTCAATATTAAGTAAGCCTTATTCATTTGATGATATCATTGTACATACCAATGATAACTTATTTTTAATCTTATCAATTGATAGTATCTCTATTAATTGGGGAATAAGAGATTTCTATCTCTCTTATTCTGATTTATGATCAATAATTTTATATATTATAAATTTATTAATTCAATAACATTCATATTTTTACTACTTTCAGATACAATATTTATAACTTAATAAAAGATTTTTATAAACCTTTAAAGCTTACTTTTATCCTTCTTATATTCCTTTTAATATCTATATCACATACTTTCTAAACCCACAAAATGCGCTTAAATAAATTTAATCATAATGATATTATTCTTGAAAATAAAGAAAAAATTCAATAACTCTCTAATCTATTTAATTGATAGGATAGATGGTCGAACGAAAAATTAATTGTGAAAATATGAATAAATTTGTAGATATAATTCACTAAGACTTTCCATCAATAAAAGTGTAATACATAAATAGTACTTTGATTGATTTGGAATTTGATTTTGAATTCATCCTTTAAGATTCAACGGTAACTTGGGATTTATATATTTGGAAATGTTATTTGTCAAAATTTATTGAATCTTTAATATTGTTAATTATTTAGTGCCAATTCTTTGATTTTTATTTTTCATCAAAGTTGTTCTAAATAAGCTATATATAATTTATTTTACATAAAATCTTAATCGAGAGATGTTAGATGTAATAATGAAAATTAACATAAATAGAAAAAAGACCAAGGCAAGTTCTAAAATTTTCTACTTTAATTGAAGGCTTTAATTGATTCTTTTTTGGCTCCCAGCCCAGAACCAGAGGAACAACCAAAAGCATAGGTCACGAAAGCAAAAAAATAAAAAAAAAAACAAAAGGATCCACTTGCTCCAAAAATGCCAAAATCAGCCTTCATTTTCTACTTTTAGGATAAGAAGGATAAATTCTAATCATAATATCCAGGTCTTTATTAAACGTAAAACTAGATTTACAATTTTAAGAGATCACAAAATTGATCGCTAGCGAATGGAAAGATTTGCCAAAGGAAATCCAATAGGTATCTTAACCAAAAACTAAATAGCAATATCATAATTCAGCGGAGTAAGATAGAAACAGATATTCTTAAGAGCAGGAGTTGTATTAATCACAAACAGGGAAACAACCGAATGGGAAGGGTTAAGCGAAAGCAAATAAATCGAGTGCGAAAAAGGAGAAAATTATAAAAATTCTTGATTAAGATGAAGAAAATGATTCCTTTGGTGCAGACATAGGTCAGGACTGATATCTATATATGAATATTTTAAAATAATATTGATCTAATTATTTGAAGGAAATAGTCATTTTTTATTAATACAAAGTGTCTAATAAAAATATAAGATATTGCTATGTTTAAATCAACTTATTTTTTAGTTATTACTTAAACAACATTATAATTATCATTCTCTTTATATTATTTTTTTTGAATTTTTAAAAATCTTTATCAAAATTCAGATGGACGTAAAGATAGGGAGATCGTTTAAATTAACAAAGAAATTGGGTTCAGGTGCTTTTGGAGAAATCTTTCACGGAATCAATCTCAAAACAAACATGGAAGTGGCAGTTAAACTTGAGCCTGTTAACACAAAGCATCCACAACTGTTTTACGAAGGAAAATTATACTAATACTTGTTACAAGAACCCTCAGTTATTGATAAAGGAATTCCAAATGTTTACTATTGTGCAACAGAGGGTACATATTTTTAGTATACTTAAGGTGAATATAATATCATGGTTATGGATCTCCTAGGCCCTTCTTTAGAGGATCTATTCAATTTATGCGGCAGAAAATTTTCTCTAAAGTCAGTATTAATGTTGGCTGATCAAATGATTTAAAGGATTGAATATGTTCATTCTAGGCACTTTTTACATCGAGATATTAAACCAGACAACTTTTTAATTGGAACAGGCAAAAGGTACTATATATTTAAATTTAAATAGAGCTCATAAGGTGTATATTATCGATTTTGGATTGGCAAAGAGATATATTCAAAAAGATGGCAAACACATTCCCTATAAAGAAGGTAAAAATTTAACAGGGACTGCCCGTTATGCTTCAATCAATACCCATCTTGGTATTGAGCAAGTAAATAATGCATTTAAATTTTAGGGAAGAAGAGATGATCTTGAATCATTAGGCTACGTCATGATGTACTTCTTGAGAGGATCTCTCCCATGGTAAAACTTGAAAGCCTCTAACAAAAAAGATAAGTATGAAAAGATTATGGAGAAAAAGATTTCAACATCAATAGAAACACTATGCAAAGGATTTCCATAAGAATTAGCTACTTACTTAACTTACGTAAGAAATTTGAGATTTGATGAAAAACCAGACTACAGCTACTTAAGGACTTTATTAAAGGACCTATTCACCAAGAGCGGATTTGAGATGGACTATATTTATGATTGGAATCTGATCTAGAAAACGGATGGTACTCCTGGATAAACTACAAACAACACATAACTATAATAACCACCAGCCGGTTAAGTGCCCCCAAAATAAGGTTGATTATCAACCTTAAAGATTATTATTATATATATATATATAAAAATATTATAAAAGAAATATTTAATAATGATCTCTGTCCTTTTATATTATAAATTTGAGAGTACTCGTGAATCACATACCTATAAAGGATTAACAAAATGATGGATATATTCTAATTTATCAAACACTACAATTATTGGATACAGAATTTAGTCTTGATTTTTATCTTAATATTTGATTAAACTTTAAATTTAGAATGGGAATATTCTATTTTGTGATATATGATTATATTTATTATCAAACTCATTTTTATATTATTATATATATTTTAGTTCTATTTTCTCATTTATCATTATAAATAAATCAAAAATTAAAGAAACACAAAGCATCATTTCATTCTAATATTTCAACTTAATATTAATTTTATCAAACATCAAAACTCAATATTAAATAATCAAATAATAATTATAATCTTCGTTATTATAGAAGGAATAGGAAGTGATGATATTTATCATATGAAGGGCTTCCTATTCTTTAATTAAAATAATGTTTATTCTGATATAAATTATTAGTTCAATAAACAAAGTGTGATTCATTAAATATGATTATAATCTGAAAACAATTAGCCTGAGTGAATGTAATTAATTATATATAATAAATTTATATTATGCAAGTTAATTAAAATGAAGAGTTTTATCTCAGATATTAGTATATATTAATATTTACTTTAGTGTTGGACACAAAGGTGTTTATGGACATGAGTTTCTTGAGTTCGAGTTCAGAAATGATGGCAGATTGAGATATGCAAACAATTCAAATTACAAATAAGATGTTTTGATCAGAAAGGAATGTTATGTTTCTGATGCAGTGATAGAGGAGATTAAACGTATGATTGAGGATTCAGAAATCGTCAAGTATTAGAATGCAATCAAATTGTAGAGAAAATGATTCGAAATGGCCAGCACCTGATAAAATAGGGAGATAAGAATTAGAAATCAAGCTTGGAAACAATCATATTTCATTTACTACGTCGAAATTAGGATCTATACAAGATGTACAAAATAGCTAGGATCCTGATGGGTTGAGAGTGTTTTTCTACTTGGTTCAAGATGTAAAATGTTTTGTCTTTTCTTTAATTGGCCTACACTTTAGAGTATTATTCTAGCTTAATATCATTAGATAAAGCCAGTCAATTGAGCATATCGTATTATATATATATATATATATATATAAGTTAATAATTAAAAAATGATCAGAGATTGTTCACACTTAACAAATCAGCATGACTAAACTAAGTCCGCCCGTTACTTTGTCATCACATTATAATAATTTTAATATCCATTCAGGTGAATGTAGGAGTATAATCATGAGATCATAACCCAGTGCTTGTTTTCATCATTAAATAATAAATTAAATAAATTAATGAAATAATTTTGTTTATAATTATGGTTATGATCATTAATAAATTAATTGCTAACAATATAATAATTAAACTTTATTAGTTAATATGCGTTTTGAATATATCAAGTATGTTTTTAACATTTTGTAAATCAAAAATGAGACTTCTTGTATCAGGATATGATATTATTAGTATTAATGAATTATGTCTCTAGTAAAAATACATAGAAGCCTGGTTATAATATAATAATTATAATATAATAATTAGATCATATTTGAAAGTAGATGAAAAGTATTTTAAAACTATTTAAGTAATCAGTGTAAATAATTACATGACATGGATTAAAAGATTTTGATTTAGATTTTAATATTATATATTATCATTCATCACTAGAATTTTATGATTATTGCACTTTGTTTTCTTCTTCATTTTTTGCAATTGGTTCCTCTTTCAATTCCTAATTTTCTTACTTTTATTCTTATTTATCTTGCTGTAATTATTATGTAAATTTTTCAAGAAAGGATCCGTCATTAGCAAATTTATTTAATTATAATGCTTCTCTTTCAATCTTTTTTAATTCTTTTTTCATCTTTAACTTTAGTTTTTCCTAAACTCTTTTGTTGTGTTTCTTGTTTGTGATTTCTTGGCTTTGCATAAATTTCTCTTCTCTTGTTTATTGAAATTCTTCATGTTCTAGTCTCTATTATAATTAATTTTTTATATACCTCTTAATTGACTTCTTCTTCCTCTCTTTATCTCAATGTCTCGGCCCTTTTAAATCTTCGATATGCATGCAAATCTCCACTGCCAGCTGCTGCAGTTGCACTTTTGGTGATAGTTGTTCTTTCCACCCAAATGGAAGGTCTCTTACTAATTTCATCGCAAAATGAATTATACATTAAAAAAAATAATAATAAACCCAAGACATTTAAAAATGTTAAATTTGAGTCCATATATTGTTGAATGAATCTTGTATTTTATCAGAATCTGTATAATTATATATTTCTTCCTCTTTTCAAACTTAATTAATTAACAAATTATATGGAAAAAAAAAAGTTTCTTAAGATTTTACATCTTATTTTCTCATCCCTTTGGATTGTGCTCAGAAAATTGATTTTTAACAAGCTACCATTACTGTTCTTTATTATTGCCTTTTGCTTCATGTATTTCTTTGCAAACATAAGAACTGCTGATTCATCAATCATACAATTAATGGATAGAATCCCATTTGGAATTGATTAAATGATTATCTCTTATGAACGCTAATAAATTGATTAAAACAACTTAAAATATTAGATGCTATTAAAGGAGAAAATAGTCAAAGTCCAAAGAAACTGTTAATCCTTATTTAAATGCATTCCCTCGGGAATTTTAACTCCGCTTTCGTGGATCATAGGAGGAGTGGCTGTAAGACATGAGTATATTCTACTTGAAACAATCAATCACTTAGCAACTATAGAATTGAAATAGAATAAAGGGGATTATTATGTAGACATGCAAATATTTGACTACGATAAGAACTTTGCCAAATTTCTCACTAAGGAGAGAGAATGGAATCGTGAATTAGATAGTTTAACAAAGGAGGAAATAGGGGATTTAGATTTCTTTCAAGTTCATAAATTTTTGGGGATTGTTTTGGTCTGTTGGAAAGGCTTAAACATGTTTAAAAAAGGAAAATATGAAGTCCTGTTTAAAAATTGTAAGAATCTAAGCAGAGCTATCTGTTGTTTTTGTGCCAAAGATCCTAATATTGATTCCATAATGCAAAGCATTCTTGGATTATATACTGATTGGTTGTGTGATTACGTTAAACGAACAGAGATACAATGGATTCTAGATTACTTTTACAACTAAACGATTTCATCTGTGACCAAAATAAGAACTGTCATGTCAGAAATCCACAAACTCAGATCCAAAAAGGAAGATGATTACGAGGTTCTTAATTGGAATATAATCTGAAATTCTTATTTATACTTTTATCTTATTATTCTAGTAACAAATACATTTTAAAATTTTCTTATATTATAAGATTAATAATACTAGATTTAAGTATTCAATATTTGAATTATATAGTACTCTCCTGAATTTAAGAGTTATAAAAGGTTGAAAATCCAGATTATTAGGATAATTGTTTTATGAAATTTCTCTAGAGTATTTTAAGAGTGATTTTCTTCAATCTTATAACTACTCGTTTATTGTTTAATTTCTGAGTTAAGGCAAATGGCGTAGATGGTTATCGCGCTGCATTTACACTGCAGAGGTCCCGAGATCGATACTCGGTTTGCCTATATTTTTTATTTTTTAATAAAATTTGAAATAATTTTATAATTAAAATATCTATATTATATAATTAATTGAATAGGATATGATTTATTGGCAATACTAAATAAGAAGTTATCTATAAACTAAAGTGATATTCACATATGTAAAACAATTGAATTATTAAATCCATTTCATAATTCCCTATTGTGAACTTCCTTGTTGATGGATTTATTCAATTATATAATAATCAATAACCATAATAAGAAGAATTTTAGTATATAAATTTTGAAATGGAACTATGGAGAAGGGGAATATTCATTTGAGATAAGTGAATATGATTATGTAAGTAATAAGAGTGTACGAATAATTAATTTTTATAGATTTATATGTAATATTTATGATTCAACTTATGATTTAATTTGATGTTGAAATGAAAAAGTCTCTTACTCCCCAATATTCTATGAATAAATTATAAGTATATACCATCTCCACTTCCTGAGTCAATTTTGAATATTAAAGTAAAATCAGTCGTAGAGTGACTTATGAATAAGTCTATTTCGACAATTTAGTAAGAAGGGCCACCACCAGAACAAAGTTGAGATGCATAATTTGCTTTAAGGACCTTCTGTCTCCAAATTTCATTGTTATCAAGGAGGATAACTAGATATTCAGTGTTTGCCCAATTACCGATGAAATAAACATTCATCTGAATTCTCTTTGAGTTATGTGTTGGCAATGATTTATACAAGGCTCTTACTTGTTATGTATAACTGAGAACATTATACCCTCCCAAGATTTCTTTCGAATTACAAGTTGTAGCTAAGATACTATATGATATGAGTTGCCATTTCTCGTTATCTGTAAGGGTATCTTAAGCAAAATCAATATCAACCAGAGAGTACACTGTTTGACAAGCACCTGAATCAGTGCAGGCATTACAATCACAATTGCCTGTGTAGACTTCAAATTTATTGAATCCTTGCAAGAAGTTTCCTCCTGTATAAGTAAGGCCTATAAATGAAATCCTACTCATTAAAGCAGTATGATCGATCTCTATGGCATACAGAGTGTACTCTTCAAACTTATCCCCGTAGCCACTCGCTGCACAATTTATATCATTAGAACTATATCCAATTGTAATTGTATCTGCTAGAGCGTCATCAACATATAAGAGGACATTATTTTCTCTGGATTGTGAATACAAATAAAAGATTATCTTGAGTGTTTTATGAGGATTAAAAACAAAATCCTTGTACAATTTATCATATAATGACATGTATTAGATGGGAACTGCTGCCTCTGTGCAAGAAGATTGGGTAAGTCTGGATGTTGCAGAGAAGGATTGATATGATGACCATTAAGGAGGTAAACTTGCTGCAATAGAACTGACTAGTGAAGAAACGCTTAATTAAAAGTCAATCAAATCAGGATCAGCAACAATTTATGTTGAGGTTTTTGAACACAAGGCTGTTTAATCCTCACAAAGCAACACATAAATATAAAAGTCTCTAATTCCGTAATATTCTCCTGCAACTGAATCAGAAAAGAACTAAAATGTAATCAATTGGGAATTCGATTCAAATTCAACATCCACATTAGTGTATTCTTCACTTGTTGCAACTGAGCATATATTCAATGTCTTGGATTTAGTTTTGTCATAAGTCCATATTAAATCTCCATTAGCATAGAGGGCATGAGTATTGGAGGTGGCAATTGCATCAATTTTCCAGAATTGAAACTTCACCTTTACTTTATAAAATGATGTTTCCAAAAAATATCTCTTATAGATTGAAACTCCAGTTGGGAAATATCCAAACAATTAGATCTCTATATCATTGATTCAATTATTACTATCACATAACAGTTGTTATACAACATAGTCTTCTACAACCCATCCTTGATTTGTGCTAAACGTGTCTGTAGCAAAATTGGAGGTTGTAAATTAAAACTGAGAACAGGTGTCGGATGTATCTGAGTAACTGCATAAGTCGCACCCAGTAGGACAGGTTACTGCATAAATTTCAATGTCTCTAACTCCCCATGATTCCTAATTATTAAAACATTAAAAATACATTGTTATTTGCCTCATTCAAAGTTGATGTAATTTCTAGGAGAACAGATGGACCTGAGTGGAAGAAAAAGATTTCTTAAAATAAATATTGAGCAAAATTTGACGTCAAACTAGAGTGAACCAATTGTTTGTTCACTACTACTCCATCAGCCTTGATGACTATATATTCACTTTCCCATTTATTTATCCTATTATAGCTTCAAATTGATCTTACGCCCAAATTCTGAACTTCATTCTTAGAGTGTGGTGAGCTTAGGGAACCAAAACTAATTTGTAAATGGTTGTTCCAACTGCAAAACCGTTGGAACCTCCAAAAACGGATTTACCCATTTGCGCATCGAAAATAGCTGATGATCCTATAATTCCCCATCCTATTTCAAGGAATATTTAGTAATACCTTCTGTTGTTGAAAACGAACTTGCTGTAAAATAAGATGCTATTTATAAATTCGTTTGGTAGCTATTCAAAATGAAAAGACTGGCTATCAACAAGCAAATTTTAATCATATTTTTATAAAAAGAATGTTTTATTTCTCATACACTATCGGTATATAATATTAATAAATAATAAATTCTCACAATGAAAGTTTTGAGAATTCAAGTTCATTTTAATGAAACCAAAATTAGTTAGAAAGATTCAAATTTATAGGCTTACTAATGAGCTCGCTTGGATCTTGAAATTTATTTTTTTTATATACATCTCCTCTGTATCAGAAGGTAATACTAAATTTCTATCCCTTGGGCGATTTCACTTACATCGACATATAGACTCGTGCAGAACACTTTCGAGCTATTATTTATATCTTTATTTTTTTTTAATCTTTTTTGTAGTGAATTATAATTGCTCATCAAGATGGCGACAGTCGTTTTGGAATTGGCTTACAAAAAAAATGAAATTTTCCTTTGCTCCCACTTATTCTCTATCATAACAGTTACTTAATACTTATAGTAATGCATTTTTCATTGTTCCAATTCAAAATTCGATTCGGACCTCTCTCCCAATGAAGATCACTTTAATTCTACAGAAAGTAATCACCAATTGCATATTTGTACTCGAAAGGATTTAGATTGACCTCCAATGAGAATTACCAGAAAGAATCCTACAAATTTTACTGATATTATTTACCTAGGCACAAGTCATCCGACACATTTTATCTACAACCCAGTCACATTGAGAATTGGCCAGGTACAAAGCCTATCCGTATTTTAGAGTGATTTCTATATTGAATGAAACCAATGGCATAAGAAATAAGTTATTTATAAATTTAATTAAGAGGGATTATGAATTTAAAATCAATTTGATCCTACTGTTAACTTGGATTAATAAACTCAACATAGAAGATTCTTAATAATTTATCAATATACATTCAATCCATTTAAAGGCAATGAGTGTTATTATTATTGCACATAAGATAAACTAATTTTCATACGTCTGAGAGACTATCTTAATTAGAGATATATAATATCACCTTACTGTAGAAATCTATCATAAATCTAACTAAATTGATAATAGGCTGATGAGAATCGGAGAGCCTTGAATTGCTTATCAAAAATGAAGGAATGAAAGTTGGATGCAATAATTTAATTCATTAATTAAAATTTATTATTTATAACAATATAATTATTTAATATTCATCTAAATAAATGCATTAAAATTGTTTAAATAAATTATTAGTTTCTTAATGTGGAGAAATTAATATAATTGTATTTAATAAATGTTAAAAATAACATCATTAGAAACTATTCATTTTTACAAGGGAGGGAGTTTAGTTGTATTTTTTAAAGCTTTCATTGGAATATTTCTCCTGGATTTAGGGGATCTGGAAATCATCTCTTTGTTCCTCCTGTTTTTCTTGGATTGGTGACTGGCATATGTTGTTTGCGATAGTTTTCTTGCCTTTAATTTTCTCAGAAGAGAGATAAGAATCAAAAGGTTTGAGTTCGTACATTTCTTAAATCATATTTTTAATTTCTGCAATGTATTTATGCTAATTTTAAAATTCCACATTGTACTTTTTATTCGATTGAACTTATTTTATTGTAATGGATGATTTGGAGTGTGGCTTCATTTTAGAGGAAGGAGATGAAAAGGTCTTTGAGTAAATTCTTGCAAAGCTTGGACTCCTTGGGTTCGTTAACCTAAACTTGAAAGCACCTTTGCAAGTCGCCCAATTCAAATCGTTGTTGTTTGGAGGTCTAAGTGATGATGAATTTGAAATTACCTTGGATTCTTACACATTTTGCAGATATTTGTAGGCAGCATCTTGTTCCATCATTTTGGCCCACTTCTTGAAACGAGAGAGGAAGAAATGAGGAATGCGTCTAGGTAGAGGGTGTTTGTATACCTTCTAAAGTCCTGATCTTCCTTGATGTCGGGATTGGGATAGGGATGAGACACATTGTTGGATTTCTCGGAGTCGGAGTTCACTAGAGGAATAGATAGATGGGGATTGCAGTACCGCGTATTTTCCTTGAGGATGGTTGAGGGTTGAGTTACTGTTTGATCTCGTCATGAAACCTTTAAACGACTGACAGAGCATTGGCGAAAGAATTGAAGTGATCTTCATCAGCCTCCAGGATGATTTTTTTGTTTTTTTGTTCAAGGACCTAGAGAGATAAAGATAAGTGTGAGATAAAGTACTCGATATTTGAAGAGAGAAGGCTCATTATTGGTTTTCATTTATTATAATTAATGAGAATGCGTAATTAGATTGTTGTATTCATCAGGGGGTCTTGGCTTTAAGGACCTGGATGATTTCATGGTATATCTGCAAAGGTATAATGTCAATACGATTTTGCCCAATCCAGGCTTATATTTTTCTATCTTCCTGAAAGTCCGCTTGATCTTCAAGGTTTCTTCTTTGAGTGATTCGTCATCCTCTCGTATCGGTGTCCCACTGGCATCTAACTTGAGGGAAGTGACAACTCGATTGTGCGTGTAATTAAGAGTTTCGCAACTGGCCTATTGTTGTTCTCCACTCAACATCCCAGCTCTCTCAAGCAATTCAAACAGCAATTGAGTTTTTTTGGCATTCCTAATGAAGGGATGAGTAAGCAACTAAGCAGCAGTTGGTCTCAGTCGAGGATCTCGTTGCAAACACTAATGCACGAAATCGATCATCTCATTGGGATAATCTCCACTCAATCTTGGAGGTTGTTGTACAATTTTAAAGATCACCTTCTATGGAGGCACATCCTCATAGGGGATCTTCGCTTAACTCTGATCAATGTACAAATTGCAGTTATACCAATGGCCCAAATGTCAGTTTTCTAATCAGTCAAAGAAGATTAGATGGTCTATATAAATATAATGTAGATTCTTTTACTTCTGGAGCCATCCAATAGGGGAGACTGAGGATATGGGATTGTGATTTATTGATGGTATCGGCAAATTCCTTGTTGGTGGAAAAGTAGGATAGTTTGACCTTGGCTTCTTGGGAAAGGAAGAGATTAGCAGCTAAAAAGAGATTTAGGGTAAAAATAATAAAACTCACATTTAATATGTCGATGCACCAGACTCTCCTAATGGATCTCCTATACACCAAGCAAAAGTTCTCGGATGATCACTTGCACATATTGAGTCTCCAAAGTCTGCTTGTTGATCTTGAATAAATGAATCAAATCCTTCAATGATCCCCCAGCAAAGTATTCCATCACTATAAAGAGTTTGCCATCTTGTCCAAAACACTTATCGACCAAGCATATGTTTCTGAAGGGTTTAGTGCGGTAAGTCTGGACGGCCTGAGCCAATTCTGCCTGATTGACCAAATTGATGACTTTGATGGCTACGATCAGTCCTGTCTTCTTGTCCAGACTTTAATGATAGGATTGTGACATTACGCCTTGTAAACAGTGGAGTAGTCTGTACGGTCGAGGGCGCAAAGAATATCATAATCTTCGATTGAATGTATTTAGTGATCCAGACTAATGAAATTCATAATTACATTACAAAATAAATCAATGATATTATGCTATATATGTACAGTCCATACCAAACTCAACTCATTAAATGAAATAAGCTTTAATTTTCAAACATGAATCCCCCAATGTCAAAGCTGATTTCCACGAGAATGATACCAAAGACCCCATCAAGATCCTGCAATCCATTTATGATCAATATGATGCCTTGTTTGTCGAGGAAATCATACTCGAAGAACTCGACATACCTGAGATCACACCTGAATTGCGAGACAAACTCCAAGAATTTCCAAACGTCCACAGTTTTGGCATCAATAGATGTGGATTACAAAGTCTAACCAATTTTCCATCCTTCAAACATTTGGTCAGGTTCTAAGCAGATGGCAATCTCATAAAGGCTAAGCAGATCGGGTATTTGAAGAAGTACACAGAATTACGTTCGATTTCTCTCATTTGCAATCAGATTGACGATGCCAAAACTATGATCAAATATTTGAAGGAAATGAAAATCACTCAACTTAATTTATATGGGAATCCCATACAAGATTATTTCAAGTTGTTCTTTGATGAAATACCCTCCCTGATTTATTTGGATAATCTCCAGAAGACTGGGGCTGAAGTCTATTATGATTACGATGACACAAATGAATTGAGCAAGCAAGATGGCTACATCTGTCCCAATTACAAGGAATATAAAAGTTGATATTTATTTATCATTAATTAATTAATTACATGGCTTATAATAACGATTTTTAGGATCTCTTACCAGATGAACAGGAGGAATTCACTCTCAAAATGCCTGTCAAAAATCATTTGTGCAGATTGGATGTAAGTCAGTCTGCTAAAAGTAGCTATTATTGCAATAACAAATGGATGATTTGGACATGATAAAGAAGGAAAAAGAGCAATTGCGTAATAATTTAATTGAGTTGTCTCAAAAGACCACTGATTCATTTGATGACGCAAATTAATATTTGAATGATGAATATCGAAGATTGATGCAAGAGTTTCATGAACAAAATGCATTGCAATTGGAACAACATCAATTTCTTAAACAATAAGTAGATTAGATCAATTAAGACAGAATTAAATTACAATAAAATACTATCGTACTTGAGAATAGAGTTTAAGACTCAGAAAAAGAATTAGGATTTGTTTGAATATTATTAATTATTTATTTATTTTTTCATTATTTCTTTAAAATTACTTCATTATCTATTTCACATTAACTCAAATCACTACTATTCAAATTATGAATAGTTCTCCTCTGTTCTTCATATAGACTTAAATTATAGTTTAATTAATTGATTTTAAATTATTTATTATAAAATAATAATATTTTGGTTTCATTCTCTTTCGAGATAAAATAATCATATAAGCAGGTAGTATAAGAATGAATATTTAAATTCAATTGCAAGACTTTTTACTCAAGAAACTTAAGACAATTTTTGAATTGGTCAATAGATATAGTGATTTAATATCTTGGATTATTTAAGAGTTATAGGTAACCTTGTCCACATTCAAATTTAGGTGATATAGCAAATGATTATGGTTTAATGAAATACTGTCTATTTTGACATTCCAAATCCCTTCTTTTCTAATCTTCAATCTTTAGTTATCTTTAATTCATGTTTAAAAGTAATAGTAGAAATAAATGTTCATCGATGGTTTAATTAACTAACAGGTTAAAAGGAGAATTCAGCAAAATCTGAAATTCAATTATTTTAACTTTATATCTTCTAAGATTTATCCCAATATTTATCGCTACATCAATTGTAATGAACTCACTCTAAAATTTGTTAAGACTATAAAATTCTTAATTTTCATCTGTCTACTTGCCTGTTTCAGCTTCTTCTACTGCACCAATTATTAAATTAATATATATTTAGTTATAATTATTTTGATAATCCAATAGTAATTGTCTTAATCTACATAGTAAAAGCCTATGACAATCCTATTAATAAAATAGTAAAATATTGTAATTAAAATCGAATAGTAAACAAAGTCAAAATTAATTATACTTATAAAAAACTCTGTTGATCTATATTTTAAATATCATCTATTTAATAAGATCAGCAAAATCAAAATGACAGCAATTAAGTAATTACAATATCAATAGATTATGTATTTAAGCAAATAACATTCAAAAACCAATTTATTGTTGTTTAAGTGGAGTAAATGAAAAAATCTATAATAAAAATTCAACACATATTGAATTCATAACACCTAAATTTATAAAATCTATAAATATTTAACAATCTTACTCTTTATGTTATCTACTTATAAGTAATAGAGGATTACTTGGAATAATCGATAAATGAAAAGTAGTATATAAATATATATTAATTAAAATTAAATTATGTTAACAAAAAGTATAAGACTATTCAGACAATTTAGATTTTGTACATCTCTGGAAGAAATTACTAAAAAATAGGCTGAATGGTCAAGCATAGCTAAATAGAAAACATAATAGTAAATAAACAATTAATGTCAAGACAAAAAGAATATTTAGAATAAACATTAACATAGGATTAAAAAACACGAGTGTAGGCAATAGCTGATGCATGTTGCGAATTAGATCTTTTCGAATTGTAATGTTTAATGAGTTTGCTGAATGAAAATCACTACAAGGCCCAAGGCATTGGTATCTTTGAGCTTAATTCAAATTGGCCTGTGATCAAACAAAATGAAGTACCAACTTGGCCTCCAAAAGAGAAGGAATAAATTGAAGCCTACATGAAAGAGCTGTTCGGAGAGAATGTCGTAAGAGAATTCACTAAATTACTTAGCCTGATTTCAAAGCTATTTTCGGTGGTATAGGATCAGCGGGAAGTTAAGCGTCATCCCAAAGTGCTGCCACAAAAGAAGCACCAAAGCAAGAAGAGAAGCAGGCATAAGCTGCACCAAAAGTTGAGGCGGAGGTAATTATGCTAGTAAAATCAAGAAAAAAAATTACGATGTTGAATTGAGTGCTATTGATGCAGCTCAGAAGATCAAGATTATCAAGGAAGTTAGGTATTTTTGAATGATATCAATTTAGGTAACTGCTCAATTTGGGATTGAAAGAAGCCAAGGATTTAGTTGAGAAATTGCCAGCCAATTTAGGAAAGCAGGTGCCTAAGGAGAAAGCCAATGAATTAAAGGAAAAGTTAACAGCAGCAGGATGTACAATAAATTTGAAGTGAAAATCATTCATATATAAAACACAATTTCATAAATTTGACAATAAGTCCTTAAAGTCTTTTAGGTTCAAAGGCTTAGATAATACATAAGTCATGCCTGCATCTAAACAATTTACTATGTCTGATTCACTTGTGAATGCTGTTAAACCAATGATGTTGATGAAGGGGATCTTTTTGGCTTCTATCATCTCCAAAATGATTTTTGTAGTTTCAATTCCATTCAGTATTGGCATCTGATAATCCATTAAGATCACATCAAGCAATTAGCAATTATCGCAGCACTTCTTTAATTGGTTCAACTTATCTATTGCCTGTTACCCATTGAAAGCCTAAGGTTATACTATTTAATACTAACCACCAATACTTCAAAATCCAGTTTTTGAAGCAACATGCATAAGGAATGTTAGTTGAAGATTTCATCATCTACTGAGAGTATCCTTCGACACTGACATTTCTTTTTTTGAGCAAAATTCAATAGATTTTACTGGCTCTCCTAATCCTCCAATAATTTTAATTATTTTATACTAAAAACCTGTGACCGAGAACTCCTACTTGACTTTACATCTTTAAATTGCTATTGAATTGAAGGAGGATCGTTTGATTACCCTAATTGTCCGAATTTGATATTTTCACTCTAATCCGAGCTTTGTGAATCGTTTAGATCACTGATCAACTTGGGATCAGACGATCTCAATTCTTTGAGTTTATTATTTAAGGGAAAGAAATCACTGGATTTATCGATTGATATCATATCTGTTTATAACTCTATTGTTTTAAATTGTGGAGTCACAACATCATTATTTTAGAAGTTCGACACCGGCTTTACTGAAGTCACAATGACAGTTCCAATTTATATTTTATTTTGTGAATTTATTTTTGTTCCAAATCTAACTGATTTTCTCGAGATCATAATCGAATACCCTCTATTTTGGTCTTCCACTTTATTCTAGTCCTCAACTAAGATGATAACTTTTGTTCCCAAACTCTTTCCTTTACTTTTAATTTACAATAACTATTTATTTGCATTATTTGAAAGCTTGGTCAATAAAATTGATGAAATTAACAGTCCAAATCCATGCCAATTCTTATTGTAGATGAAATCCGATGTCTCTTGGAATTGGCTTAGAGTTTTCTGGATTCTATCCAATTTCTCTTACTCAATACCAATCCCCTAATCCTTGATGGATATTTTCAAAATATTCTACTCAAGCGATTTAAACCGAACAACCACATTGCCACTGTATGAGAACTTTAATGAGTTAGCCAACAAATTCACTATTATTTATATTAGACGATTGTAGTCAGTATTAAATGTTAGAAAGCTATTCTTCACCATCACTATTTTCAATCCCATATTCTTCATCTCGAATTATTACTAAAACAACCCACTAATTTCATTTATCAACTCTTTGAACGTAAAGTCTTTAGTCTAGAGATGCAATGAATTTGCATAATAGTTTGAAAAGTCTATTATGTCATTGATAATGTATGATTAGAGTTTTAATGAGTTAAATGCTGGATGCAAATACTAATTCTTGATAGTATTATCAATTTAGGACTCTGAAATTGCTGATTCTATCAGATTTTTAGCACTGTTCAGGGGTGTTTTCATTTCATGAGAAAATGATTCAATGATCTTTGATTTGAAGTCATCCTTGATTTTCTATTAAGATAATTCAGTTTATTTTGAGATGTCATTTAAAAAGATAGTGATCTCTTGGTTGTCGCTAATGATTTACCCACTTAGAGAAATAGGATTGCAATTCTGCAATTTGAGAGTGCAAGATATATCAAGAGCCTTATTTCTAGAAGCTTGAATTAAAGACTCGTAAATCCCTTATTTATACTCTTCAAGAATTTGCTCTAAAGTTTTTGTCTATATAGTAATAACCTGTTTGGTCGATTCCAAATTCTTAAACTCTCTGCAAGAGGGATCTCTTTATTTATCTCTTAACTTTTTCATCTGGAGTGAGGCACTTTTGAAAATCTCAGTGTATTGCTAAGGTATCTAAAAATTTAATTCTTGTAAAATAATTTTCTGTAATTCTTCTTCCATGGTACATCTAAACAATTCCATAAAGCATTAATTTATGTATTTAACACATAGGTTCGAATAACTCAATATCAACACTTACACATTCATATCTTAAATTCGCTGTCTCCAAATATTGTCACTTGTTTTTGAGTATTCAGAGGGAGACTGCTTTTCATTCAATTGTAATTGCAAATAATGAGTTTTACTCTGATACTTCTATTAGTATTAAATGAATCTTAAAATATCAAGGGATATTAATGTTAATGAGCAAACGAAAGTTAATGCATCAATCTAAATTAAACATACTGATAATATTAGGCTTAATTTTCCGGAAATATTAGCCAGCAAGGCTATTTTTGCCATGCATTAATCAGTTTTAATATCCAACGAATACATCATTTGAATAGATAAATATATGCCACTAGGTAATTGTATTATTGAAATTACAACAATTTCAAGTATCCTATTTACAAATATGATATTCAACATTATATTGTGAGTAAGTTTATTCTTTAATAGATATAAAAAAGAGCATGAGATTATATCTAATATTATTTTGAGAATAATAACAATTAAGCTGGATTTCATTTCTGTCAATTCATTAATTAGACAAATATTTAAAATCATTTGTATTGCTAGTAAGAAAAGAGTTTTATAAAGAAATATATCTTTCGCCGGTGATTTCTTGTTCATGCTTAGTGATTCTAATAGCCTATGAAAAATATTATTATTTAAAATAATATATATTAAATCAAAGTAAGGACAACTTATTGTTATTTTCGCAAGTATATAATATATAAATTTAACAGTAAAATCATTAATTTTTTCAAAACATAAAGTATTAATATAAAAATGGTTTAGGTTTATCAAATTAAAGTAAGAATTTCCTTAAATTCCTTTAGATTAAGCGGCTTATGCAGGACATCACTCATTCCTGCTTTTAAACAATTTTCAATATCGTTTGAATTCGTAAAAGCAGTTAAACCAACAATGTGAATTTTCGGTATAATGTTATCATTCATCATCTGAATCAATTTCTCTGAAGCCTGACACCCATTTAGAATGGGCATCTAGTAGTCCATCAAGATGAGAGTTAATAATGAACACTTCTTCCCGCATTTTTTAATGTTCAAAATATCAACGCAAGCTTATTGTCCATTGAATGCCTAAATATAAAATAACAAAATTACTAGAATAACTTCGAATCCCAATTTGCATAACAACATCTGAATTGACTTCTGGTTGAATATTTCATCATCCACAGACATAATCCTTTGACATTGACATTTCTTCCGCCTCTTATACGTTTACAGCAATTCCTCATCCTCCTGTTCTTCTGCCTACTTAATGAATTGTACGCTCAGTATCTTTGAGTTATTCGATCTTTATGAGGAGTTCTCGTTCTTGACAAAAGGTTTCCTATCGACCTGCTTTTAAGGAGAACCACAAAGGATATTGGTAATCAAGGAAGGTTCAACAGGATGCAACAAACTAAACTTCTAATCCAAAGAGTCCAAAACAACACTTTCACTAAACATGGAATTATCATTAGATTTTTATGAGCTAATTTTGGTTTTTTATTATTTTTGAGTATTCTTCATTACCAATCCCTAGTCCGATGTTTAAATTATTGTACCATTGAGATTGTTGAACGAAGAAGTCAAATGTACAGAACTCTAAAACCTTTATGTGTTTTATCTAATTGTAGGTTACTTAATACTATTATGTTTCACTTATTAATTCTTAATAAAAAAAGATACCTTAGAACCCATGTTGATTCCATCTGACTCAAACTTAATGGTGCTCTTATCAGATGGTCCTAGTTTCTAAACTAATGTAGCAGATATCAATAATCCAAATCCATGCCACTTCTTATTTTATTGAATCTCCTTCTGATTCTTCAAATTATTTAATTACAATTGAATTTATGAAATGTTGGACTAGGAAACTCCTTGTCCCATGTCCGTAACAGTAAATTTAAGAATTTCCTTAGTTTGAGATTAAATTTTCAGGACAATCAATCCCTCAGTTGAGAATTTGATGGAGTTCTGAAGTAAATTCACCAATATTTACATTAGTTTACTATAATCACTGGTCACTGAATTAGTATAACAATCCATTAGATCTACTCTAAATTCAAGATGTTTCTCTGCAAATTACATTGTAAAAAGAGATGTAATCTCATTAATTAATTCTCGCATAGAAAACTCCTTAATGAAGAGCTCTAAATTGTTTGAACTTGCAGATGTGAAGTCTATTATGTCACTAATCAAATATGATTAGATCCTAAGAGAGTTTATTGCTGGAATTATATATTATTTTTTATTTGCTTCAGTAAGATCAGTGTCTTACAAAAAGGCAGATAGAAAATTAATGGCTCCATTCAAAGGGGTTCTCAATTCATGTGAAAAGGATTCTACAATCTAAAAATAATATTTATTATACTTACTTTCGATTTGAATTCATCCTAAGAGATCAATTATTATAGTTCATTTTACTTGGATATGTCATTAAGAAGGAGTATTATCTCTTCGTTTTGTTGATTGGTCAAGATGGACCCAGACAACTAGAATTTCTTCTATTGAGTATGATTAGTATTAGCATTTTCCACAAGTCCTAAATAGTTTTGATGACAAAGCAATTCCAAAGAATTATTTATGATGTATTCCTAGAAGAGACCATCAGAAAGGTTTGTTATAATTTCTGCCAAAGTAAATTTAAGGGCATTGTGATCGAAGGAATCGCCCTATTTTGAAGATATACATTATATTGCTGAGGATCCTGATTGGGGAAGTGGAGTGGCGCAGTTCTAATTGTCCTACTAAGAGAAACGATTCTATTTGCTTCTGAGTCTTTGGCGTATTTTTAAGTAGGAGAAGGATTGACAAATCTGATCTATGTTGTCTTGAACTAAATTGAATTGCAATTTATGGAGGAGGAGATCCTCGAATTCCTAGTCACTCTCGCAAAACATTGAAAAGAAGTGATGAGCTGTCCTGTTTTTGAAATTGATTTTTTGGGTTTTTGAATCAATCATTATAAATGATACAGGAATCATTTAAATTCTATTTTTCCACAAGTTATCCTATTCTTACTAGGAAATCAGACTTAAGGCCATTGGGCTTTTTTGATTTTATACGATCTACTTCACTTCTCTGTCTTGGAGCAAGCGATTTAGTTCCAAAATCAATTAGAATGATACTGATATGATTGCTATTAAGTCAAAATTGATGATGATAATGAAGAGAGTGATGGCTCTGGTTGCAATGATTTCAAAGTAGCAAAAATACTTTTTATCCGCTTCTTAGACTTCAAAGGAATGCAAAAGTATTATCAAAGCGCTCTTCAATTATATGTCTAGTAATGCAATAATTAATAGTGTAGATAATTTACTGATAAATATACAGATTTTCTTAAATAGGATGGTTTTATTAGTAAGTGCAATCAATTAAGTGGTTATTGCAAAAATTGTATTTAGAATACAAACTGTAATTGTAAAAATTAGTTCGGAGTCATATTAGATTATCACGAGTGCGTTTATAGTTAATTAAAAACAAAAAAAAATGGCAATTGAATGATCTCTTTTGAAAATATTCCATAAATCTTATTTTTTCTGAGAAAGCAATTAAGTACCATTCATCTCTAATTATTTCATTTTCACTTTTTAAATAATTTATTCTTCTTTAATATAATCTTAATGAAAATAATAATAATAATATTGCTTTTGTTATATTCAGTTTAGTCCATTTGGGGACCTACTTGCAGAAGCGTAATATCATTTATTTACCTTTAGTTATGCTACAATTCTAAGGGCTCGATTTGTGGAATTTTATCCCAGAGCTGTTGTAAAGAAGGTTATTGTGCAAATGGTTGGTTGGGTGAAGAGTGCGAGATGTAAATATGATAAATCTCTATTCAAGCCGACTCTTTATCCCCGGGTGCACTACTAATTGGAGTTTGTTTTGATAAAATAAATATATATTCAATCATAATGAATACGCTTACTTGAATTTTGCATTTTCCCTTGATAACTCTATTACTTAAACTTGTTTCTCTATTTGCACAATTATTAAATGAAACCAGAGAACTAGAGTGTGCAATTTTATTAAGCATCAACTCTAGTACAAAAAATATCAACAGATATTCATCGATAATAATAGAGCATTCTTTAATTTCACATGCGTGACCCACTCCTTTCTAATTGTTAATGACTCTAACCAAATTGATAGTGCAAAAATCTATTTCCCATTTTCATTTGCTATTTACAATTCAGCATTTTTATTCTGTTGAACTTTGCTGTTTCACTTATAAATTTGAGTGTTCTTATCCAAATTTACTTAAACTGATCAATATCATAAAAAATTCCATTTTATCCTGTTTAATATTGTATCTATTCCAAAAATAAATGTTTGCATTGGTGATTCAGAATTACAGCTTCTTAATTATCAGACTCTTTGTTTCTCCATTTAATAAATACAAGTATAGTGTAGGAGTTCTAGAATACCAAATTATTTATATACTTTTTCGTAAAAATTTATGTTGAATTCTTGTTCATCAGGAGTGCTTGTTTAATCGAAATCACCTTAATTTAATTGTCCACTTAAGAGTAGTCCAACCTCAACAAGCTGAATAGTTTTTATCGTTTATACTATAGACAAGAACTTGTTGTTATAATAGATTTTGAGTTGATTTCTACAACACTTAATTGATGAGAAAAAGGTGTGATGTTGATTGATGCTACTCTCTTGATTAATGGTCCATCCAAGATTTCGATGTATTTGATAATAATGTTGGGACAAAGGAACTAGTTCTCATGAATAATAATAATATATATAAAAAAAGTCCTTCTTCTTGCTTGTATAATTATTCTATATATTTTATTTGTTTCCATAAGTTTAGTACATCGTTGACAACACTTAAATAAATTATTGGAAGGTCACATGTTAATAATTAATATTTCATAATTGCATATGAACTTGCTATCATAGATTATTATATTCAATCTCCTTTTTCTTGAAACATTAGCATTCAACTTATCTGTTTCATAATCAACGCCAAAGATTACAGAAACTTATCAAACCATATCATAATTTAATTCAACATTCCTATTCAACACTACCATTCAGATAGAAGGGGAATAATTCGAATATCTCATTGTCCAATTTCAGTAAACCTCTAAAGACAAATCAAAAATGGCTGTTTTATACAATGAAAAATTTCCAACATTAGAGACCAATAAAACCTTATAATTTAAAGATATGGATTATGACAGGTATTAATTGTGCATAATCATATAGTTTTGCACTAAAAAAGAAAAACCATTATTTATTCATTGAAAACTAGTTTATTCCTAAATTTATTACAATTCTCAGTAATATTTCGATTACATTTGATTTAATATTAACAGGTACTAATACATCAAAATGTTTAAATAATTGCAATAACTATGGAAATTGTATTCGAGGACGTTGTGTTTGTATTTCAAATTACATAGGAAAAGATTGCTCTATCAAAGCAACAGAGTTAGAAATTTAGACCTGGAGAAATTAAACTTTATCAAATAATGTAACTTTTTTTTATTATCAATAACAGGAAAAATCAAAGGAATTAGATTTAATATTTTATGTAAGCTTTTCCAAATATTTTTATAGACTGATAGCCAAGAAAATATTAGTGTCTTTGAAATCGTTTCCTCTGTTATCTCTTTACCTACTCCGAGGTTTTATGACTTCTATGGAAAATTTAATAAGTCCACGCCTCTTGCTCAGATAATTAGTTCAAAAGGCTTTAAAGATTTAGATTAAGATGACTTTCTGAGTGAAGACACTGATTAGGACGATAAAAATCTATTAAATGGAACTTGGACAATGCAGATTAGTTTACCCTCTAGAATGATTATCGCAGTTTTGTGTAATACTCCTAATGCTTCACTATCAATATCCTTCTAATAGAGGTCGAAGTACGGAAATACCAAAAATCTATTAGAATGGCTTTTACCTGTTATTATCGTAGGAGTCATTATTATTTTGGGACTCTTCTTTATAATAAGGCGTAACATTAAAAAAGGAGAGTTAATTGGAAATCAGGTTACACAAGTTCAATTAGTAACTGATTGTGATATTTGCTATTTGTGCTAGTAAAGTCTAAAAAGTAAGAACGATGAGATTGTTGTTAAAATAAATTCTTGTCAATAAGAACATAATTTCCATGAAAAATGTCTATTATAATTTTACTCTAAAAAAAGTCGCTAATTATACTGTCCAAATTGTCCTTAAATACTTTCGGAACAATAGCAGTGACTCGTTCCGCAAATACTACATGATTATTTTTGTTTATGTACTTATATCGAATTTTAATTAGTTAATTTTTAATTATACCAATAAGTAACATAGAATATACTCATTTAACCCATTTAATTGAAACTATCACACTATAGCTTTTCTACAACAAGGACAAATTGAATAAGGTGTTTTTTTGTTCTAATGGGTTTTCCACATACTCAAACATTGAATGTGAAATATATGTTAGCATTCTAATCGGGCCAACAGTGCTAATTTATTTATTTCAAAGTTTTCCAAACAAATAGGGCATTCAGGAAATTTTTATAAATCCTCCTGGTTAGCGAGTTAATATAGCCCTTCTAAATTTGATTTTGTTGATTTCGGTTTATAACAATAGTATACAATAATCCCAAAAATTAATAAAAAAAAACCAATTAAGCCAAGTATTACTAGCAATTTAAGCATTTTTTCTTCCTCCTAATATTCCAATCCTTAAAAATCGATCGAAATACAACATTGTACTAAGTTCTTAGATATTATTTTTATTAACAAAGAATAAGATTAATTTGAAATACTAACTTATTCAATATCAAGTGGATTGACATTTGATAATACTTTATATTTGCCAATTTTCGTTGTATTTATAATTTCATCATAAGTGTTATTATAATCAGAGGGTAAATTGAATTTCTAGGATATCAAGATTTGCACTCTCACATCAGAAACATTCTCCCATTATTAAGAAAATTTAATAAGCATATTGAAACCAAGAGTGTAGTTAAAACATATGCAAATGTATTTCACAGTTGCACTATTTTTTTACTATTGAAATTGTACAAATGGAGTTATTCTTAACCCTTCTTCTGAGCAATCATGATCCAAATATCCAGGATTGCAAATACAAACGCCGTTCTAAACTTGTATCAAATTTATACCCTACAAATTCCATTATTGCTACAATTGTTAGGACAAGGCATTTCAGACAAATTCTTTATAACCAATTTATATTGAGTGGTTTGATTCGTCATTATCACTAAGTACTAACTAAACTCAGTCGAGTTTTCTTAATCTAGTACAATATAGTGATATTTTTTTTATTATTATTTTCTATTTTTATATTCTCATTAAATACCCGTATATGTCAGCATTTTCATATCTAATTTTTTTCTTGGATGTATTGTTTTCAAAGAAAGGAGCCTCCTAATAAGATTACATTAATAATATATTAGCAAATTGTTTTCTTGTGATAACAAATAATTCAATAATAACATACCTTCGTTGCTTCGCCTTGCTTACCTTTAACTATAACGTTTGATTTATTTTTCGTTGTATGAAATTCTACTCCCATGGTTAATAACCAATGTCAATTTGCATAAATTATTCACAATTGCATAATTAAAGAATTAAAGTCAAGATTAGTATTCTCATAATTCTAATATTTATTCTAAAAATATTAAAGAATGTCAAGCATTTACTTAATCTTATTTTAATCTTTTACTAAACAATAAAAATTTTTGCCTGTTATAATAATTAGCAAATGTGATAGAGATATTAAACCATTAAATTCGTATAAATTACTATGGATAATCAATAAAGGTGTAAGGTAGTTTTGATTTATTGGTTCATTATGGTAAGAAAATCTGTTCTTGAAAAGATTCTAGTATTTGAAGAGAAATATAATGAATTTTTGTCAACGGTGATTTTACAAATATAGAAATTTAATTATACTTATTTCTGAAAAAGTGGCATTATAATAAATTACATGATTAATTGATAAATTATCAAATTTGTAAACGTAGTTTTTTGGGTCTCAAGAATAATGTATATTGATCCAAAAAAAATAAGTTAACTTTAGCCTTCCAAGATGCTATTAATGCTTTCAATAAGGATTTATCAAAAACCAAAGTAGTTTTGTGTTACATTTAAGTAAACGGTGGGTGTTATTGAAATGATTATATAGAGAGCGTAGATTTAGAATCTTTATTAAATAACAAACTAGCTTAATTAGATTTGGTCGATAATAATTTTATAGATTTAATCATGCATATGCCGGGGTTATCACATAATTACACAATTAATACAACAAGAATCTCGCATTTTTGATTTATTATGTTCTTCTAGAATGATTGAACTCAAATGTTGAATTTCATCACTTGTTGGATAATCTTCTGAAACCAAATCCACAATTCTGGAAATCACGACCTCTATGTTTATGTTTTCCTTGATTGATGTTTCGTAGTATATTAGGTTCTCCTCGTTTATTAATTGTTGTAATTCGTTTTCTTCAAATTATTTCTCCAAATCACACTTGTTGCCTATGTCTATTTGAATAGGATACCAATCAAAATTTTGTGTTGGACTTTGGAGTCGACTTTATTTACCAAATCAATCCAATATTTAACATCTTGGAAAGTGGAGAGTTTGTGTTGATCAAACACAATTATAATTGCATTTGCTCCTTTTATGAAAACCTCTGTAACTACTTGGAATTTCTTATCGCCAGAAGTATCTTGCAGATTTAACATGAAATTTTTATTTTGGAGAACTATAGTTTTTGATTGAAAATCTCTCCCTTTTAATAGGTTTATGGGTATATCTTGAGATGTCACATACTGATTGGAATTGAGGGAGTCACAAAACTTGCTTATTAGCTAAGTTTTGCCAACTCCCAGATTCCCAATAACTGTAATTTTTGCCTTGTGTTATGGTTATTGATTGGATTTGTTATGTTTATGCATGCAAATTTTATAATTATTAAATTTGATGTTTATTCATCAAACTAGTAAGTGGTTATCATTAACTTATTTTTTAAGTTTGGCTTCGGAATAACATGTAAATAAATTAAATGTGAAGTAATAAAAAGTGCAGAGAATGCAATTTAAAATGAAATTAAGGAAATTAAAATTGAGTTGAAGTATTATAAATGATAATAACGCAATCACAACATGAATAATATATTGAAAAATTAGGACATCACAAATCAATAGAGATGAATCAACAGCACACTGAATCATCTTATTTTTATTAATCTTGATTCGCAGGGTTTAACTTGTTGAAAGCTTTGTCAGATTATTGGGGAAGCCTTTCGTTTTGGTCTTTAATGAGTTTGGCGATTTATTAAAATGTCTGATTAATGTTGGTTCCTTCCTTTGCACTTGTTTCGAAGTAAGGTATGTTATGTTATTACGCCATATTGAGAGCGTCCTCATAAGTGATGCATCTGTCAGGCAGATCTGTTTTGTTTCCTAAATATCATAATAATATTCTAAACTAACCTATTAATACTTTTATGATATTGTCACTTGCATGTAATTTAATTTGATTCATCCATTTCTCAATGTCACGAAAGGATTCCTGATCATTCACGGCGAAAACTAGTATGATTCCCATAGCTCCCTTGTAATATGTTTAAGTAATAGTTTAATAACGCTCTTGACCAGCAGTGTCCCAAATTTGCATTTTAATGACCTTCTCATCCACTGATATCTTTTTGATTTTAAAATCGATTCCTTATAGATTGAAAAGATTAAACAAATACCTATCGTACTCAGAAATGATGTTTTAAATTGATTTTCCGTGTATCTCAACAATATCTGGGTTTTCCCAACCCCTGAATTTCCAATCAACAAAACCTTGATCAATAAATCGCAGGTATCCTTGGACTTTTTCACCAATGATGACATTGTTAATTTTAATAATATAAATGCTGTGAATATTAAATTAACTTCTAAAAATTTAAAACTTAAATAGTAAAAATATAAGAATAAAATTCAGATACTGAGACGATTAAAAGTTTCAATTAACTTCTCCTTTGTAGCAGGCTTAATCAAAACACTATTAAATCCTTCATTAATGCTTTTCTATTGATCTTTGATACTACAGAAACCAGTAACTGCAACCACAGGGATAGTTCTGCTCAGATGGATCTCATTTTCTATTTGTCGAATTCTTTACACAGTTTCCCATCCACTCATCATTGGCATATTAATATCCATCAAGATGCAGTTGTATCCAATACAATTCTACTGACTGCACCTTTTGAGCAATTTGGTTTGCACTTTTTCAATCGCTTGCTTCCCATTGAAAGCAAAGTCTGTATCAAATCCTAAATTTTTGACCATATGTATAAGGACATCCACATTGAACTCCTCGTCATCAACAATCAAGACAATTTTGCAATTGCATTAATTTATCAGATTGTCTAGTTACAATTCTGATTAACCCTACTTCTCAGTGATCTGAAGGTTATTACATTTATTGTAGTTCATCACGCGAACCTATTACGTACTTTGAGCATCCACATAAGGAATTGTGTGATTGTTGGACCTTTAGAGGAAATTTGTGCTTAGATTCGATTCTTCATTGTATTTCAATAGAAAATTGAAGCATGTGCCTTGATCTTCTTTTGATTCGACAGAAATGTAGTTTTGATTGTTCGGAGCCATCAACTTGATAATTTGCTTGCTCACAGACAATCCCAAACCTATGCCAACTGAATGCTTAGAAACCTTTTCATCCTCGTCAGTTAAATGTAACTACTCTAATTAAAAGGAATACCTTTTTTCTTAAAATGCTCAACTCACCCTCCTTCATGCCTATCCCAGTGTCATTCACTTGAACTTCCAGCAAATTGTTATCCTGTAAATTAGCTGAATGTACCTCAATTCCTTCCATTGACTCCATGTATTCTTACTTCTAAACAGTGATGGTAATTTCTCCTTTGTAAGTGAATCGAATAGAATTTCCAATCAAATTCAGGAGTACTTAACACAAACGTTGTCTGTCTCCGCTAATTATATAGGAGGTTTCGGGTAATTTCACATTGATTGCTAAGGACTTCCTTTCGATCTGATTTCTAAACAAATCCACACACTCTAAAATGACTGTATTGATATCGAATTTATCTGATTTCAATTGGAAACTGTCTTCTAGAATGTCTCTGTAATCGAAGAAGTCATAGATCTTATAGAGTTGCAATTTTGTGTAACTCAAAGCCTGTTCCAATTGGAGATGACAGGATTCTTTATTCAGCAACCTGTCCTAGCTTTGTTTGATGAATCCGAAGACTGCATTAAGATTTGTGAGCAATTCATGAGAAATTGATCTCAGGAGATTCTTTTTGATTGATTCTAATTTTTTTAGTTTTGCTCTTAATAAGATTTGATTGACTTCATGAATGAAATATATTTACAACTCATCATCATTATCAAAGATTCTACAATTCTCTAATACGTTAATTAAGAATTTCATTTTGTGGACATAAACTGGTTTTGTCTTATTTATTAAATTCGCTTCTTGATCCAGCAGAGACTGTTTGTGGCCAGAACTCCTATTTTCCTTACTATTCAATAAGAAATCAGCGGATACTTTTCGACTTGGAGTCATTAAGTTACCTGATTTAGATTGTTTATTTGGGAGGTTCAATTTCTTAGGATGATTCTTCTTACCTGCTGATAACAAGTGGAATTGGGGTGGATTGTTGACTTCGATTTTCATTGTGACATCAGACGTGAAGGTTTTTTTGATGATGGATTCATCATCAGGATTTTTAAATGATTGGAAAAACCTCTAAAATTGAACATGATTTTTGGGTCGATCAGTTGGTATTTCAAAAGAGAAGGCTTTAGAATATTAGATTGAATTTTTATCCTTGCTGTAAGTAACATTCTTAATTTTGTATTGATCATCGAAGTATAAATCATCATCATCAAAATCAAATTAGACAAACTTTTGATTGTTATTTAATTCATCTAATTATAAATTTTACAAAAAAGTTAATTAATTTTTAGTAGAGTTATTAGTTGCTGTTTTTTCTGGAGATTAATCAGTATCAGATTGATTTGTATTCTCTAATTTATATGCTAAATTATCAAATACTTTGTTGGAATAGAGTAACCAATTTTTATCCTTATGGGCTATACACATAGCCTAAGGTGTGGAGTCGATGATTAAAAATAATGCTTGTAAATTGAGGAAGTGCTGCATTTGCTGGAGTTCTTTCCGTACGATCTGCATGAATAGCAGAGCGACTGTGAGATAGAGTCCTTCAAAGGAGGATAGATCTAAAAGCAAGATAGTTTGAATGAAAAAGATTAGTATTGCGATCACCTTCCATAAGATGGTTGAATACATGCTTTGGAAGATGATGCAAATGGTGGTGTAGAACATGAGGTAGCTTTCGTTGTAGGCAAAGTAACAAAGGAGGCAAAAGCATTCCTGTTATATTAAGGGGACGAGCTACAAAAAGTAGGACTCTTTGTAAATGATTCTGGGAAGACATAAAAATAGGATTGAATGAACCAAAATCTGAACTCCAAAAATGACCCACAGTAGTTAGTTATTGGCGATGATCAATAGTTTAATGATGATAAATATTATCTACATTATTATTAATGGCCTGAATGAAAGATCCGCCCACTAAGTGTAGTTGTGCCATTTCCATGACTAATAGGATTGGTTTTCAAAGGTCTTCAGATATTTGAGTAGGGCCTTTTAAAGACTTTGGCATTTGAGCATAGCTTAATTAAATAAAATATATATAATAGTTTATATAATGATGAGAAGTAATAATATTTTTAAATTAATTTAATCTCTCACTTGTTTTTTAGAATACTCAACCTTATAACAAAAAATGAAAGAAGAAGAAAACTAAATAATCAAATAAGTAAAATAGCTCATAAGCCATTTAGGAGGAACAATAATTGTACATCCAACAGTGCCCAATTCCAGTGCACTACACTTCCATCCCCAACGAGATATAACACTACCAATCCACATTCTAAGTCTTGGCAGAGGAGAATCATCATCTGCGCAAATTACTCAACCTCAATCAACAACACTAATTAATCTGTCTGACCAAAGAATAACTCCAGGAGGAGGTCTATAAAATGATCGATTTCCTCATGAGACATCTCAATTACCTATCCAAAGAATAGATCTTCGCTTATTAAAAGGCTTTTCGTTTTTGGACTTAAAAAAAGGCACTAAAATCAGTCTTCTTTTAGATTTTCACAAGATACTTGCAAGTATGCATCTAGCATCATCTATCAATAGGTTGTGAAGACAAGGGAAGAAATGATAAAATTTATTATTCGTAAAAGTATGAAGCACCAAAGATAAACTCAGAGTAAGGAACAAATGAAGGAGAAAAAAGTAATCAAGAAAATGAATAATTCATTCGTCAAGCAATTATTCCAAAATACTTCCTATTAATAAGATTACTCAAACTTTCTAAGTATAAATATTGCATCCGATTTAATTAGATCAATATCTACAATTGGCATTGAATGAGAATTAATAGAAGATTAGAAAATATGTAGTTTTTATTATGGAAATGATAGTGTCCGATCAAATTAATGTACTTATCGCATATTTAACCTCTCCTAGCAAGTCTTGAATTACAAGAGATTCCCCTGGCTCAATGACTGGATTAACCAATCGGTTCAATTAGCCTAAGAATTGCAAAATCCTTAGAATTAGAATTAAGAGTCGAAAAAAAGAAAAATTTGACTACTACCCTACCAAATATGATAAAATTATAATTTTGTATTAGTTTAAAATGGTTTCTAAAATAATCATTTAATGAGTTGAATGCACACAGGACTATCATATTGGCACTGGATCTGAGCGAGTTGATAGAACATAGCAGCAACTGTCCAGGAAGGGGAAATGTTGTTGATCTCATCAGGACTATAGAGCAATTGATCCCTGCTTATTCCATAGCCATACGAGAGCAACTCATCGACATAGATACTTGAGAAGTAATCTGTGGTGATGTAGGGATTGCTAATGTATTCCGGTATTTGTTCTATATCCGACCAAACCAAAGATGTGAAACTAACAACCTTGTTGGAATACTGAGTGAGAGTGTAGTTTTCAAATCCAAACAAATTCACCATGCTCTAAATTCCACTAATGCCATATATGATGTCACCATCAATTTTAGGCTAATATTGCCCATTGATCCCACAATTGGAGTGTTGGCATTTCTCTGGATCATTATTAAGATATTGTCTTATGAGTCTCCTGCATTCCTAGTAATTGCCCTACCCGATAACTTTGAATCTGGCATCATACTCATACACGTTCTCGTATCCACTAAAATAGCAAGGAGTAGTGATAGTGAATGTGTCATTGTCTTAAAACTACTTATGCACTTGAATTAATGCTTGATCCATTCCAAAAAGCAAATAACTACTGCTGAATATTTCGTATTCATTCAAATTAGGTATAATGAGATCCATCATTCCGTCCTCAATTTTCCCCTTAGGTTTGAACGAAATCTACGTAGAAGCCCCCCCTAAATCAATGGTTGTGACCTATTATTAATCTGACATTGTCTGGAGGAGGTAATTAAGAGATAACCACATGTATGCTCCCTATCTTAAATTGAATTTTATTTACTTCTTCCTATCCAGTAATCACTCTCGCCCATTATTCGCTTAAGAAAAGCAATCCAGATTTGAGGAAGACTCGTTGGACTTCCTTCATAATCTAAGTTTATGATTCGACTGGCAACAGTCTCATACCAGCAGTGGCACCTAGCATGATTGGAGTGTAGGCCTTCATGGATTTGGGGATGTTGCTGAGTGCAAAATCAATCAATGGCTAGAGATAGGCGGGTATTTCATTGAGTTTAGTGGCAAAGGATGATATTCCTGGCTTCACCTTCTTCTCTATGGATTTCTCACTGAGGGAGACGTAGGGCATGGTTTGAGTCTCTCTGCAATTCCACGAATACACATAGACTCTAGTGCCGGAACTGCCAGCATCGAACATTACTCCGTAGCAGGTGGATGCTTAAATGTTCCAAAGATTGGGTATTGTTCCCTTGGCTCTGAATCTTAAATTATTGGCTATGGCAACTCCGAGCAACAATAATATTTATATCATAATAAATAATGGATCAAAAGGAAGACGATTAATTCATGCAATTGCCTAGACTCAAGAGTGATGATCTCTAATTGTAATTTCAAGACACCCATAACATAAGTGATGATCAGCAATCCCTATTGGCTCAATCCACGATCCAATTTACTCAGAAACCCCGTGTTATTCAGAGTGTGATCACTGGCTAGTACCAAGCCTAAGATGATGATTCCCTTGATTATGCGCAATTTATGACCAAATCCTATACGCAGCAATCAGACTAAAAATAATAACAACTCGAGGATTATCTCCTCTTATAGAAAATTGCTAATTCTACTTTCGAACAAAACCCACAACCATATGAGGATGAATTCGTTAAGCAAATTAATGGAGCATTGGTTCAATTTTGTATTTCCTCTCCTGCAACCAGGAAATTGTTTGCAAATCAAGAGAAGGTCAAATCCAGAAACACACTAGCCTTGAATGCAAACAAAATCTGGTTGGAAAATCAATCGGAGTGTTTTCATTGTATGTTTGACACAAAAACCTTGAGAATCCTAATTTAATGCGAATCTACTAAAATCCCAAGAGTGGAATTATTGAGTTAATTTCATTGCAATGATCTGAGTGAGTTTGTTCGTATCTTCTGTAAATTGCCAGAAGTGAGAGATGCCATGTTGAGTTCATATAGTTTAAAAGAGACTTCCTAACCAGATAAATACGGCATCAACTCTGGGTATTCAGAAGTGGTCACTGCATTAACTGATTACATGAAATCTATTGAAATCAATGGTCTCCCCAGCACAGCACTCATCGACGACATTGTGGAGAGGTATCTCACCAGATTGATCTATGAGAAATTATACCCCAAAGAACCAACTGCTAGAGATATCGAATTAAACATACGATTCAAAACTCTAGAATGGATTACCGATGAACATCTAAGTATCAAAATCAAATCCAAAATCGATTAACAATTCGAATGTGCTGCTTAAAGTAATATTTACCATTTAAATTTAGTGATCAATCAAATTGACATGAAAAAGAACTCAGTTGATAAATTGGATTGCATCCTGAAGGCCACTCAACTCATTACTGATACCATTTCCTAGATCAATTAAGAGGCAGCCTCGGCAGATGCTGTGTTCCCAGCCTTCATCAGAGTGCTGATCCTCGCCTAGTCAACCAGATTGCAAAGCAATATCAAGTAATTTATAATGAGATTCAGTTTCATAGAACTATTCATCAATAAATCGAGGATGATGAGTCATGCTGGGTATTGCTTCACTCAATTAAAGTCAGCCATTGTGTGGATTGAAAATGTAAATTACGAATAATTGAAAATGGATCCAAATCAATTCAACCGACTGCAACAAGAAAAGAATGTGAAGTATGGAATGTGCAAACGAAGAGATAGAAAGAAAAGAATTCTTTTATTTTGATTATATTATTAAAATTAAAATGGGAAGCATTTGTAAACAATAAGCTCAACAATCAATTGAAATTCAAAATGAAGTCAGACTCTCCAAGGGCTCCGAGAAAAAGGACCTAATCAAAAGAAACACTGAGACTTCGGGAGGAACTTTGTAGTATAATCAAAACAGCACCAAGCAATTCTCTGTCAGAAAAGACCCTCTGGCTAGTTACATGAATGAGAGTCTGAGTGATTCTGACTCAGATTCAGAGCAAAGCAAACCGAATCAATAAGTCTTCACCAACTTCGTTACTTTTTAAGCACTCCCCTCCTAAAAATAAATGATACCCAAATTCGAAGTGCTTAAAGATTAGTTCAAAAATGAAATGCTCTAATAAATGAGTCTGCAGCAACAGAGAAAACAATTTTGAATGATTTATCATCATATCTTACTTAATATAATTCATCTAATTAATTATTTTATATGCATTTATAAATAACTAAACCAGAATAAAAACCAATAACATTTCAACTAATCCAGACAATAATTCTTAATATTATAAAATTATCTTCTCACAAAAACTCCACATACCCCTACGTATGAATTGGAATTGAAGATTAATTCAAGTGAGAAATCCATCTGATTGTTTCCACCTCGCTCTCCAAATAACAAGCACTCATCTTCTTAGCAAGATTCTTCGCCTACTCATGATTTCTATTTGAATTTGCTATATTAAACAGAACCAAATTTATCTCCTACCTTTAAGTTTGTTTCTGTATCTTCTCCAATAAATCCTCATCCACACATATCGAGAACTCAGAGAACACACAAACAAAACTTTGCACCATCCCCTTTTGTTCTTATGATGCCTTTTGGATTATAATCGATTTCTACGATTAGTTCATATCATAACTGCTTTGTTTAGAGAATTAATTCAATCTATACTCTAATAGATTGTCAAGACTTTCCAGGACCTTACATTCGCCTCCTTTCATAATTTAGAATCTCTCAAACTACTTCAACAAGAATTTCCTATACTTAATTGATTACGAGGCTGATAGCATCTCATACAAAGTGTCATTAAATATGTACAAACCTACTTCTCTCAAATTTATCAACTTTTACAATATATAAGCACATATAGAATGTGATACTTAAATTTACTCAAAAGAAACCTTAGATGAATAGTCAATCAAAAAGAATATTTGAAACATTCTTGGATTTATGTCAAGATACAATTTTTATAACACATTCTGATTAAGATTCAATTTCATAAAAATGCTTTACAGAGTCTTATAAGCAAATGAATTCAATTTATGTATATTCTAACTGTTTTTTCTTATAATCTTTATACATTTTTCACTAGCTTCTTAATACTATTAATGTTTCATTAATAAACAAATTTTCAATTTCCTAATAGCATTTTAAATAATTTCTTTTGATGTCAACTAAAATATGTCGAATCCATTTAGAACGAGGTTCGACTTCTCTAACATAATATATTACTCATAGAGTATTTTAATTGAATACAAGTCCTATTTAGCCTTGATAATCAAATTTAGTTTTTAATAACAGCTAAACTTCATAATTAACAACTATATTTTCATTCCTATTATTGATCGATTTTCAGAATAGCTTTTGTTTGAGATTTCCTCATATAATTCAGTCAAAGAACAAATAGCTTCATTCAGAAAACGGGGCTATTCTTTAATGCAAAACTTATATAACATTCTACAGAAGGTGTACTTCCTGAATAGTATGGTTAACTTGTAAAATCGCTTTTCTTCCTTAAATCGATCTTCTTCTAACTCCAATTGTTAGTGATAGCCGATTTTTTCGAAAGAGTTCTCTTATTTTTTCTAATTAATTAAAATCAATCTCTCAGTTACTTAAATTTATTAAATTTCAGACTATTTATATGAATTTTATAGCATAAAAGAGTTATACCTATTTCTATTCAAATGTTCTGAATGCAATATATAAGTACTACCTGCTAATTTATTGATCACAAACCGTGTTAGCTTGTTCCTCAACTGTATTAGTATAGACTTTTAACTATGTAATAATTGTTTTCGTATCTTTTCAATCTACTTAATACTAGTGTACTCTTCAAATCCCAGAATCACAGATTTTACTTGAAACTTGAGTGCTTCGATGTATCTCTTGTTCTTTAGATGTATCTATGCTATGTTATTTGCACAAACACTAACTTACCAATTGTTTTTATGATATTTGTACACCTCACTGAGTTAGGATAAGGTCATTAAATAGTGAGACCCTTAATCTTGATCGGAGTAGAAATGTTGTTATTGTAGTAGTTAATAATAGTAGAGATAGATTTGTAGGCTTTTATGAAGACTACTAATTTCCTTGCAATTTTAATCACCTGCCTCCAGTGGTATTGAGTCGAAGCTGTGCTGCTATGGATTTTGTAACTGGAGTGCCAATCTTTAAAGAGGAAGACAGAAAGAATTGGCAACCTTTATAGATGTTGTCCAGACATACAATAGGAAGGTTAGACTCACAACAGCCTGAGCTATGATCAATGATACATTATGATCTGATTCAGTCTGAGAAGAACCAGCTAGTTATTTGAATTTTTCAATATCGAAAATCTTGATTGCTAATATTTTAGAGATTTGTTATTTTTCACATCTAGTGTGTTGTTTTTGGATTGAGTAGAACCAACCATATATGAAAGACTTTTGTTAATAATACTAGATAAGTGTATCTTAGCGTAAACAGCGATAATCGTCAAAATCTTATTGAACCAGTAGGTGTTCCAAGAATTGGCCATAATATTCTTCTAATTTGCTCCTTTCAATGGGAAAGAACTCATTATATCTGAATTAATAAAATTGCTCATTAATCATGAAATAATTCAATTGATTCTCCCATATTTCGCTATTGGCATATCTATAGGTTTAACCAACCAAATTTAGGATAGATTAATATAATTGGATATTACAGCTATATTTGTGATTGTAGTTTAAAATGAATCGAAAGTACTGCTAATATAGATCTACGGAAACCTAACTACTTGAATTCCAGGATTCAAATTGGCTTGGTATTTGCTGCATCGAGTATTCAAATGAATCCTTGCAAATAACCTTAAAGTTCTCAATATTGCCTCTTCTGATTAAGGGATACAGGAAGGTCTAAATTTGTTGCAGGCTGTCATGAAACTCCAAATCCTGATTGGCAGTCATCAAATCTTAGAGAATAAAGGCGACATTGGCCTTGAGACCTAGATTTATGGTTTCTAGTTTATGGCTGAATCTAAGGGTAGTTCTGGTTGTTTCATTGTAGATTGCAAATGACAACTGATTCGCTTAATCAGAGAAGTTGGTGATAAAGATTACATTTAATGTTATTATTTGCAGTAAAGCAATAAAACCTACCGGCACAAATAATATTAAGATGCTCAATTTTAGTTTAGCCTAAAAATCCATATAAAATAATAATGTTTCGTTTGTATTATTATAGTAAATATCCATCTCAAATCATTAATACAACTGAAATTGATTTGATTAAATAAATTGTAACTAAGATTATAAAGTGTTAAGAGGATTAATCCTATTTGTAAATGAGTTTATATATATATATTTGGGAATGGGAAAATAGAAGAATTTTGAAGGGTAATTTCAATTATTATTTTTAATATACTTCATGTGGATTTTTTTATGGAAACTATGCAATTCAACGGAGATCTCAACTTGGATGTAATCGAAAATTCTGTAACGTGTCCCTTAGATGATGATATTCATTCTATCTATAATTTGAGCATCGATTGTTCCTTCCAATACATACCTGGGGATCATGACTGTGACTTTGTCAGTCAAGATTCCGGTGATGATTGCTTGATCAATTTGCTGAGGTCTATTTTTAAAGAACAGGTAAGTGTGATAATCTGAGGAGGCTCTGCTAGCAAATCTGGCCATTCTATGTCTCATATTCAGTTTATCGCAAATTCTGGTCATTCTGATTTTGTTTGACATAGATGGAGGAAGTGACTCTAAATCAATGGAGGCAGCCAATAATCTATGGACAAGCACATCAGCATATCTTCTGATTGGAGATGTGAAATGAGTATAGAGTTCTGCGGCTAAACCATAATGATAGAGTTCTGGATAATCTACATCAGCAGTGCAGACATATAGAGCCTAATAATATTGAGAATATATAGATTACTTCGTTCATGCATCTCGTAGTAATCATACGAATGAGCTTGTTAAAGAATGAATCATTGGGTCTTTGAATTTAGTCCAGGGACTCACTAAGCAATTTAGATGTGTCAAATGAAAATTGATATCCTAATAATTAATGAGATCATCTACCTAAGTCATTCATCAAGATTTGGAGTTCCTTTAATTGTTTCATCTTAGGTTCTTGATGTCTACGAAGAACCGAAATGGAGGGAAATCTTTGTAAGATTTGATTGGCAACTGAACAATTGGCCAAAAGCATGAACTCTTCAACAAGTGAATTGGTGTCATACAATTGATACATTCTGACATCACTGGGATTGTGAGTTTCATCATCGAAGGAAAACTTAACTTGATTGCTGGCTAAGGACAAGGCTCCTTAATCTGTTCTAAGTTATTTCAACTTCTTGGCTAACATATTCAAGAGTCTTATGCCTTGGGTCAATTGACTGTTGTCATTTGGATTATCGATCATTTCCTAAGCTTGTTGATAATGCAAGGAGGCAACAGATCGAATAACACTTTTGCCAAATTTGACATCCTTGATATTTGCTTGGTCATCCATAATCCAGATTACTGAGAATGCCAATCTATCGACATTGCTAACCAATGAACACAGATTCTCTGTCAATAATTTAGGCAACATATCTGTTCTTCTATCTACTAAATAGACTGTGGTGCATCTGTGAGCAGCCTCCTTATCAATTGCACTGTCTGGCTTCACAAAATGAGACACATCTGCAATATGAACACCCACTTCATATAAATTGTTCTCCAATCTCCTACAATGCAATGTATCATCGATGTCCTTACATCCCACTGGATCTATTGAACATACCAAAATATCTCTCAGATCCATTCTCCTTTTGATCTCCTACTCTGATATTCTATATTTATCCTTAAATTGTTAATAATTAAATTCATACTCCCTCGATTGGTAAACAAGCCAACACTTAATGTGAGAATTCCCTTATTTCCACTTGATGTTCTAACAAGATCACATTTCCTTCGATGTACATATCTCCTGCCTTCCCCAATACCTTTTTCAATTTACACAATGGCTTATCACTCCAAACTGGCCAATCTACAAATTGAACCTGGATCTTCTTATCCTATAATGTATCATATTTTGAATGTTTAAGAATGAAATTTGGATACCTACCATCAGCTGGCACAAATATATTGTTCTCTACATGACCACAAAAATGTCTCTCCGTTCTCTACAACACACTGACAACCTTTCCATAAGGGACCAGGTTTTGTGACTGCACTTTCCTGAATAAATTTTGCAAATGGCTAGTTGACATTATCTCATGACTGGTGTCATTGGTATGAGTGTTGTTGTTACCATCATCATCATCATCCTCATCGAATTTTATCTCTTTTTGTTTCTACTATTGTTCCCATTGATCTTCAGACAATAATTCAACAGCCACTCTATCTCCATGTAACACTCTGTTCTATTGATTTATTTTTATTTCCAATTGAAATTGCTTAACAAATATCCTAGCCAATTTAATATTGTTTCTATCTATTGAGATTCTCCCTTCAAATAGTAATCCTTGTTTTATTTGCTGTACACACTCTTCCACTGGAATATAGGGGAATTGATTGTTGATAGCCTCCTAGTTCTATTCGAATTCTTCGTCCATTCCCAAAAAATCAAGCAAATCGTTGTTCTCGTATAATTTGACGTAATCCTGGATTGTGAAACACTTGATGTTCAGGTTTTTGCATTGTTGATGCATTTGATAATTTTGGGTCAGCAAGCACAAATCCAGTTCGGTTTTCAAAAATTGTCTATGGGAATTGTACCATTGAGCCAATAAGATCAAGGGATTACCATTTTAGGTGTGAATTGAAAACTCATCCTGATAAACATAAATTTTCTTTGAGAAATTGGATTCAATCAGATTGATCATTTATTGTGCATACTAAGATTGTTATTGTCTTTTTCTGAAATAGGCCACTTACGATTGTAGCACCACTATATTGTTGATGTTGGACTGTTCGATCAAATCTATATACTATTCCAAGATCTCATTATCCAGCATGAATATGGGATTCTCCAATTGAATGTCGGATTCTTGGTTGCAAAATGCACATCCTCGAATCTGACATGGGATGTCACTAGAAAGATATACTTCCTTGGCTTAAATCATAACCTATAATCTCTTATTTAATCGTGGTTATGAATTTAGTTATACTTTCATTAATATAATTTATTCATGCATTACCTATTATTTTTGATCCCAATTGTCTTCTCAAGTATCAGTCCAGCCGATTACATTTCATAATCTGATCGACCCAAAATTGCTGCTCATCGAGGACTTTGCTCCATCTTCCCAGGTATCACCAACCTCATATTTGATAGAGAATACGGCCTAATCATTTGAAGGTGCTATGTTCCAAGGAACTGACTTCATTGAATTGGATGTTGTACTCAATAAGGAATTGCAGTGTATACATTAACATATATATCCATCTTATAGTAATAGTGGCACATGATACATTTATGAATACTGTTTCCAATATTAAAACATTCCCAGAATTTGCATCAAGACAAAGAAAAAGGACAATAAATGGAATGGTTAGAGACGATTGGTGGCTGATTGATTTCTCTCTCGCTGAACTCAAGCGAGTAGGAATCAATTAAGTCAGGGGTTCCACAAGACCTAAAATGTTTGATGGTCTTTTCACATATCCAACCTTATGGGAGGTCTTGCAATAGGTCAAAGATTTCAACATTCGTACTGCTAATGAAAGAAACCCTAATAAAAAGCCAGTAGGAATACTCTTAGAGATAAAAGATTACGAAGTATAAATGTTGTAATATGACGTAGTATCATTTAGAATATGCAGGAGTATCAATCGTTTAATATGTAATCAGTGAATTATCAAAATTCGGTATTGGGACCATTAAAGATTGCAAGAATGTTGTTCCCATTGTCATTATGAGTTTCGACATGAATGCTGTAAAGGAGACTCGAGAATTGACAGATCTTCCAAGAGTGTTTTTGATGACCGGATTACAGAATCAACCATATACCTTCTATGCTGAAGCTACAAAGTATGCCAACATCATTGGAGCTGATTTAGCATCGATTTGGAATCAAAAGACCTAAAAAATTCAACCAGAAGTTCAACTCATCAAAGACAATTAAATGATGGTTTATGCTTGGACTTTCCAAGATGATGCTAGTGGAACTCAAAAGATGTTCAATGCAACCATTGCCAAAGACATTTACTATCAAGCAGTCAAGCTGAATATCCACGGACTCATCACAGAGTTTTCAGATGTAGCAATTTAGTATGTCTAATTATATTAATATTAATGAACAATTATCAAGATGAGGAAAGTGGGTTCAAGATCCAAGAGAAAATTTATACTTGGGGTCGATTCCTATTATTCTTCGTGACTGGCCTCATTCTGCTGATAGTTTCCTTTCCTTTTTCAGGCTTTTTGCTGGTCAACCCCTATCCGTTTGTGCTATTGTTCTCATTGGGATCATTGCTCATTTTAATAGCCATCATCTAAGTTACTGAATACAAGACCATCTTTAGTCAGGCTGGAACTGTTATATACTTCATAGCTCTACTAAGTGGCCTATACACAGGAGTGTTTAAGATTGGATATTTGACAACCCTAGGAATAATGATTGTATAGATTTTAGCACTTCTATATTTAATGGCTGCACTCTTACCCGGAGGATAGGCAGGACTCAAAAATTACATACTCTCAAAAATCAAAACATGAATATACATAAATATTGGGGTTATTATATTGAGTAATAAGATAAAATCAATTCTCATCATCATCATCATCCGTTTTTATTCTTTTAAAACAATTATCCCCAAACACTATTCCCTTTGGTTTTGTTTCTCTCACCTTCACTTCATCTTCATCCTCCTCATCCTCATTTCTTTGTCTCACAATCTTACTGAAATCCAATCGGTAAACCTCTCTGATCACCTGAACAGTCTATTGTTGAGGAGCCTATTCCTCCGAATCGTCATTCTCGTAGTACTTTAAATCCTCCATTTGCATCCTTGATTTCGACCCATCCTCTATTTGCACATACGAATATTGCTGGACCAACTTTTGATACAGAGGGTGATCCTACAGATTCAGATTCTTCACTTCAATAACCTAAATCATAAATAACAATCATACAATGTAATGACTAAGCGTGGCATTATTCTTGATGTACTTGATAATGTCTCTGATTTGGCCTTCCAAAATTCCGTGTATCTTTCCGCTTGCTGTTATTTGAATGAAGGACTCGCAAAAAGGCTTGACGATTTATGAACAACTAGATGTGCACAAATATTTAAAATGCTTCAAGGCTGGCATTAACATGAATTTATCCTTAATGGCTAGTTTTTGTTACTGTTTCAAAATGTTTAGGATATGAATTGAAAGCACTGCCAAATCTTTCGAAAAGGTCTTTTATTGCTAACAAATGAGTTAGACAATCTCCTATAATGAAGCAGCTGCTGATGCATTCAATTTCTGATCAAAACATTTCATCAACCAATCTATCCCTTACCCGAGTATTGCTTAATTTTAGCATATGTACTGGATTATATCTATAATCATACTGTGAAGAGTAGTCATGTTACTGAAAAGCAAGGTTTCCATGCTCTTCCAAAAGAGTTACTGATTTTATTTCAAAAAGTCTTAGAAGTATTGCGAATTTGAATTTCCAATCATTATTGTCAATTACAATGTTGTAAAACACAATTGTTGTTGTTGCACTTCCACAGTCTTTGAAAATAAGGCCCTTAATAAGTCGGTTTTGCCGATGCAAGCCACAAATGCTTCATTCAATGACTGAATTTGGAGAAACTATTTAAAGGACAAGAAGAACTCATTAATAAACTTGCAATTCAACTCCAAATTATCCAGAAAACCAAGCAGATATTGCTCGAATTAAGACTAGTGATTCAACAACAAACTCTCCAATATCGACTGGTTGTTCGAATTGATGTAAAAGTTGAATTGGTTGTAGATGGGATCCTCTAGATAGAGATAATAAGCCATGACACTCTCTTTCAAGTAGGACAATCGATAGTTAAAGTGAATTTTCTCCATTATTTCATGATCCAAATCAGTTATTTGGTGGAATTTCAATTCCTCACTCAGAAAATTTCTGTATGAGACTCTTTGTGGCCCCTTGTTCTCGGAATGGTCTAATTTATAGATATGATGTTATACATTCCATGATCCCAAATAATGTCATGTAAAATTTGTCGCTCAGCAACTTCTTTAGGACGTTCTCGTTTTTTAAATATACTAAGGTGATAACATCAATATAAATACTTAAATTCCGAATTACATAATGCAGTTGTTCCAGAGTATGCAAATGTTGTTGTGTCTCGGAGTCTTAGAATATCTTTGCTAAGGCCTCCAGAAAAGTGTTGTTGGGATCAGTGGTGAGTTTCTATATTATGAGTTCAGGATTATCACTGATCCATAGTTAGACTGCCTCCAAATTCTATTGAGATGGTATTATAGGATACGTTGATTCTGGATCATCGTATCGGAAATGTCTTCTACTATTTTACAATTAATTCCAAAACTCCTATGAATACTTGTTGTCGATAAAACTGATTGCTATTTACAACTTCAACTCGGTTTCCTCCCAAGAGATTATATTATCGCCCTGCTGCTCATAGATGATTTCTGGATTCACCTTCAGATTTATGCACCAATCCTCCTTGTTCACATTCAAATGTTAATGTGTCACTATATTGTTACATTACTTCTATTATTTTTCCGTTATCCCTCTGATATAAGTAGCACCATCTGTATGCACAATTTAAACATACCCTACGCAAATGTCCTCCCATTTCTGGTCACTATGTACAAACACTTTAGCTCTTGAAGAACTATTCATTTTTTTAATTTATTTATGTAAAATTCCGCTCATAAATTCTGGGGGGGTATCCACCTTATTAAACTGGAGAAATATTATAAACCAAATTCTTAATATCATATAATACTCTTTGCCCCAAATTTATTATCGTATTTCCAGTATTTCTGTCACTCCACCGACAATTAAATATTAAATTTTAAACGCCAATACTTCAGAACTTCCACCTCTCAAAACCCCTCCTAGCGATCCCCGTTGATTTTTATCCCTCTCCCTGACGCAAATTACGAACCAATACTGCCGGATACAATAAATACGTATTAATTCATAATTATTACTAGTAAAATTCACTATTATTTAAATCCTTTTAATTTATTGTTCCCATCATAATTCAACCAGAACTAGTCACTAGCTTCTCAAATGTGCTCAGAATAATGAGAGTTTCCTAAAGTTTAATACTATATATATTAATTCATAGTTAAATAAATCTCATCGCCCTCCCTGTTCTTTTCTTAATTGAAGATAGAAAGCCTCGTTCAATATAGTTCTAATTGTACCTACGGATTTGCAATTCATAATTGTTTTCACTAAAATACTAATTATAGTCCTTCATCCTATCAAAAACCATTGTTTAATTTTAGGGCCCGTCTAGTATTTTGACTGAAGACTTCTTCAGTTTGTTTTGCGTCTCAATTTGTAGACCTGTCTCAGGTAGAGATTATTTTGTCTTGACATTTAGAGAATTCAATTTCCTTGGGCTATTTTTATTGAGCATATCCTTTCCATAATCCATTTGATTTTATTGGATTTAAATCTCAGAAGCTTTTAGCGTATTGTACATCAATGAAGTAATTTGAGAGTCAGCCCCTATTATTACATTTTCATCATCCAAAAGTTCCTTTTAGGAATATTCCTAAATATATTGTTGATAATATTCAAATTGTTTTTCTTAGATTTACTAAAAATATATAAACGAAGTAGATACAGCTAAAAGAGAGAAGGTATTTGCTCTTTGCATTCTTCTTTGCTTAAATTCCCTCCTCTGCTTGAAATTTTGTTATCTGATGACCATTTTAGAAATGTCAGGAATATAGTACAATAACTTACATTTATGAATGAAATGATCATTTTGATGGCATATGATACACTAGGCATGTTTCACAGGAATGTTGAATTCAAAAGAATGTTTAATCTAATGAAAGATTTCAAAGTCTTCCTTATTGAGGATTTCTAGTAATTTGGATCGTGAAAGCTTGAACACTCTTGTGTGACTCTTGCACTTATATGTGAAGGCAGCCTAAGAATTAGTGAAGAATTCATATTCCCCAAAAGACTCCCCAGATGTGAATTCCATCAATTAAGTCTTAGTTCTTTGTTCACATATTTCTACAGTACCTTAATCAATAAAATAGAGAGCATTCTCGTTCTCAGTATACTAATTAATTATTATGTCATCCGGTTCATAATTCAAGGTTTCAAGTAAATTAGTTGAATTCTGAAGAGTAGATTTTGAGAAGTTAGTTTACAATAAAGGACATTTTTAGAGCATGCTCTAATAGATCTCAGATATGATTTTAAATCGCAGATGATTAGACAGTTAATCGAGAATTTTGTAAACCTAAGATGATTATGGGAATTATACACTTTAATTCGATTTTTCTTCCTCTTTTAATTTGTACTCCAAATAGTTTTTGATTCGACTTTGCAATTCATCCTTAATGTTGTGCTATCTAAAATATTTATTTAGAGTTCTAAAACTCCTCTCTAATCTGTCTGATTCATGATTCAAGATTGAGATTATTTGTCCTATCGTATTCAACGAATAAGCATACACTCCACAAGATAGAAACATTATTATTACACATAATATCATTTCTATGTAATTTTGTGGAGTGATATCTCCGTATCCAACTGTCACCATTGTAACAACTGACCAATAAAAGGAGTATATGTATTTTATAAAATTAGTTTCATCTCTTATCTGTTTCGAATCCAACCAATTATTATTGGCATCAATTGTATTCAATCCAATATAATGCCAAATACATGCGATAAAATGAGCCAAGAGGTTTATGAAAAAGAGCAATTTCCACAATTTCAAGAGTTCTGTTGTTTTAACACTCAGATCAAATGTATCCTCAAGTTTTCTTATGATTTTAACGAGCATTCCAATACCATTAACATAAAATATTATTACAAAAATTAACTAAGATGTGTGAATAATTAATACCAAGGAAACCAAAAAAATACTGTCCTCAAAAAATTGTCTTGAAATGTACTTTTTAAAAATGATTATTCGATCATAAATTATCTAATTTCTTATTATTAATTAATACTTATCCTCGAATTATTATTGCTAAATTGAATTGCAGTGATATGTCTATTAACAATATTATCACGATATAAAAATAGTTATTATTGTCAACCAAATGTCTCATATCATCAAAACTCCAAAAATAGGTTATAATCACAAGTAATAAAAATATAACTAAACATTTAAGAAATTAAAAAACTAAAGCTAAAAAATTTGTTGGATCAAAAACATATTTGCTTTAAGTTTATTGTTGTTTGCTATATTCCGAATGCAGTATTTTCTCCTAATAAATCTTTTGAAAGAAGGATAGCTTATTTCTGTTCTCCTTCAATTATTGTGTTTTTTTTTGCAATATTTTCAAAAATCTAAATACAGACCCCTATGATGATCGCAACGCACTTTTATGCTCCACTTCCTTCCTATTGATCGTTGGACTTGATAATGCATTTATGTCATCGTATGTGTTTTTTTATAGATCCTCAAGCTGGCAGAATTGCAAATGCAAACCGATTGGCCTTGAAAACTCTTTAATTATGTTTTGATTCAAATACCGTCCTATACATTCTCCCCATTCCATAAAAGATTATTCTCTGCAGAACTAATAGCATTCATAATTATGATTATTAATATACTTTTTACTGAATAAATATTTAAGTCAAGAGCATCACTCTCTAAAGTGATTTATTCCTCATTCAAATTCATCATTTATTTCAATATATGACAAACATTAAATAAAGAATTCAGACATAAATTAATTTTTAGATATTTCTCAAATTTTACATCAAAATTTAGAATGTAAATGTGATGTAAATGAAATCATAAGAAAATGAAGCTTGAAAACAGTTTGAGGAAATCAAAATTATTTTAATACTAATGTAGAATAAACTTACAAAGATAGGATTTTCTTTCTGATTTTTCTGAAAACCTTCATTAATCTGATTTTAATGATCTATACCGATTAATAATTCATCTTTTCTATAAACCAGAATGAATAATTAAAATTCATATGCAAATATTATATGATGTAAGAAACTATTAGCTTCCTAATTATAGTTGGAGAATCCTGTTAAAGAATAATAAGCATGAAAGATTTTCAGGTTATCATGGAAGTCAAAATAAGATAAATTAAATTGATAACTAATGAGGTTCATATGAACTTCATATATGAGTTATCTCTGTAGTTTAAATAGTAGATTAATTTTATATTTGAAAATAGAAAATTATTCAATTTGACAATAAAAATGGATAAATTTTAAGAGATTGGCAATTAAAAAGTGATTCATATTTATTGCTCATAAATCATGAGTTTATAGATCATCTGCATAATCATCGATGTCCTCAACATCATCTTCTTCCTCTTCTTCATCCTCTTTAATCTCGATTGGATTGGCTTCAGAATTAAATATTTATTCTTTGACTTTCTCGTCATAGGCAGCCTATCTTTATATTAATGACTCTTCATCTAGGATTTATTTAGGTTTTTCCCAAGCAGCGTTGGGGGTCTTAATTAATCGAATACTTAGACTCATGGTTATATGTTTAATTAATTAACAGTTTTTCAGAAAATATTAAATATTAATCTATAATTATATATATAATTGTTTAGAAATTCATTATGTCTGAAGACTCAGTAGATGCTGACATATAAGAATTTCAAATAAAATCTATTTTTCATTATATATTGCAGGTGCAACTAGTTTTTGAGGTTTCATTTTTTTTTCTCATTATTGGAGTACTCTCTAATCTTGTTGAGAGAATAGTTTCATTCTTTTGAATGATTGATTTTATATTTGAAAACATTTTGTCTCGTTCATGTGAGATGTTTGGGTCACTTTTGTGCCTAAAAGAGATGTTAGGTAGCAATACGATTGAGTATAAAAATGAGATTTTTTGGTTGTCGTGTGTATTTGCTGTTGAGATTGATGTTACCTGTGGTTCATCTTTTAATATATTAAAAAATACAATAATCAATTACAGTAACCCCAATAAATAAATACTGCGCATCTTAAATGATATTTATAATGATTATAATCTGAAACCATGATGGATCGATGGCAAAATACGAAACCCGCTCAAAGAAATGAGACACGCCTATTACTATTAATGATTAAGTCTGATCAACATTTTCGAATTCCACCAAACCAAAAAGTTAACTTCTTGAAATCAAAAGAATGGCAATTAATTACTCTACTTAATTAATTTCCTAATGCATTTTTGAAGTGAACGTTCAGACACGAAAAGGGTTTAAATATTTTTATAATTATTTCCCTCGCGTATCATAAAAGTTAACAGATTATTTATTAAAATAATTCTCAAATGGTTTATTCAGATATATTTAACTAATAAGATTCAAAGATCGTATTAGTTTGGTTATCTTTATTTTATATATAAGATATTTGAACATTCAGTTAATCCCATTTTTTGTAAGTAGCCATTTAGAACAGTAATCCTGTTTTATGGTTTTTTACAGAATCTTAATCCCACATTTTGTCCAGGAACCTACTGTATGTTCAGAATTTCACTAGAAATTCAAATATTTAAGATTATATATTATATTAATGTCTTAATTGAAAAAACTTCAATAAGGAGAGTTTTAAATTATTTATCCAATCAATGGAAAAACAGGACTATATAAGAAGGGTTTAGAGTAATGGGTGTGCAAGCAGGTCGTTCCTCAAAAGAAGACATAAAAAGAATTGATTGATGAAATCGATTAAATGAAAATTCGATTATCAAAACCAGGCATCTATATACCAGAAGGATATTGGGAAGATAAACAAGGTGTGAGCTTCGTTTATAAGAAATTTAAACATTCGATGGGGGATTTAATTAAATTGCATAGAAGATAGGGAAAGTTCATTCCCATGAATGTGATGCAAAAATACGTCGATGAATTTACCAATTGGTTGGATAAAATACATAAATCGAAAAAAACTGAGACACAGAGATTTTTTCATTGCAGAATCAAGCCTTCGAATTTATTTGAGGACGAAGACGGAGGCTGTGTGATTACAGATTTCAATTAATTTTCAAATGAGAATAACGAAAATTACTTACCTCCTGAATCCATTGCCACTTTAAAAAAAAACCAAAGTCAAAGATTTTCATAAGGGACTGCTTAGGCCGATTAATTCGGAGGAGATCCCCAAAAAATAGATGTATGGTAATTGGGAATGGTATTTTTGCAAATGGCATCACTCAGAGAAATGGAAGAATTATTAGTGTTCCGAGATTTTTAGGCTCATGAATCCTAAAAGGGGATTGAAATCAGAGAAATAGTGAGAAAAGCATATGGGAACCACTTCAATAATTTAATAGAGAAAATGTTGGAAAAAAACCCCAATAATCGACCACCTTTGTCAGAAGTTGAAGATCTAGTTCAAGACTTTTTTTCTTAAAATGCGATAATTGCAGATGAAACATTAATAACACCATAGCCAGAACTCTTGTTAGAAGAACTGAAGGAAAAAGCAAAATAATTGAAATCACAAACAGCTACATAATACTTATCCAAATATTAATTATAACCAGTTAGTCGGAGAATAAAACCTGAATTCTTTTGGGAGGCTTTACAGGATTTGAAAATTGAAGTGACTGCAAAGGAGAAATCAGCATTTCTGGCATAGTTTGACAACTCAAAAAAGGATGAGATTGATTTATCTTAATGGGTGTAAAATTAAAAGGAGATTATCAAGTTAGGAGAATTGAATGACTATTAGGAGTAGGAACTATCAGAAATGATGAAGGAATTGCATAAATATCTTGAAGAGCAAAAAATTAATTTATTGGAGAAATTCAAAGAGAATGACACAGAATTAGTAGGATATCTGCAATTTGAAAAATTCGATTAAACACTAAAAGACAACTAAATAAATTTGGCTGCTGAAGATATTCCAATTATTCAATAGAAATATGACCCTAAGAAGAAGAATATCATATATTATGAGTAATTTTGTGAAGATACAAAGTCTATGAATCAATAATAGTTGGGGTTCAATGATTTAAAAATGAAGATGTATAGGGGAATAAGGGAAATCCACAATATTTTTATCTAATTCTTCAGACATTATGACACAAAATCAAGAGGTGAATTGAGTCATGAAGAAATACATAGGTTCTTGAATGATCTTAAAATTCATCCTTCTCCTGATATTGAAAAGTAGTTACTATCGCATCTGGATCCAACAAACAAGAAATCTATTTCCTTTGAAAATGTAAGAGTATTCTTTGAAGAATTGATAAATGAAGATGTCAGAGCAATTCTATAGGAAATTGTCAATGGTTTAGCGAGTATTTCTATGACATTGCCATAACTGATAAGAAGTAATACAAAAAGCGCCAGCATAATCACCAAAAATTAATTGTTTAACGCTTTTAAATAAGCAAATGATGGTCTTAAGAACTCAGATTTCACATTTTTAATGAGCATCTTTGGAGTGAAAGATGAAATAGAGTACCCTCAATTCATTAATGCAATGGTATAAAAGGGTAAAGATCTAAAAATATCTAATTGGAAGTTACTCCAAGAATTAGAAGTGAAGGAATAGAAACAAGAGAAGAAAAGTGCATTTGATGATCCAGAAGAATCTATGCATAAGTCAATCAAATTTAATGCAAAGTAATTTGATCCTCAAAAACAACTATTACAATTTATCTATAAATAATTACAAGAAAGAGAATAAACTCCTAGATAGTATTTTAAAAGCACATTTTAAAGGATGTCTATTACATAATATAAAGAAAAAATCAGATAATTAGAAATTTACAAAGGAGATTATGAAATAGAGTAAGAAGAACTATTGAACAATCTTCTAGTACCACATGATAAGTCATTAGTTGATGTTGATTTACTCATTGAGGCAATACTGTATTATAAGGATAAAAAAATAGAGCAGTATAGGTACAGTCAACATAAAGCTATTATGTTTCTGGAGTAGCTCAATAAATAGATGAAGAAGAAGAGAATCACATTTGCAGACATTGAGGATCTGGACACTTTGGGAGATGGATATATTCGAAAAAAGCAGTTCCAAGACTTTGTCAATAAACAATTGTAATTAGATACAGGAGATAATCAATTCTAAGATTTCTTAACCAGTATCCAATAGGATTAATAAAACATATCATTGCATAAACTAAAATAGGGTTTGAAACTTGATGAAGCCTCAAATAAACTATTATCAGATATCAATACAGAATTAGCATATGAATAAAGCAAACCTGAATAGGTATTTAAGAAGTATGATGCGAATAGAAATACAAAATTAGAATTAAGAGAATTTGCTGAATTTCTTGTGTAATTAGTAGGAGATGTTGATTAAAAGATTGTAGAATCTTTGTTTTTAAAATTGGATGCCAATGGAGACAATACAATTAACTTATATGAATTTAAGCAAAAGATATCACATTAAGAAAATGACATATCAGAGCAATAATAGACAAAATATAAATATAAACAGACCGCATAAACATTTGCAAAACAATTAACTCCTTAGATTATGAAAGCAGTCTTTCGATTAAAAGATGCTTTAAGGGAAAATAACGAATCCTTGGAGATATTTGATAAAAAAGGAAGAGGATAGATCTTGCTAAATGCCTTCTAAGATATCATAGTGAGTTTAGGCTTTGAATTCCAGGAATTCAAATAGTTGGCTTAATATTTACTATCCCCAGAAGATAAGAAGTTTTTGCAATATGATAAATTGGCAGTTCTGATGCATGATTGTGAAGAAGCGGAGTAATTATTGATTAATTTGAATTAAACTATTTAATCAGGTAAGGTGGCAACAGCATCACTGTTTTATAATTATGATCAAAATGGAAATGACGTTTTAGATAAACAAGAATTCTATAAATTGATTAGAGACATCGATCCCATGTCAAGGAATAAACCAGTTGATAATTTGTTCTTACTTCTTGATTCCAATTAGGATGGGTCAATAAGTATCAGTGAATTCAAATCTAAAGTGTGTACCAAAGATAAGCCTAGGGTTATGGCAACAATCAATAAATAATAGTTGAGTATATTTGATGATGTAATGAAATTTGCTAAAGATTCTCCAGCCTTGTTGGGAGAGTTTGAAATAAGAGATGAAAATTATACCAATAAATTAGATTTAGACACCTTTATCATGGTACTCAAGAAAAATAATGGTCCCAATATTTAATTGCTTGAAATGAAGGCCTTGGCTGATTAATTAGGTGCATTACAAGGTAACAACGTCAACTACAAAATCTTTTGTTTAAAAGCTAAGCAATATTAAGTTGAAACACCTTCCACTAAAATAGAGGCCATTGCTACCAAGTTAAGAGACCAACTCAAAAACAAAAACACTAATGTAATCGAGATTTCTTAGGAGTTTGATATCAATCATAAGGGAAAGGTCAAAGTAAAAGCACTTAAGATGGGAATGACTGACAAATCAATTGCTTTGAATGATAATGAATGGGAACTATTACTCACAATAATAGAATAGGATGCTCAAGATTACATCGATTATTATGCCTTCAACGATTTCATTAACTTAGGATTAGCCAAGTACAAGGAGAGTAGGAAGGTCTTGGTGCTCAATACAAATTAGGAAATTGATAGAATTGTTAAAAGTTTTACTCAATATCTAGAGAAGGAGGTGTGCACTCTCCTTGCAATGTATAGGTAGACTGACAAGGATAAAAATAACTTCATATCATTTGAAGAATTTACTGCCTTACTTTTGAAGACTATTGGATACAGTACGACTGTTGATAATTAAAAATAACTATTTGATATATTTGACATGGATAAAGATGGTAAAATTAATTTCACAGAGTTTGAATATTAAATATATAAAAGAAATGAAATCACTGCTAAATAAATTCAGGAAATGAAATTAGTAATGTTAAATGGCCGCAATCCACAGATGGAATAATAATTATCTGATTTATTTCTAATCATTTCATAAGGATCTTAATTTATCGAATTTAAACAATTTGCGAATTATATCAATTATTTTTAAAAATACTCGATGCTTGAATTAGATTAATTTTTTAGATATTTTGATTAAGAATATTCAGAAAAATTAGATTAATTTAGATTTATCTTAGGCTTTAAATAGTAATAAAGATAATAATCTATCTAATCATAATCATAACCATAAGTGTAGATTCCTCAATAATAACCATATCAATAAAACGTTTAACCTTAACCTTCTTAATTTTAAGAACCTCCTCAATTTTAATAACCTCAGTATTAATAATAATAATAATAAAATGGTTAATAAATGCAATATGGACAATAACAACAATATCCAGGATAATAATAACAATTTCCTGGATAATAACAACAATTTCCTGGATAATAATAATAATAATTTCCTGGGTAATAACAATAATTTCCTGGGTAATAACCTTAATATAATGCTTAATAGTCTTAATATAATGGTTAATAGAAACCTTAATATAATAATTAGTTACCGTAATAATAATAATAATACTAATAATATAATCCATAATATAATCAATAGGAAGCTTCATTTAATGCATCCATCCCTAATAGTTCTATTGCCTATCCTCCTTAAAATACAATGTATAATAAACAGGTTCCATAAGAATTCGATAAAAAGCAAGAATGGGTTCAGAATGCTAAATTTGAATAAAGCTGGGTATCACAAGGATAAGATCAATATTCTTAAAAATATGATCCTAATTAATCCAGAGCTGCCAAACCTCAACCTTAATAATCTTAAATTCCTATTGAATTTGATCTAAATTTCTATGATTAAGAAATACAAAAAAAGTGCATCTAAAAAAATATTGATCTCTTTGATTTACTGTGTCAATATGATGAAACACCACTTCCAGAATTAAAAATATCAAGGCCTGATCAATTAGAATTGGCATTTTAATTTTTAGAAATACTAGCACCAACACCTCATGTCTAATAATATTACTACTATTATTCATAAGGGTAAAATCAAATGGGGATAGTTTTACCATATTTAAAGATGAATAATCCTGGTAAACTTTTAGCCAAAGCACTTAACTTCACTATGATCAAACATAAACAATATACAAAACAATAACTTTGGGGTCTAATTGGAGAGAATCAACCCACTTGGCAAATTAAATAATTAGATAAGATCAATAGCAATTTAAAAATTGGTTTGAATGAAAGAGAATTGAGGGAAGCATTTTAGTATTGGGATACTGAGTAAAAGGGTTTGATAACATTTAAGATTTACGAGGAAGTTCTAAATTTAAATTAGATTGTAATTCCATAAAAGTAGGATACTCAATCTAAAGATCCTGCTTTATAATCAGTACTAGATTCATTTTTATTACATCTATCAGAAGCAGTATTAGCTAAAAATTGCTTCAATCTTTTTGAGCAACTAGATAAAAGAGGATACAATCAAATACCCTTTAATGATTTTTTGAGTGTAAGTAAGAAATTAATAGGGTCTATATCAGCCGATGAAATCAAATCAATTAAATAATTATTGTAATAGAATGGGTTCATAAATTTGAGCGATTTAGCCAAATTTTTAAATGTGGATCGAACTAAAATCAATTAATATAGCTAAGAGGATGAGAAATAACAATTTGGTTTAGCATAAAAGGATTAACGTAAGTCTATATTGAATACTCAAAACAAAGAAAAATTCAATAAGATGCTCCCTATAATAAATGAATTTTTGAAGAAGAGAAGTAAAACATATGATGACTTTGCACTTTATTTCTTCCCTCCGAATTCAAATAGCACAATTGATAGAGTTTAATTTACTAAAAAAGCATTAGATGCTTAATTTGGATTATCTGCTACTCAATGCGAAGAACTATATGATTACCTAGATGCTAATTCTAGTGGACATATTTCTATTAATGAATTTAGATTAGTGTTTCAGTCAAAATAAACAGAATAATAAATAAAAAAATAAGCCGATAATATTGTCTAAAGTTAAGATATAGAATAAGAAATTTTGGATTTATTTAACCAAATTGATGAAAACAAAAATCAATAACTAGACTAAAGGGAATTGCTAAAGGCTCTTCAATCTGTAGGTTTAAATCCTGGAACTGAAGAGTTATCTTAGTATTTTGCTCAGTTTGATCGAGACAGAAGTGGAACAATATCATATTAGGAATTCTCGCATATAGTTAAAGATATCCTAAAAAAAGAACTTCTGCAAGCAGATGACTTATTAGAAGATTTGAGAAGAGAATTCAGATAAGTTTGTAATCCAACTACAAGAATGTTATCTAAAGAGCAAGTGAGCTAAGTATTCTAAAATATGGGAGTACTTATTAAAAATGAAGAACTAACAGATTTATTCGTTGAAATAGATGAGGATAAATCTGGATCCATTGATATAGATGAATTTATTTATTTCATACAAAAAAACTAATCAGGAATGTCAGCCAAAGCTTCAGCTGCAGTAATGAATATCAAGGGTAGCAGAAGAATCTCATTACATGATTTGAAAGAGATTTTCTTATAATTACCTTAAAACTTTATTATGAGTTTTGTTAGGGGATAAAATAAAAAACTACAAAATCTTCCATCCTCTTAACTAAAACCAGTTCTTGATAATTGTGGATTTTTTTATTAAGGTCTAAATTATGTTGAAGCATCTAATTTCAATATTAAACAAAGCATTCTTGATAAAGTTAATATTAAAAATAATTTCTTAGCAGAAATTAGATTGATTGAAGCAACAGGAATACCTATTCCAGATGAAAAAGATGTACCTAGGGGTTCATTCTTGAGAAGAGAAATAGGCATCATCCTAATAGATAAAGCAATTAATAAGTATGAAGGTAATGCTGTTTATATTCCTGCTGCTTGGAATCCAGAATATGAAGATAGATGGGTTTTTGAATAACCAGCTATGGAGTAGGCCATCTTAATGAGATGGGGTAATTTTGATGAAAAGTTGGATAACTTAAAGGAGATGGTTTTTGAATTCATTACTTATTCCGTTAATAAAGGAAGACTAATATAGATCTCATGTGCATATGGTTCGATTCCTGTCTATCAATTAAAGCCAGGCAAACAAATTCTTGAGTTGAAAGGTGGTGCTCCATTAAAAGATATTACTATTGATAAAAAAGATATCAGAACAAATCGAAATGGATGGAGATCTGTTGTAAAAGCACTTTCTTCTAATATAAAATCTTAATTAATTTTGGAAGTCATGAAATTACCTCCTTTGATGGTTCAAAAAATATCAGCACTACCAAATAAATGCATGCTCAATAAATGGGCTTTAAGCATGTAATCAGCTTTTCGAGAATACTTTGCCTATAGAACATAAATGAAGGGAGAAATTGAATTAAATTTAGCTAGTGACATCCGTATTAGAGCATGGTTACATTGTTTCGATTGTCCTGATACTACTAGACCTATCGCATTATTTTGGAATGAATTTATAGAGTAAATTACAATAATATCCATAGGCCAAAAGTTGGTAATGATTACCAATTTTTATTAAAATCAATCTCCAAAATAGCTGATTCATTATATTTGATGTTCAAAAATACAGAGTTTAAGTTTTCCATTGGAGATCCAACAGCAAGAATAGACCATGATAGTGTTCTATTAAAGCGAAGATAATAATTAGTTGCAGAGGCAATAAGTGATATGAAAATTAATCTTGGGATTGTTATTCAACAGCAGTAAGAAACTAACTATTATTTTTAGAAAAAAAGCTTAGATTATTACTAGTTTAGAACCACTAAATGTAGAAGAAATGATGGATCTAGACAATGAATCTGATATTTAAGCTTTAGAAAAATTCTTTAGCAAAAAGAAAACCAAGAAACAATAATGACAATATTTCCATATGATTATTACAATCTTTATATATTTTATCAAATACAGTTTTGAATGGAGAAATCTTTAGAAATTAAATCAATAGTTTCTTGGATATAGTATTTGAATCTATACTTTATTTTCGGTAATATTTGATGTTTTAATTAAGAATTATTCCGTAAAAATATATTTGAATTGATTATTTGAGTCAATCTTATTAACAATAAAATATATTTCCAAAATCATCAACCTGACTTCTCAGTTTTCAAAGAATACATAATGTTATGCAAATAAATGGATAGGAAGAAAGTAGCTATTTTGTTGAGTGAATTATGCATTATTTCTAAGCCTCAGAGAAAATATAAGGTAATCCATTCAATATCGACGAATGACAATATTATGATTTATCAAGAAAATAGTGAATAACTTATCAAAATAGAGTAAAAGGAGTTAAATAATGATAAGGAAAGTTAAAAATAGTTATTATTAGATCCTTTTAATTGACCAGAATTTATAGCTGTTATTATAATATGCTATTATAAAATATATACAAAAATATATCCCAATCTGAATTTTAATATTTAAATTATGAAAATTATTATTAAAACATTAAGCGGATAAAACTTTCCTTTAGATGTGGAAGGATCAGACACAGTATATAATTAATCAAAATATTTTAGATTTCAGATGTGAAAGAAAAGATCTTTTAAGTGAAATAATTTGAAGTTGGTCAACAAAAATTATTAAGAAAAGGTACACTCTTAGATGATAAAACCACTATTGCAGAATTGGGAATTTAAGAAAACGAATTTTTAGTAGTCATGGTTAATGCCAAAGTAATTAAAATTATTTAAAATATTCTTAGAAATCAGCACCTCAGTAGCCATAACCAGCCTAACAACCACCTGCCTAATAGCCTGTTTAATAACAGCCAGCTTAATAACCTGCTTAATAATTACCCCCACAATAATAGCCTCAACCTTAAGTTGCTCCAGTTGCTAAACCAGCTGGATCTGGAACAGGATTGCTATCCGGTCCAGAGTATGACAAAGCTATCGAGTAGTTAATGTCTATGGGATTCCAAAGAGAGGAATGCGTAAATGCTATGAAGGCAGCATTCAATAACCCTGATAGAGCTGTTGAATACTTATTAAATGTATTTTAAATTCTATAATTAGGGCATTCCTCCTGGTGTTACATCACATCCTCCTGCTCCAGTTGCTAGCGGATAAGGATAACCACCTGCAGCACAATAGCCAGTTGGTTAGCCAAATTAAATCTAATAACTCAGATAGTTGTACTAATAGAATCCATAAGCCGTTCTCTAATTATTACCTTAATTGTTGCAACAAATTTAATAGACAAATCCAGAGTTACACGCTTAAGTTTCATAAAACCCTGAAATGTTATTACAAATGCTTATGGGTGCAGGATAATAATAGGGCCCCCCTCCAGGATCTATCTAATTGACTTAATAAGAATTTAAAGATATTGAAACTGTACTTATATTGATTCTATTTTAGATTATGTAACTCGGTTTTACTAAATAAGACTCTTTAGAAGGTTATATAGCATGTGATAAAAATGTGGAAATGGCAATTAACTATTTATTTGAGAAACAAGCAAATGGAGATCTTTTTAGTAAGTTCTTTCACTAAATTTAGCCTAACATGTTCAAAGAGAACAAGCTAATCCCCCTAATCAACAACCACCTGGCGGAAATGACGGACCAATGGATGAAGAAGATGACGATGATGTTTATTAATGATATATTATTATTCATAATATTAATTTCAATACATCCATTGATATTTATATTAAGTCACTCTTCTTTAAACATAACCATTTTAGAAGGAGGACCTAGTTAAAAAATGAAAATATCTCAAATTCAAATAGCTTTGTTGACAAATATATGAAAATTTTTCTATTTTGATCTTCAAATATTTCATAATGGAGAATCCTTTCAGCAGATATTTGTATGTCATCAATTAAATTTTAACTCCCTATTCAAATATCGAGATGGTTTTTAAGTGCCTTGCAGAATTTGTTATTCTAAAGATCAGTTTCCTTTTCACCAATATCTTCAAATTCAATTTTTACTTTTCATTTAAAATAATGATTAGTTTTCGAAATATCTAAGTTATTGCAAAGTACAGAACTTCTTAAATGGAAATTGGCTATTTTTTAACATTTATTAGGGATTGACAAGATCTATAAGTTTACTTAATATCATAGATTTAGAACAATAAAGAAAAAATGTGGAATTATGAATATTAGTCTATTCTTAGATAGCACTTTTAGTTAATGATTTAACCCTTTAATTATCATGTTTACTTAGAATTGATACTAAGCTCAACAATATATATAAATAGCAATTATAAATTCTTAATTTTATTTCAATATAAAATTATGTATGATTGAAGTGTTGAAGCTTCCATTTCACACATTTATTTCTTAGGTAATAAACTTTTCAATTTTTTAATTTATAACTACTTTTTAATTACTTCTATAGGGTAAGCTTCCTAAGATTAAATTAAAATCAACATGTAAATTTCTAGATATATCTCAACCCTTTTGTTAAAGGAAAACGGATCGTTAAATTAAGACATTTATTCACATAATTTTAAAATTCGAACTTGATGCAATTCGATCAAATTTTGTATTAGATTTAATATAAATAATAAATCAAGTATCAAACTTTTTATTGTATTTAAAATACACAATTAGCTTTATTAGTATAAACAAAACATAACTTTAAACTTATTATGTTTTTGACTTTAGGATAGATTAGTTTTGATATTGAAATATGATATAAGAAGAGTGATTTTATTAATTGATATTCTTTATCTAATAATTGGTACCTATTTTAGTATAAATATTTATTTTAATTTTTTACAAGCTTTTTCGGTTTGAGTATTTATCTAGAACTGAAGCTAGGTTTGAAATTTATAGTTTTTGTTTTATCTTATCATAGAAAGCAAGATATTATTTGGGTATTTTATGATTCATGAATATATCAGAATGAAGAACAGCAAAAAATGTTTATTTTTAACATTTAAAGAGTGAAAAGGGTGGAAATATTTCATATGGATGGAAGTTAGTTAAGAGATTTCAAATACAATTTTAAAGTTGTAGGAAGTATCAAGAGTGGAAACAATTTTGAATATCTATGATCATCAATCAATTTATCGTTCATTAAGACAGATCATATTCTTAATAAAAAAATGGAAATTATTTTTTGAGATTAATAAGGACTACCATTAAATAAACTGGATTTGCCCTTTAAAGATTTGAAATCATTAATTTTACTAATATTATGGTATTTAAAAAAAAATTTTTCAGAAAATCCTTTATGATTCTTGATATCATGTCTTTAATATAGCAATAAAATCAAATAAATATTGGAAAATAAATAAACATATAGAAATACTGAAAAAGGTTGGCAGCTTTCAATCTAACATAAAGATATTCATAATTTCATAATCTGAACTATTCATTCTAAAGTTTTTGCAAGTAAACCTTAATATTAAAATCAAATTGTAATTATGAATTATCTGACTGATAAAAATCAACATACTAATTTTGAAATTTATAGTTCTGCTAACTTTTTCAAATTTTGCTGACATTTTATATTTCAACTCTGGCTGTTCAATTGTTTCCTTTGAGAAAGTTAGATAGCCTTCAAAAATATCGACTTTTCCAAATGAATATCCTTCAAGAGCAGTTAAATTACCCAAATGATTGAGCCTATTGTAGATCTAACTCACAAAGAATTTTTTCATCAAATACATCTCAAAAGCCAAGAATTACACATCAATAGTTTAGATAGTATTGATTTTAATTAGTCTCGTCATTATATCCTTATCCCTATATATCTGAGTATAATTTTATTGAAAAAAAATCAATGGTCTATTCTAGTATCTAGACTAAATGGCTATCTGATATTTCAGGTTGAAAAGATCTTTGTGACTCTAATTTAAATCTACTTATTTTTTTATGTATGAATTTTTTGTGATTGAAAAAGAAAAAAATTTATTTCTATTTGAAGATAATAAATTAAAATTTAAACTAACAATGTAATATCGTTAGAATGGCTTCAAAGACAAGATAAGTAGAATAAATATTTATAAATTAAGCTTGCATTCGAAATTTTTTTTAATTTATATAGCATAATGTTCACTAAAGTTTCATTCAACAATAAAACAAACATATATTGATAGAAGGTGCAAAATTTCTTAAAATTAATGCTGATTCTTAAATGAAAAACAATATTGGAATTGGGGATAAGGAGAAAAAAAAAAGTGAAGTAAATTAAAAAAATATAAAAGTTTGAATAATAAAAAAGCTTAGCATTAAGATTAAAGAAAATGAACAAATTTGGGGGAGCTATTTAATAAAACCCTGAGTATTATTTTAAAAAAGGTAATCCACATAATATCTATATTAGCCGATGCTTTAGAAAAAATGGGCATATTTGAAGAAGCATTGAAATATTATGATTTGGCTATTAAGATAAATCCTCATAGTCCAGAATATTATGAGAATAAAGGTATATTGTAATTCTCATAATATCTTAGCTGATACTTTAAGAAAAATGAATAGATTAGAAGAAGCATTGGAATATTATGATTTAGCAATTCAAAAAAACCCTGAAATTGCTATGTATTATAATAATAAAGGTATTTTCAATCTGAATAATAAACAAGCTTTTACATTAAAAATGATGAATAGATTTGAGGAAGCATTAAAATATTATGATATAGCCATTTTTAAAAGCCCTGAGACTTCAGGATATTATAATAATAAAGGTATATTTAAATCTGATTAATAACAAGCTTTTACATTAAAAATGATGAATAGATGTGAGGAAGCATTAAAATATTTTGATTCAGCTATTTGGAAAAATCCTTAAAATTCCGATTATTATAATAGTAAAGGTATAATGAATTACACATTACTTTTAGCGGAGATGTTAAATAAACTTAAAAGATTTAAAGAAGCATTGAATTATTATAATTTAGCTATTTAGATAAATCCTGAAAATTAAGTCTATTATTATAATAAAGGTACAATTATATCTTGAATAATCTCTTAGCGATTACATTAAATGACTTGGATAGATTAGAAGATGCATTAGAATAGTTTGATAAAGCAATTTAGAAAAACTCTGAGAATCATCTCTATTATTAGAGTAAAGGTATCATTGAATCATCATAATATTTTAGCTTTTGTTTTAGATAGAATGAAGAGATTTAAAGAAGCACTTAATTATTACGATTTATCTATTTCAAAACAACCAGAGGATTCAGATAACTATTTTTACAAAGGTATAATTTTATTCAACTAACATTTAAGCTAAAACTTTAATGAATGTGAATAGATTTGAGGAAGCATTGGATTATTTTGACATTGCGATTTCGAAAAATCCTGAAAATTCAAACTATCATAATAACAAAGGTATAATTTATTACAATAAAAAACTCAGCCAATGCTTTATTTAAGATGAATAGATTTACAGAAGCATTAGAATATTATGATTTAGCTATTTATCATAGCCCTGAAGATTCTACCTATTATAATAATAAAGGTATAATTTCTTCGCTTAAATCTTAGCCAATGCTTTATGTTTACTGAATCAATTTGCAGAAGCATTATATAATTATGATTTGGCAATTTAAAAAAACACTGAAGATTCAGATTATTATCATAACAAAGGTACAATTAAGCCTTTATAATATCTTAGCGATTACATTAGATAAAATGAATAGAGAAGAAGATGCTTTGGAATAATATAATTTAGCTATTTTGAAAAACCCTCAAAATGCACTTTACTACAACAACAAAGGTATAATATAATCCAAGTAATTTAGCCATGACATTAAAGAAATTGAATAGAATTGAAGAAGCATTGGAATAATATAATTTAGCCATTTAATAAAACCCTGAAAATCACATTCTCTATTTTAACAAAGGTATAAGTTAATCTGCATAATTTCTAGCGAGTTCTTTACATATAATAAACAGATTATAAGAAGCTTTAGAATGTTATGACTTAGCTATTTAGAAAAACCCTGATATTTCCTTTTATTATTCAAACAAAGGTATAATTCAATAATATTTTAGCTAATGCATTAGAGAGATTAAATAAATTTGAAGAAGCATTAAAATAATATGACATAGCTATTTAAAAAAACCCTGAAAATTTCATGAACTATTTGAAGAAAGGTACTAGCAAATCTATATATCTCAGCAACTATTTTAGATAAACTGAGTAGATTCGTAGAAGCATTGGAATATTTTGATTCCGCTATTTAGAATAACCCTGAAAATTCTGAGGTTTATAGGATGAAAGGTATATATTATTCGCATAATATCTAAGCCAATACTTTAATTAAATTGAATCGATTTGAAGAAGCATTAAAATATTATGATTTAGCTATTGAGAAAAATCCTGCCAATCATGTCTATTATACAAATAAAGGTATGTTATAATTCTCATAATATCTAAGCTGATACTTTAAAAAAAATGAATAAATTAGAAGAGGCTTAGAAATATTATTATATTGCTTATCAAAAATAACCAAACAAAGGGTTTGATAACACTAATTATAATTCCGTAAATAAAACATCATCATTAATTTGAAACTATAATTTACATAAAGAATTAAATTAATTATTTAGAATTTTTATTTTTAAGGATTGCTGTCCTAAGTTCCTGAGATAATTCTCCACTTATTCAATTTCTCCCTTTGGGTTTGGGTTTGGGTTTGGGTTTGGGGTTGGGTTTGGGGTTGGGGTTTGGGTTTGGGTTTGGGTTTGGGCTTCC